TTTTTCGGGCCTGGGCCGGGTCTGTTTACCTTTTTTGGATAGCGGCCTAATTGATTACGCCCAGAACCCCGGGCTTCCCTAAATCGAAACGGGGCTACAACGTGGGGGCTACCCTTTCTCATGTCTGCTGATGGTTCCGATAAACTCCATCCTCCTGCTCCAAAGAAAGAGACTGACTCCCTTAACCCCTTCAGACAGACTCTGGCTCCCCAGTGATTATATCTACTGAGATTTTATCGCTCGACGGCTTTTGATGTTCCCAGCCAGACTGTTTTATTTTATATATTCTGTATTCCATATTTTCCATATTTATTTACATTTTAATATGGAAAAAATTCAATGCATATTTCCATTTGTTTAGGGAATTAGTTTTCCCTCCGTCCGTCTGGATTCTCTTTCAAGATTATAATCAAAGTCTATTTTTGAGACAGAGTTTGGGTTTTTGTTTTCGGCCGGGGTGGAAATTGTCAACTCAATTTTTTTTCCAATTTTTTTCTGGTTTTGTTTATTCAGCCAGCATCCGTAGATAGGTTGCAATTTAGGCAATGGTCTGATCCGAGCTGAACCGCCACTACCCGACTAATTCCTATAAACGGTTCCACTCATCCACGGCTTGACCCACAGAGCGGCCCAAAACAAACACATAAATCACTTTCAGGACAAAGAAAAGAAAATAAAACCAGAAAAGAAACCAGAACTCAAGCCAAAATTTAAAAGCAATCTGGGATACAAAATCCTTCACTGTCCTGCATCCTCTATCTATCCCTTGGTGCTCAGACCTCAGTCCTCTGTCCTCTGGGCTGTGTCCTGTGTGTGTGTGTGGCCTTTGGCCAATTTTCTTATTAAAAACAACAGAGAGTCGAAAAATGTTTACCAAACACAATTCCGGCAAATCCTCAGAGTTTCCGCCCCCGCACCATCATGTCCCAAAAACTGTAAATAGAGCGCGGCGGGCAGTGAAAGTGCGGACGGACAGCAAGGACACCAGATCCCCGGCACCACATGCCGAGAGAGCCTCTAACTCTAACCCGAAAAAATCCGGCTGGAAACGAGTCGGAGTCCGGAGTCCTTTCGAAAAACGAGAAAAACGAGAGCTAAGCCATTAAAACGAGCCTCGGAGTGGCACAAGAGAAATGGCAACAGGGAACAGGTTTAGCTTCCTCTTTTTTTCGTTTTATTTTTATATCCTTTAACAGGATAAGGTATATGCCATAAAGGACATAGACTCATTATAAATGGGTTTAAAAATATAAACAAAAGAAATCTCTGGTTTGGGAATAAAGTTTTTATAGTTTTCTGTTCGGTTCTGTTTCTATTCATCACTTTCACTTGGCAAGGACTTATTAGAGGACATGTAAGGACAATATTTGGACAAGGATTGATTAGTGACCAAATTGCTTTTCGTCTTTAATCGAAATCTTTAGTCGGAGCTTTAAGAACCGACTTCGTCGTCCTCCTCCGTCCTCAAACAACAACTAACAGAACAAACATCAATCAAGACCAGAGTTCGGTATCCTCCTTTTATTCGGGGTGCTTGTATTTTTGTCAACTTCAACCGGCTAGGTGTGGGAGGACATCGTCTTGAGTATTCGCATTCGCATTCGCATTTCTTTGGCATACAGCCCCCATCCTCCCACTTACCTCACGGCTCCCACATGATTTACTACAACATTTCCTGTGGCCGCCTTCCACTTCCACACCGTCCTCCCTGGTAGCTGCCATGTTTGACTTGATTTCGTCTAAATTGAGTTCAGTATCAACAGAAAATACTTCCGTTTCCTATGCTCTTCCCAGGGCTGTGTTGTGTACCTTTGGCACTTGAAGAAATGAAAATAATTTTAATAAAATTATATTAAACTTTATGATAAGATCCCTCCCAAAGCTTAGATAACTCTCAAATATTAAGAAACCTAAATTAAAAATTTAAATAATTTTTTAAACATCCATTTCTCTCAGTGCCCTTGTAGCTCAGGTACAAAAAATGAACTTTTCCTAGTAGTTTTCGGTGTCGTTGTGTGTTTACCTTGGCAGCAACTCGTCTTCGTCTGTGTCCTGAATTCTGGCTCCGGGGTCCTGTAGCCTGGCACCTTGCCTCCTTCCCCGACTTGTGCCTCATCGTCGAGGTGTTTGCCTTATTTTGAATGCTTTTTATGTTCAATTTGTTTCAATTTAATGTTGTTCTTGCCAGCCAGCCATCCAGCCAGCCATCTAGCCAGCCAACCGGCTTGCCAGGGATCAGGCTCGGTGTGCCAGTGGCAGTGCCAGGATGCGTTGTACTTTACATGAATTCGAAATGTGTGTGTGTGTATCGGTGTGTGTCTGTGCTCCTTGTATGATAAATGGCATTAAAGGATTTGCGTGAATAACTCAGTTAGGACTTACATTTTTCCATCTGCCAAATAGTTGCCAAAACCCCCTTGCTATCCAAACAAAATGTGCAATCGTATACACTTTGGTATATTTACCCAAAAAAAAAAAGGATATCTAAAAGTTTTCAAATATTGTTCAACTTTTTGAAGAATTAATAACACATTTTTCCAAACAAATATTTAGCGAATAACCTGAAAAACATTACATTCAAAAACTGAAAAGGGTTTTCATCTATTTCCCTCTTGGCCATTGTTTGGGGCCTTGTTAGCCATCGTTACCTGCTGTCTTCCAATTAAAACCAATTCGGAAATGTTTCGGTTATTTTATTTATTTGTGAGCGCTTTCCAATTCCGTGGAATAGCGGCGCCAATAGACTAAATGGGCCAACTCTTCTCTCTCATAACCATTTCACTTGTTAGCCATCGAAATGTAAAATATAAATTGGAAACTCAATCAGACTTTTCTCATACTGGGCGGCCACGATATTGGTTTTCTGGCCAAGAGCAAAATTTATGCGTCTGTTTCGAATGAAACATTAAAATTCCATTAGCGGAAGCGAGCCACATAAATTTTACGCCCCAACTCCTTGACAAAAAAAAAAAAACAGCGGGGGTATTGAGTTTCCCCGATTCTGAGGGAGGCGCTTATCGACAAATGACCAGAAATTATGCATTTTGTTTAGCTTTAATTGCAACTCAGTGTATTTATTTAGTACTCGGGGCTGGAGGGGGCCTGCCCGGGAACGATAATCGAAAATAATTTATAGAAAATAAATATATCCGCGCCATGGCCCGCCCTAGACGATGAGAAACTTGAACTTATATTTTCCTCGCGGATCGTTTTTAATACCCAGTAATTGAGAGGAATGTGAGGGTGTGATGGACTTATGGACTCAATATTATATATTCTTAGGGTACTAATATAACTTGCTTAGGGTATCTTTAGGTCTGTTATATCCCCTTGGTTTTCCCATTATTGTTCGAGACTTTGGCTGGCTTTTCTTCCAACAATTCTCCTTGCATTGCTTCATTGTTGTTGTTTATTTAAGTTGTCATTAGAATGGTGCAAGGCAACCATCCCAGTGGCAGCTCCAGCAGCTCCGGCAATCCGTGCCAGTTCGGTCGTATAAACTTTTTAAATTATCACCGAAGCGCAGTCGAGGAAGCTAGTGCGAGTGCGGGTGGCAGGGCTCCCGGTTAACCCGGGCTGGGTGCCAGGGGGGAATGTGAGGCGCGGCTGCCACTTGAGGCAGACATCGATGTACATGGAAATCGCATGGCCATGTGAAATGGAAATGGAGGTGCCCCCACACAGCCGAATCGGTTGCTTCCCGGGAAATGTACATCGGAAAGTACACTGATGAGGTGGAGAGCTGAGTAGTAGGGAGTCAGTACCTCCCTCGCTCCCTGAAATCTCTGGTCTTGGCGGGGCTTGTCAGACGGGGCGATGGCGCCCCAACAGAAGCCGGAAATGCAAGACAGTATTCTGTATTTTTCGCCTCTCGTCTGGGCGGATTGTTTACAATCGGGAGGAAGTTCAGGACAGAAATCGGAAATGATCCTTTAAAGATATAATCACTAATGGCTTTAAATTAAGGTGTCATCTTGTCGGAAAGTGAAATCTAATATGTATTTGGCTTGTAAGCCCACAATTAAATCATCAAAATAGACCAGGTAAGTGGTTCCCGACTCCGATGTGAACGTCTTCACCTGTCGTGCCCAACATGCCACATTATCAACTAATAACTATAAACAAACTATAGTATGCACTTGAGCAAACTGTTTGCGTTTCGGGGTTCCCCAGTGGCCTGTATTAGCAACAGCAACAGGCAACAGCCAGAAAGTTTAAAGCCGCTTAAGGCTATAACCAGAAATGCCATGGCAAACGGAGCAGGTCAAGTCGCACAAACACAAGGATTACCACGGGCCAACTAGTGATGATACTGTTGTTGCTATTCCAAGTCCAGGTCCAGGTGGCAGGTGCTAAGGATAAAGGAAGTTGAGTTGCTGGCAACACAACACAATGGACAAAAACGCCAAGGCGAAAGGCAAAAGGCGATTCTGTCAAAATATTTACGATATGTCGTCTCTGTGGCAATGGCTTCCAAAGTGTAGGGACACCCATACAGCCCACTCACGCAGTGAAAAACACACACAATGGCTCTAGCAAGGACACAGGACATGTGTAGCACATGCTATTTGCGGAATACACATTTCCCAGGATATATATTTCCAGCTCATCTATGCTGCCAAGGACACCCACCGAGCAAAAGGCAAAAAAGCAAAAAAAAATTGATCCATCTTCCTGTTTGTAGGCCTAGGTACTTTACTTTTCTGTTCTGGGTTGCCTCTTGGCACTTCGAACCCAAAACATTGTCATGTAAAATTAAAATTTATGGCTAATTTGTGTGCCAGAACGTAACTCTGTTGCCAGGCCCTTTTCTTCGGGTAGTGTCCTCAAGTAGGAAAGCCGTAAATTTCCTTCATTTGCCTGGACGATTTTCACCGGAAAAGTGAGTGGGAGAGGCCTGGGGCGTGACTTGAGCTGGGAAAGAGAACCCTTCAGAAACCCATCGGCTATAAAACCCATAGCCATAAAATCGAATAAAAACAAATTGGTAATTTCTGGAATTGTTTTTTGGCATATATATATATATGTATATGTATATTTAAGTGTGTGTTTGTATAAACTTGTATATCATGTTTTAATCTCTCGTATAAACGGTAAAATGTCCAAAATGCTAAACATACAACATATGCTCCATAAATACGTTCATTAAAACTTATGAGTACCTCTATTATAGATGTGTATATAACTACTGCTATTGATAAATATCACTATATTTGATTTCGGCTTTCGGTTTTTCAACTAGTTGCAATGGAGTGAGAAAATCTGTGCATCTATTTATGGTTCTATGCGGTAAGAGTCGAGAGTGTGGGCTTAAGGTTAAAGTACTTAATGGATTAAAGGATTAATGTAAACTATATATGTACAGGTGATGTGTCGGGCTAAACATTCGATTTTGGCAATATCGTTATAACAAAGTAGAACTAGACGAGCTGTGCCCTCCCTCCCACGTCATGTCCTAGACATAGCGCGTGATTTGTGAATAGAACTCCGAGAGGCAGCACTGCAGCTGGGCAAAGGTCGGCCTCTCGCCAGGTAGCAAGGCCCAGCAATAGGCCATGATCGTAAACCTTTAACGAGAAGATGAGGAAAATCGTTAAATTAGTACAAAGATTGAGATCTCCATGTGGCTTCCAATACTTACAGCTCGTCGGGGCAGTTGAAGGGCTGGGCCAGACGGTAGCCATCCTTCAGGTAGTGCTCCATCTCGAAGGGATCCACCTCGGCGTAGGGCTGCTTGGCGGAGGTGCACAGCTCCCACATCAGCACACCGAAGGCCCACGAGTCGCTGGCCTCCGAGAACTGCTTGTGCTGCAGTGCCTCCAGCGACATCCACTTCACCGGCCGGTTCTCGCTGTCCCCCAGGCAGTTGTAGTCCGAGGGAAAGAGGTCCCGGGACAGGGAGCTATCCGAGAGCTTAACGCGCAGCTGATCGTCGATACTGGAATAAATGTTTATGTTATTCTTGAGGTCAGCCCAGACATTCCAATAAACCAGGTGATGTAAACAATTGGAACTCAAATCGATTCAAAAATAGAAAAGATGATTAGCTTTCGAAATCGAAAGACTACTTACACACAGTTCCTGGTGGCTATGTCCTTGTGGACCACTCCGTGGCTGTGCAGGTGGTCCAACGCCATGGAGAGCTGCGAGGCCATCATCACGATCTGGATGGTGGTCACGGTGCGGGCGCAGGCGGGGTCCAGCAGGAAGAGCTTCAGGTTGCGGGTGTTGTTCAGAGCGGGGTACAGGACGAACGGAGTGGTGTGATCCTCAATGGAGACGCCGAGCACCGAGAGAATGCCGGGATGGGAGGCGCCGTAGAGCAGCATTCCCTCCTGGAGCAGCAGGAGCACCTGCATCTGGCTGGCGTGTTGGGCCACCGTTTTCACCAGCACGTCCTGGTTGTCGTTGTAGGTGCCCCGATATACGCGCCCGAAGGTGCCCTCCTGCAGCAGGCTGGACAGACGCACCCGGCACCGTTCCACAGTCAGCTCCGAGATGCGGCGGTGGAGCTCCTCCGGGTGCTGTTGCTCCACGGACACTGGCACCTTTCGCGGCAACGAGGATCCGTGTACGGGCGCTATGATCGAGGGCGTCATGTAGGCAGCCGAGCCCATGGAGGACTGACAGGGTGGTTGGGTGTTCAGCCTCTGGAAGCTAGAAGTCCTCATCGGCTGGCCGCCGTGGTGGTGCTGCCTCTTGTTGGCCGCTCCCCGCACGCAGTAGGCTATCATCAGGAGCAGGCACACCGATCCCATGGCCACCGACACGCCCACCACCAACGTGATCAGCCCAGTGGGCGGCATCATCACGGTCTCCAGCAGCTGGGGGTCGTCCATGTCCTCGGAGGCATCGTCGCTGTCGCCGTCGCTCACCAGGCAGATCTTCTTGCGGCGAAACACCAGGTGAGTGACATTGTTCAGGGATCGGTTGAGCACCACCTCCAGGCTGACGGTCACGTCCACCTCGGCCGCCTTCTGGCCGCTGCACTTGAGGGCGATGGACCAGGTCTGGATGCTGGTTGGGATCTCGCCGCTATGCGACACATTGATGGCCGGGCGGGGCAGCACCTCCAGGTCGGAGCTGACCACATTGATGCTGTAGGGCAGGCCCCGTCCAGCCAGCGACTGCCACGTGAAGCTGATGTCTCGGACATTGGCCGGCACCGGGACGATGAAGTTCAGGGCGTAGTTGTTGATGTGACCCTCCCGGACATAGTAGACCTCGGCAGAGACGCCTGCAAGAGAGAGGAATAGAAATATTAGAACTTGGAGATACTTGGAAGAGTACTTCTCCAAACACCCTTCACCCGAGCTAGTTGATAAAACAAATCTTTCTGGATGTACTCCCGGTCTGGTGGATTTATTTTGAGGTTTGTTTGCTCAACCCGATCCGATCCACAGACGGTCGCCGGCAATATTTTTATAAAAATAAACATGAGCGAGGGCTCGAGTTTAGGGGATTCCTTGGAAACTATTTTCGAGTTTATCTGCACTTGTATCTGTATCTGTATTTGTATCTTTTTCTGTATCTGTATCTGTATCTGTTTGGAAAACAGAGAACGAACTGGCAAAACAAGAACAAGGTAAAGACAAACAGAATAAGCCCTGTCCGAGATTCGTTCCCTTCATTTCTGATTGCGGTTTCGACCCGAACCGATTCCGAGTTAATGAAGCATCTTTGGATCTTCGGTAGTGTTTTTTTTATTTATTCTTCTCCAGACTTAGACCCAGACTTAGACCCAGTCCCTGATGTCTGGGCCCGATTGCCAACTCATCTGGTTTGTTATGACGTCTTATGCTAATGACATAATGAGGCAGCAGGCAGGCAGGTAGATGGTTCCTGGCTTCTTAACTGGACCACACACAGACTTCTGGGCTAACCCCGTTTTCTAGTTCCATTAGAGAGGCCAAGACCCCAACGAGTACTGAAAGACTTCCTTTGACAACTGGCCATAACAATAAAAATCAGCGAGCTTGTAGGCCTCTAGACGGAGGCCCAGACAGTGCCCCAGACATGCCACCAGCCATGGACGAAGACGGAGGCGAATGACTCAACTGGGTGGCACATAAATTGTGTCAGCCATCGAGTCCTCCACTTGGGGAAGAGTTCTGCAAACTATTTCCGCCATTCCCCCCACTTTAAGGCAGAGTATCTATAGCCTCTTGCCATCTAGTATCCAGTGTGCAACATGTTGTGGCCACGAGACATTCCTCTCTTGGCTTTGGTTTAAAAATAGAGACCATGTCTTAATCAAATGCAACGCGTCCTGTAATGCAATTTCTCCTCCGGCAGTTGAGACTCGAGCCTCCAATGACCCTCTCCCCCTGAGGCCCTAAGGGGTGGCCCTAAGTTCACAAGTTCATGTGAAAGTTGCTGCTTTCCAGACACCGTATAGTGAGAAAAAATAGGCATTTCTCTCGTGGCTGGATATAGAATCTAACCGGGATATAGCTCCTCAGTTTCTGTCGGTGTTTCGAGCTTCAGGATGAAATTGTTAAGGGAGAGAGCTCCTTGAAGTGGATGCGCTGCCGTCTACCGCATGTCACGAGCAAATGTCACTTGCATGTGCCCGGCGCGGGACACCACTTGAACTTTTTTAACCTCTTTGGGTTCTCCATGTATTATTCCCCATGTTCATAACTGGATGGAGCACTCCTTCCAGCTCACTCTTCTCTACTGGGCGTGCCTGCGATGGGAAAGATGTAGAGGCTGGAGCTGGAGCTGGAGTCCCCATATCGTATGTCGAATTTTTCGGAGCGTGCAGTCATGATGCTGTCGCTACGAGTTTGTTTTTTTTCTTTTTTGCAACTTTTTTTTAATAGCTTGCTACTGCTCAGAGTTGGAGTCGTGACCATTGTTACATCGCTCCGGAGTTGGAGTTGGGAGGGAGGTGGCCCTGGAGATACATAGAACTGCCGAACTGGAGACACTCGGACACGAAAAACAAAACTCTGCGGATTCGGTTCGGTTTCCATTTTCATGTAATTAGCGTTGCAGTTCGTGAAGTGCTTTCCGCTGTGCCGATTTTCTATGCTGATTTCCCAGCCGCCACAAAGGGATCGGCTGGGGGTCAGTCTCGGGGGTCAGGGCATAACTTTTGTTTCTCCTCCCTAGGAGGATTGGTAGGCTCTGGCAGATGGCTCTCTGATGTTTATTAATGAACTCCCAATGACGGGTAATTTATAAAAAGTTGCCGACCAGCAACACCTTCGATTTGCTGTCAACTCCGATCCTATGATGCTCCAATGGCCATTATCTCGGTTGACAAATATCCGAAGCTCAGCCTGGGACTACAGGCTATTTAGCTTGGCAAACAGTGTCGCCTCGTACGTGGGGCAGATGGACAAGACAACCCTCTAGCCGGGTCGTATCTCGTGCGTCTCTTATCTCGTCTTGAAGGCCCAATCCTCCCCAGCCAAAGCCAAATTGCAATAGATGATAAATGATGTGATTCTGCACCACAACCGCATTGAACTCTGGCTGAGACCCAGTCTCCTCCTCCTCCTCCTCCCATCTAATGGCTAATATGTCACTTTGACTGCATCTCCTTGGAGCTGGGGAGCTGGGGAGCTGATGGGGGTGTGCCTGTCTTTTGTGCAGTTTTGCGGCCAAATCGAAAAATAAATAAAACAAATGATCGGCGCCTGCCAGGAACCGCCTCCAGCCCACCACCGAGTCGGCTTATCACGCACAACAATCTCGCTTACAAGCTTGGGGCGCCACCCTGCCACCCCCCACATGTCAACATTTAACATGTTTTTGAGCCATGTCTTCCACTCCTCCTGCTCCTGCCTCTAGCCACCATTCGCATCCGTATCTGTATCTTTGTGTGAATCGTTTCTTAGTTGCCTCACGTCGTTATGATAAATGATGCTACTTTTGTTTTGCCTAAAATATTATTCTTTTTTTTGTTTTTTTTTCTTGCAACCTCGAGGCGATGCGCCTTTTGATTGTAACAAATTTGTGGCAGCAAGCGAATTAGCCATCTCTTTGGGGCACAACCAGTGCCAACTCGAGCCGCAATTTGGCACAGTTAACGCCGGGATTTAGGTTTCCCTTTTTAGCCTCCAAAAATGAGCTCAAATTAATCATTCAAATGCGGCGAGTTGACGTTTTCCAAAAACGGCTTATTGTAACGGCCAGAATCAATAGTAATTAACCTTAATCGTTATTCATTTTTTTGTCAGTCGAGTGGTGAGAGGTGAGGATCCATGATGCGGGTCAAGAGTGCTGGTGTGTGTGAAGATAATTGAGCTTCGAAAAATATCTCAAAAAATACCCATAACGAGCTATTAGTGTTAAAACATATCTCTGAGATACATAGATAGATAGCATCTCTGGAGATTGGTATCTCTATACCATCACGATTTTATCCATTGTGGCAATGTCAAGTAAATCGTGTTAGCGGCACATGCATCTCCCAACTCACAATATCCGAGTTGGTTTCCACGAAACAAGCCAAATGCTTGTTTCTCTTCGACATTCCACTCTGGGCCGCCACCCTACCTCCTCCCACCCTTTATCCGATACTTTCCATGTAACTTTCTGCAACGGAAAACTCCCACAGCGCATAACCCAAATAAACAGGCAACAACTCAATAAACACACACAGAGTCGAACCAGAGCCGGAGCCGCGACAACAAAGACCAGATGCACTGCATCTTGGCAGTTGCCCAAAGCTGGCACGCCCCCAACATGTCACAGTGGCATGGAAATAAATTCAGTGGCAGTTTCCAGCTCCAATGCAGATCTGGCCTGGTTTTAACTATTTGAATCTCACAGTAATTTCTCTCAGTGCTCTTTGAAAGAACAGCGCCTGTTGTTAAATGTATATACTGTATGATTTTTTTTATTTTATTTTTTTGCGATACTATATGCATATTGTGCTCCAATGTGTGTATATTGCAGAAGCCGAGCAAACAATGGCTGATATTTATTATTGACAGGCTCCCCCCCACTCCCCCCACTCCACCCACTCCACTCCCAGTGCTGGCTTGTGGCAATGCCCAGCGGGGTTATCAGCGTTGTCAGTTCTCAGTGATAACCGCAGTCCCCCATTGCGGCCCGGTCCCCTCCAGTAAGCCTTTGACGAGGGAACCTTCATCCGATTTTCATTTATTTAAATTCCCATTTTTTTTGCCAATAGTTTGGCTGGTAATGGCAATGGCTTTAAGCCTGGGCTTAGCCAAGTTTATGGCGGCTTACAATGGCCCATAAAATAGGTATGCAAATGGGTCTAGACTAGCACAGAGAGAGATCTTTTTCGGCATTCGGGTGACTTTATGACCCGCCAAGTGGCCATTAATCTGAAACCGATAGCGCTGCGGGCCGCACGATCTCGCCTCAGAGATCGGATTATAAATAGATTGAAAATAAAATCGAAATATTGAACTCGATGCCCGACCACGAACTCTCCTCCAGCTGGCTCATAAGTCACGTACGAGCAGATAAAGATCATCCTCTAACCAGATAATAGATTTCATGAAACAGAGCCCACCTCCTCCCATGAAGATCGATTTCTGACGGTTTAAAGAAGATATTATACGTATCTATGAGATAAACTTATGGGCCAATTAATAAATATAGAGTGTGATGCATGGACCATAAAGGTCTCCACTAATTAAAGATAAGATCTGGATATAGCCAGGCTCTCTAGCTTTTTTTACGATCTGTTGGGTGAGCTGTTAACGCTGCCACGTCGTTCAGCAAAAAGTGGCACGATCAGGGGACAGCTTCATTAGCTAATGGCCTAGTCCAGCAGCCTAGCTGGACCAATTAAAATATAGATCATGCCCCTAGCCTGGCTCTGTCCAAACCGTTAACAGAGAGGGGCTCTTGGCTCTTGGTTTTCTCGGAAGGAGCATCCACAATTATCAACCGGCAAGATCTCGAAAAGGCAACCAAGGCAGCTAACAAGCCATCAAGTAGGAGCCAAAGAACAAGCCAAGTGAGCTACAAGTTAGGTGCTAAAACCAGCCACAGTAGCTGCCGGCTAGCTGCCAGTCTGTGTATCTGTGAGATACACTCGTGTAAGCCGATTAGCCTCTATACCGCTTAGCCTCTTGGCTGCGGCTCACTTCAAATAACAAAAGGCAATATATGCAAATATGAAAATATTGCCACTTGGCGGCAAATCTAACACATTCCCAAGCCGAACGATCGATCATTTCGGAAAGGGGGCGTCTCCTGGCCAGCAGAGTGTGAAAATCGTGCCATCTTGGCCCTAACTGGCTAATGAACTCGAAAATAAAATCCAAAGCATTCCAGTGCGTCAATAAGCTGCCATAAAACGTACCAAATAGCCAACTATCTGAGGAACAAAAGACATAAAATTAAATTAAAATAAATGCACTTGTTGGCTTTTTAAAATTTAGAGCGCGTGTCACCAAGAAGTCATAAAAGATTGGGTTTTTTTTTGGGAGCTTGGGATCGATCGGGAATGGTGGGTTACTCAGTGCCCCACCCATTCCTGAGAATCGTATTTCATATGGCTGTCAGATGGCGGGGTTTGCGACTCGAACTTCACTTCAGCCGGTAAGGGGGACCCCTGTGGGGATCTGAAACTGAAATTTATTAAAGCCGACTGGCTAAAAGTCGGCACATCCAACTAACGCACACCCACAAATCAAATCAAATGCAAATTATATCTGCAACTTAATTGATTTATGAGCCGCCTAGTGAGGACTACAAAGCTTTCTTTAACGACCGTGGATGCAGTTAAGTCTGCGAAACTTTTCAACTTTGTCTTAATTACCTTATAGTTGCCATAGAAGTTGCCATCCACAACCCACAGGCTGCAAGTCGCTGGCATAGTCTGCATATTTGATGCAACGCCCTCGAAAAAAAATCCGAAATGCAAACGCAAAATTATGCGCATCGTCATCGCCGCCCAACGCCCAACGCCCATCAGCCTCAGCCTCAGCCTCAGACTCCCACACACATGGTTAGAAAAAAAAAAAAAAAAGCAAACTTCGATTTAACAAGCAGCGTGTTGCATGCCACAGCAACAGTGGGCAGACTTGCAGCAGACTGCCAAAAATACCCAGACCTCCAAAAGGGAGGAGCGCCTGCACAGTGGGTGCCACAGGTGATCTAAAAGGCAAAAAAGTATAGGTATCTGAAAAAAATAGTATCTTAAAAAAGTATCTTTTAAATAGTATCTTTTTATATTTTCTTAGAATATTACTCTCTTGAAACCCCACCACACCCACTGTTGGCTGCCTCCCACTGCTCTCCTTCTCTCTCCTGCCTCTTGCTGGCTCCTTGGCAGTCACGTTTTCCCTTTTGTTGTTGTTGTTTTTTTTTTGGTTCTGTTGTCGCCTCTGCGTTGTCATCTCGTTTGCATGTCCGCCGTCCGGCCCCCTCTAGCCCCCTTCTTTTTGGGGAGCTCTGGCATTCCGATTCTCAGAAATATTCAAAAATATTCCTCCAGCAGTGAAATAAATTTAATGTTGCTCCTTTTTTTTGCTCTTCTTGTTCTTCTTCTCCCCTGCTCTCCTTGCTCTCCTGGCTCCTTTCTTGGAGCGTAAAATTTCCTAACGAAGCAAACGAAAGTTAGTTCCCCAACTGTTGTTGTTGTTTTTGTTTTCGTTTTTGTTGCGGGTGTTTGTTTATTTGTTCGACTGTTTAACAACACCTGCGGCATGCGCAGGAGACGGGGGTGGGGGGGGGGGGATCTAAATTAAGCAACAACAACAAAATAAGGCAACTTTTTTTATTTTTTGGGAAAAAGTTAAAGCTCTTGGCTATAATTGGTGACACAATTGTTCGACTTTGTTTTTGTTTCTTATTCCGGTAAGAGAGAGACAGAGAGAGAGAGAAATCAATAACAATGGGGCGCGACCTATAGCCCCTCCCTCCATCCCCACCCAAGTAGACTCACGACTCACCTAGCAAGCGCATCACTTCCACGGGATTCAGAAAAACATTCAGATGCCCCTCCACGCCACTGCCTGACCTCAGCAGCAGCGACGCCAGCGTCAGCAGCGCTAGCAACAGCACTTTCCGGCTCATATCTGTTGTTGGTGGGGAGGATGTTTTCCTTTTCGTCTGATGGAATTTCGTTGCGGGATCCATTTAGAGTTGATTAATTTTCGCGATTTTTTCGCACATTTATCACACACAGCAATTCGTAAACAATCTTGCCCGAACGACCAGCACAAAAGGAAACGGAAATGTGCGAGAGAGCGTGTGAGAGGACGTTAGCACCAGAACTGCGCGAAAAGCATCTTAAACCGTTTGCATAACTAGAATAAATCACTTTTCACTTAATACATTGTTTTTTTTGTTAGATTTAATAGATATATTTAATTCTTTTCCGGCCGTCTGCTTGCTCGCGCACGAAAATTTCAAAGAGAAGTGGTATATACTTAAAGAGAGCCAGGAAGAAGAAGCACACAGAGTTTTGGTCCAAACATTTCTTAGGGTCTAAAAATCGATAACAGTGGTCTAAATTTGGACTGAGTGAGTGGCAAGGCCAAAGCGTTGCCAGAAATTCAAGGAATCGGCAAGGAAATTAAAATAATGTTACAAAATGTAAAACGACCTTAATAAAATGTAATAAAAATTTATTTTTCATGATAATCCAGTATTACAAATCTATCCTAGGTCTAAAAACTAAAACTAAAAAAAAACTAAACTAAAATTCACATTTACATTCAATTTCATTTTGATCCACAAGGGGAAGATGGGGAAGATGTTGCAAGCCGGTTCGATGTGGAAGCTAAGTTTATTTGCCTATTTAGACGTCCTTTTAAAAACTAAAAAAAAAACGTTATATAAACAAAATAATTAGCTGCAAATATAGGTTTTTCTAAAAACCATAAAAAAAAGAAAACAATTAAGAAGATTAAAGATACTTTCAATTCAATATTCCAGTTTTCGAAGTTTCTGAATAAAGATCTTTTATTCGACTTGATCTTGAACTAGTTCAGCGGATCTTATCAGTGAATTAATGTAGAGGAATGCTAAAAAATAAAAGTAAAAAACAGACCAAAACAAAGGCCGCATTCAGCGATAGCATGGCGATAAGCGGAATACAACCCGACCCGTAGCCAGTTTCAAAACACAGCAATGTCGAATCGCCAGACGCGGAAAAAAGATTATTCCGATCTCTTACTATATTCTCTAGCGTTTGCAGTATGTTTGCTCATCCTGGCACATCCTGTCCTGGGAATGCGATGCAAGATTCCCTACCAGAGGGTCCGTGAGAATTATTGCTATTTTGTGGCCGATGAAGAGCCGCTGGTGAGTCACTGAAATAATCGTGAGAAAGGTCAAATATATATATATTTCCCAAAAACCCCACAGCACACTTCATTCCACAACTTTTGCTACCAGGAAAAGCGGACTTCGCGGGTATGTCTGGACAGCGAGGAGGAGATGCGGTTCCTGGCCCAGTATCTCTACGAAATGGACTACCAGGACGGATCTCAGTTCTGGAGCGCCGGCCACCGGTGGCCCGGGGATAATCGCTTCTACTGGAATTACTTTGGACGGGCGCGGGTGATGAACTACTCGAACTGGGCGCCCGACGAGCCCACTCCCCAAATGGGTCGCAACTGCCTCATCCTGACCCTAAAAATGGGGGAACTGATCATGAGCAGCGAGTCCTGCTACACCCGGGCTGTGGACATCTGCGAGCAATCGCTTAACGATACTGAATCTCGGTCAGTTATGCACTGACTAGATTTCCAAAAGAAAGCCTCGTTATAAAAGCTTTAAATAAATGAATAATTCTAAGTTTTTATTATTTTAATTTTGAAGATAATACAGAGCTGACATATATATTAAATAATATTTAATAAGCAAAAAATATGAAATAAAATAATCCATATTTAAATATAATATATCTAAAGTTCAAGCTATCTAATAACTTATAAGTTTATTGAATTAAACAATATAATTTTACGCCGATTTTAAAATTTCCAACGTTTTTCAATATTTAAATGTTGTAGCTTTTGAAGAAAAAAAAATCGATCTTCAATTAATTTAAACAAAAAGGATACAAATTTTACACAAGAAACTGACGTTTTTGAATTTTTCTCGTGTTATTCGGACTTTGACGCCATTTTTTCGGTACAACTTACAAGAAACGGTATCAATTTTGACACATATCAATTTTGTCTCATAAATCTTGAATAAAACAAGATCAATTTCATTATGAAATTATGAAAATTGTTGAAGTTATATTCAACCTAATAAACAATTCCGACTAGGTATCTTCAAAAGTTCCAAATCGCTGTTGCACTGTGCTTTTTATTTCGTATATATTGAGTTCATCGTTTATATTAATTTCTGTCGCCCTTTTACTATATTCTATATATTAAACCTACATAATATATCTAAAGTTATCAGGTTTCTTACCACCACACCAGAACAATATCAACAATGGCAGTATCAGTTACATATATATGTACATATATACATACATATGTAAGTACATTTTAGTTTGATAAGCGATTGTGGATGGAAAAAAAAAAATAAATGTCTTAAAAGAAAATATAGTAAAGAGGCGATAGATTTTTTGATAAGCGATAGAATTTTGGAGCGTCAATTGGATTTTAAGATACTATATATATTGATACTTAGATAATTAAGAAATGATAATACGGCGCCATAGAAAGGAACTTTTATTGATAGTTATCAAGTAGTAGGTTGAAAAGTGTTTTTTTTTATACAGAAACTGATACCGGAAATAATTTATACCGAAACTGCAGTAAAAATTTTCCTTCTTTTTTATAAACATTTTCCAAGTAAATATTTATAGACGGTACTCGGACGGTACTTGATGAATATAATGCCTAAAATTAAAATTCCCATTGCCGTTTCCCATTGAAATTTATTAATGCACAAACAAAGAAGAATTATCAACTTTACTCTGCATTATCGCTAAGGGTGAGGCATACAGTCTACAAGTTTTATAAAAAAAAAAAACGATTCAGTTTTGTAAGACTGTTCGGGAAAGAACAACCTTATAAAATGAAATCGTCAATTTTTTTCATTTTTCTACCACTTTCCTGTTTTTGCGACTCCGTTTTCGATCGAATCGGCAATGGATACTATTTTATAGAAAGTGAGCACATTGTGAGTTAAAAGTTAATTAATTCCACCTAATAAATTCTGAAATTAAATAAAAAGCTTAACCCCAGGATGAGCATTATTTTGACTGGTTCTTCGCCAGGCAGGACTGCTGGAGGCATACGAGTAACCTCGTATCAGTGGAGACTGTCGAGGAGCTGAAGGATCTGGAAAAGTATGTGTTGTCGAAAGGATACTCTGAGGGAACCACTTTCGCAACGTCGGGTCACAGCTTTAGAACTGCCCCCGATTTCTGGTGGGATGGATCGGATGAGGCGGTGACCTTTGACCTCTGGGTGCCAGGCACGCAGAAACCTACTAGAAAATCATATCTCAGTCTCCAGCTGATCAACTCCACGTTGTACATGCAGGAATCTCTTGGCCAAGCCGACTACTATATCTGTGAGTACAAATTCTCAGCGACGAGAGTTTGGATGTCCCTGAATGAAAACACCAGGACAATTGTGTTAATGGCCCTGATGCTGTTATGGGTTTTTATTTTATGCTATCTCATTGGAACAACAAAACCAAGGAGAGAGAAACTGGATGATCAGGAAAAGCTCATCACAGAAAGCAGAGATTCGCAAGACCTAAAAGAAGTTATATTTCAAAAAAATAATTCATTTAAAATATAATAAATAGATTTTCTTAAGTTTAAGAAGTAAAATTCGTGATAAGTTTATAGTAGAGTACATTAAGAGGAAAGTAATTGTATCCGTTGGGGGAATACAATACCTTCCAGCCGAGTTTCAAAGAAAAGCCAAGCTCTGGGCCTATAAATACCTACCAAACGGCTTAGTTCAGATTCAGTCATTGGCGTAATACTCAGACGAACATGTCTGCCCTTGGAAAAGCCTTTGTGGGTCTCACGGGATTCCTGCTCCTGATGGCCGGATACATATACATCTTTCGCGACATGATGCAGCGTAAGGTTCAATATGGATATAAAGTCTATAATATTCTCATATGAAAATTAACAGCTCGCTGTACCAAGCCGTTTGTGCAGATTGGGAATCGTTGCTACTTTTTCTCCTCAAACAAGCCCGTGGGTATCAATATTTATGGTTATGGGCTTTACGAAACATTTAATTTTCTAGTCTACCTATGAATACTACAAAGTGAGCTACAAGAATCGTGAATTCAGCGTCCCAGTAATGGTAATCGGGAGCTCTTCCAAAGATACCTTCCAAAGTTCGTCTAACTAAGAATCTCTTCTCAGATGGGCTGGATGCATGCCAAGTTTGGATGTGAAACAATCGACCAGCAGGCCCGACTCATAACTATACAAAGTTCCGAGGAAATGAAACTGATTGTCGACTTTTTTCAATATGGTGAGTCCCATATCCACACCCACAAAACCTTCTGGAGCGGCGGCCATAGGGGTCAACTGAGCGATCGGAGGGACGTGAACCACAGCACCCTGGTCGACTTTTACTGGCACGACGATCCGCATCCCATGAAGTTCAAGAACTTTGCCCCCAAGAATCCCCCAAGCAGGACATTTGATGATGGTTTCTGTGTGTTTTTGGAAGTTACACCCCAGAAAGTGGTGGAAATGGGCGTTGCCGATTGTATCAAAAAACTTGCATTTGCCTGTGAACTGGACATGAAGTAAGCAAGTGATCGCGACTAATCTAAAGTTTCCAGGGAAGTCAAATGTCTCATCATTCTACAATCTCAATAATGGTTACATATGTAATACATACATATACGTATATAAATAATAAACTGATTAAATTTCTTATAGTAGACATGAGCTTACAAAGCTTACATAAGCAAGAATATCTTTCTTTTATTGGAGAGTCTAATGCCATTTATTCGCAGTAATATAACATAAATAAAAGACTAAACATATGGGTTAGTTGGGGTACTTTGTATTAACTAAAAGCTTAAAACAAGGAATATTTTCAAAGACGGATCTATAATTCTACTTAACTTATATCCAATTTATATAAAGTTGTTGCTTGCTTATAGTTATGTTAAGACCTTGGTCATATTATTGAATAACAAAATAGCTTATTGCTTTATAGAACTTTAATAATATTAAATAATAAAGCTAAGCATTTTGTAAATATTGTTTAAATCTTAAACAATATTTAGATAAAGCGACGCAAAGTATGCAATGTTTTTTCGCCAAACTAAAAATTGATGAACTTTCTACTTTTTAAACAAAAATGGCCAGAAACTCTATTTCTATTAAGTATTCTAGAAACATTTTCATTACCCATTCCCTGTAATACCGTCTAAAAGCTAGACTAACAAACTTACACTTGTCACCGCTGTACAAGAGAATTTATACCATAATCAAACAAGTACTTAATTTAATAATTCAACATTACTTTATGGCTCCCTCACCTTCTCCACGGCGAGTCATAGGAGTGTCTGTGCAGCTTTTGGCGTGTAATACAAATAAATTTCGACTAAACGCTTTTAAACAGTCACAGACAATGCAGTCTCGCCAGCAGCCAGCTGAGAAAGGGGGGATTCCCAGACCGGAAGTGATGACAGCACAGCAGAAATGGCTGCCGAGAGGAGAAGGCAACTACCAAAATGGCAACTTTCTGCCCACGATGGCTGCAGCAATTAACTCAAATTGATAATGACAACGGAAAAGTTGTAGGCAACCTGAAGTGCTCAGAAGTCGTGTGGAGAAATGTTTTATATGTTTTAGGGAAGGATAGCTGGTTGGTGACGTGATTTCATTTAGAGAGCCTGCAAAATGGCGACACATTTCGACACGTCCTTTGACAACGCCCTTCGGCATAATTAAAACGAAATAATTTTCGACAAGTTTGGTTTGCCTCGGTATGATTTTTTTTTCGTTGTTCAGCCTTCAGCTTGGCTTATTCATCGACTCGAGGCACGTAGATTGAGTCTGTCATATGGCTGGTCCTTGACAGGATGCTGAAGTTGCACTGAACAAAAAACTTCACAATCTAAAGGGTCTGGGAAGAGGGTTTTCATTATTTCCTGAATTTTACAATCCCCCTATTTCGTTCAGTGACGTTTCTCCGTTTCCTCAATGGCAGCGTTCATGTTGGAATTTTTATTTAATTTGCTTCTGCTGTCGTGGGGTTTTAGGTTCTCCTGTTTTGTTGTCTTCGGAGTTTGCTGCATTGTTTGAAATTAATTTCACTTGTCGTACATTGAACCATCACAAGGGCAGCTACTACCCACTCCATCTACATCCCACCTCCCACACAGCCCATTTTGTCAAACGATGTGTGCGTGCCGTTGTCAATGCCGCTTAACGCTGCATAAGTTTTCGGGCCAAAAGCACAGGAATGGAGCAAAAAAAAGGGGGATTCTGGAGTAGAGTGGGCTGGTCCTGGAGTTGGCAAGTCAAAGTCTGTTGAGGATGGCTGAAATGTTGGCCCGGTCGGCAATCGGTTGCCAAATCAACGCGCTAATCATGTTGGCAGCTGGCAGCAATGCATTTTCCTCCTAACTGACTGACGGAGTGACATTCCGGGATGTCAACAGCTCGTCCTTGTCCATTCCCTGATCACCCACAGGATCTGCTCAAGCCGTCGGCCCTGCAAATGTTGGCTTTCGAATTTTTGTCGTTTTCAGCCAACCCCGGCCGGGCCAGACCAAGTGCTTTGGGCCAACTGACAACAGCAGCTAACTTATGTGGCCATTCCGAGAGTTGGATGCCGAGTCCTCGGCCACATCCTCCAAGTCCTGGCCTCTATCCGCGCTTCTCGTCATTAATCACTGACAATAATGAACTTCCGCCATTTGCAGCAGCCTGGATGACTACTGTTGATCTCAAAGGATGCACTTGAAAAATATATCCTTTATTTTAAAAAAATATTAATAATTTAAATTATTTAAAATTATATTTTTGTTAGTTTTTTTTTAAAGAAATTTCATCTAAGTTTATTATATTTTAATTCGAATTTCATAAAAGGCATTAGAAAGTCTACAAGTTTAGGTCAAAGAAGGTATAGATTCACTTTTTTGTTTAAAGAATTTTTAAAAAATATATTTAAATTTTTTTTTGCATAAATACCCGAGTGTCATTAGCGCAATGTTGCAGAATTTATCGTGTGACTTATGAGAGATACGAGGGACCCTAGCCTAACCCAGTCCGGTCTAGACTGACCTCTTGCCTCCCGGTTCGGTTCTCAGGCTTGTTTGTTTTTGTATCTCCATTTTCTTTTGATTTTATCGCTTCGATTTACGACTCATAAAAATGTTTGACTACAGAGGGAGACTTTTATATGTGTCTGGATGGGATGTGCTGGAACTATTCCCCTCCAGCCCCACTTCGTTGTGGCCATTTAATGCTCGACTGGTCTTGTGACCGGGCCTGCAAGGCAGTTAGCCGCCTCGTATGTGCTGCGTCTCAAAGTTGTTGATTTTTATGGGATTTTAGCGATGCAGAAATTATTCTTATGCTGCCAGAAGCGCAATTGAACCAAATAAACAGAGAATGAAGGCCATTATAAGTTGGAATTGAAGTTTGAACTCTGTGTACTCGTAAAGCAGAAGTGACCTCTACTTTGAATGAGACAGATGGGTCTTTAAACCTGAAAGTTGGGGATTATAGTAAGAGGTTATCACTCATTTTACTAAAATATGCCACTAGAAGTTAGTTAGCAGCCATTTCCCCTTGAATCCAAAGTACCAACATCCTGCATTTGACAGTTATTAGATTAACACCTAACTGCCATCGCAGGGCAGGGGTTAACCCACTCCAGAGCTCTCTATTCCTGACACGAGGAGATAGACAACGGATACTCGATTACTCTACCAGGCGATGTTGCACGAAATTGGACAAACAATAAAGCGCTCAAAATGTATGCGAACATAAAATCTCGGCCAGACCCGGCCAGTATGAGCCGAGCTGGCTAAAACAAAAGACCAAAACCCTGTTGTCCATGTCTAGTATGTCGATGTTGTCGGTGAACGGGATGGGGCAGATCGGCATACAAGCGATGTCAATTTCAGACAAACAACCCAACGAAAGTAGATATATAGGATGTGAGCGCGTACATATTGATATATGGCCAGGATATTGATATATATATATATGTATGGATGTTTTATATGTGTATATGGCTTATATGACATTCAAGATGGGCTCTGCCGGACAGAACGTGGTGTCCAGCCCCCGGACTGTCCATTTTGAGCAGCAGCACATAAAAAGCACGTCGGTGGGAGTGAGTTCCAGTTGAAAGCTGTCAGTGGCTGTTTAGATTTACGTGCCGCACTGCAGCCATGTCAGCTGAATGGACAACACCCACAAACCGCTACCAGCACCACCAGAATATCCAGTATGGCCATCGAGTGTCCACCACCTCCTCCACCTCCGATTGCACTTTGTAACAATGCAAAAACAAGCAGACAGACCCGTTGTCATCGCTCTGACTTTTTGTTAATGAAAGTGTCAGGCTGGGCAAACGCACTCGAACCCCAATCCCTGGACTTACCTCGCCTCGATGGCTCACCTCCGAAAACAGAAACCTTTTGTGCGGGCTTCTGGCCGGCCAATGCTTTTCATTCTGGGGCCAATAAATTATGATCCGGCTGATTTGCGTTGTTGGGGTCCATTCTCCATTTGCTGGTTGTCGACCACGTCTGTAGATGATCTCTTTTGTTTTGATTTCCCATTAGACTACCACTTAATAGGACTTTATCCTATTGCATTATAATCAAATAATAATTTTAAAAATTAACACTTTAATTATTATAATTTATCTAAGTAGATTAAACATTTTTTTTCCGAATTTCTATGCAAAATATTTAGCAATTATCTGGCATTCCTTCTTATGCCCTCTAAGCTCTAATGCTTTTAACTCAATTTACATGCCAGAGAGTGACAGAAGCCAAGACTAAGCCGGGTTAAATGGGTTAGGCGGCATGGCAGGTTGGGCCACCCACGACGGAGTCCAGGACTCGGGCCTTCCGACATTATTAAAACGGATATAAATCGCGACGTGCAACGATGTGTTGGCTGAAAGTGAAAAGCTGTGCGTGGGTAATTAAAAACAGGAGCAGGAAGAAGCCAAGAAAGGAGCTTGGAAGTCAGATAAGGACAGTCAAGTAATTCGCATGTCGGATTTTAATTAATTCAGGCCACCAGAGACAGCGAGAGTGATAGAGATGGGTGTCCTTTTTCCCGCCATCTTTAAGTAGGTTAATGCTGGGGGGTTACGTCAGCGGAGGAGGAGGTTTGGGGGGCTTCGGGCAGACGCCTTAATTGGCGGGCGTTACAAAATATTTACCGTAACATTTACCGCTCCAGAAAAGTGGGGTCGTGGCCGGGCGGGAAATGGAAAAATATGATAAAGTGCGCAAATGTTTGCACTTTCCCTTTATGACTCTTTAGAGACGCAGAACAGTCTTAGGTGTGAAAATTCAGAGGGCGATAGCACCCCCAAAAGCGTTCTGGGGAAAGTGTGTTGACGTCTTGATAAGAAGATGCTCGTGTACATGGTATTTATTCGAACCATAATTTATTAAAATTATTTTTTCTAGTTCCTAGTAGTCTGTGCCTAAAATTTCAACCTTTCAGCGATTCAACCTGAAAGGATTGGCATTTTCACGCAGTAGCCCATTCAAAACACATCGGCCTGGATTTTCTACAAAAACGTCTGTACCTTCAGTCTCAACGGACTTTTCGCTCTGAAAACTTTGAATCTAAAGCTCTACACATTACTTTTATATCCAGTTTAGTTTTTATTTTATTTACTTTAACTAATCAGTGCGTTGCGATTTGTGAGATACTACCTGTTGAACCACAAAATGTGCTCCAACACCAAAGAACGTGCCACACGACTCCATGAACCCGGAAGAGTATGTCGGGAGTTCTTATACCTCCGATCCAAGGTGGTAAGTTTTCAGAGAAGATTTGGAATTATTTATTTAGGCTGATAATTCTCACACTCGCCTTTAACCTTTTTAAATCGATAGCCTTCTTCATTATTATAATTTTAATCTAAATTCCAGCCCACTAGAGAAGTACCAGCTTTTACATACCAGGCTCTACAGCCAAACACTGTGGTTAAGCCACCTCCCAAGTAAGTTTACAAAATCAGAAATTTAGAAGTCCTAATGGAAAATGCCTATTCAAAGAATCGACATCTTCAAGCGGAAACCTGTGAAGGAGACCGTTTTCAAGATCTACTTCAACCGGGGCGATATTCCGTGCGTTATGTCCGGACGGAGCAGCAAACAGGACCCCACCAAGGAGCGGCCTGTGAAGTGGCACTGTGTCCCCGAGGACCTCGACTACTGTTACTATCTGCCCATCTTTGTGGACGGACTGGCGGACATGGATTATGACACACGGCTCCTGGCCATCAACGGGGCCATGGATCTAATCATGAGATCGCCGAAAAAGGTACTGCCAGTGCTGCCAAAACTGATCCTGCCACTGAAAAGGGCCTTTCAGACGCGAGACAAGCGAATCATCATATCTGCCCTTCAAGTCATCCAGCTGATGGTGCGTCTAGGTGAGTTGTCAGGGATTGTTTTATTCATCATCTTTAGAAAGGTTACAGTTTCACAAAAGCTTTCTTACTAAGGACCTCCGTACCTGTTGAACCATTCGTTTATAGTGAAATGCCTTTCCTCGATCATCCAAGCCAGTTCCAGGTTTCTCAGCCTATATTCTGAACGTTCCAATTGTGTTGAAAAATTCTTTTTTGGAGGTTGTGCCTCGTCGGCTTCACAGATATAATGTTTTTGGTGAAAGCAGTCTACAACGTGCATGAGATGATCCTTCTCGGATTGCAACTCAACACATCTTTTTCGGTAATAAGTGCTTTGGGTCTCGTTGGTCCACTTCAAGAACTGTGCATCCTTGCCAGTCAACGCAGATGTAAATTGTTGTAAAATTGACAAACTGTCCAAATTGTAATAGTCCACCCAGTAGTTCCTTGAGGTGTTTAATTTCTCTGTGATGGCGTTCCACTCCTCTTTGCTTCCGATGCTCACCAGGTTTCCATTCCGATGTCGGCACATAATCAGGGCCCTTCCCCAATATAGCTTATCCTCGCTGATGTAGTAGTACTTTGATCCGATCTGTTCATAAGTATAACTGGGTATTTCGTCGACAGGTTTGTTATTCCAGTATAATTTACTTGAGACTTGTTCAGTGTACTTTTTAAGAGAATACTCCTAAAATAAATTTTAAAAATAAGACTGAAGGTTGGGGAGTTTTTCAAGAACTTACCAGAGGGCACAAATTGGCATTTTGCCAGGTGATCCCGAAAAGAAAAAGGATCAGAATGTTTCTCATAGTGTCTTGGTTTCACTGCCAGATGATGGAGAATGAACTGCATTTCTTCGACAGTGCCTTTTTATAGCCAGCCACAAACATAATTTGGAAGCTTCTTGGAAATATGACGGAGTAACCTCTCTTATCATGTTTCAAATTTTGCAATTATTTAAAAAAAATATATAAGCTTTGATCAGAGTGCAACACATTTGACATCATTAAGATTTCAGTTCTCTAATATATTTTTTGAATTTAATTATATTCACAGGCCCCTGTGTGGGACAGGCTCTCGTCCCCTTCTACCGGCAACTGCTCGCCGTGTGCAACCTGTACAAGAACATTAACGTCAACCTGGGCGAGGGCATTGATCCCGACCGCAGTTGCCGTATAGGTGACGTCATCGAGGACACTCTCAAGCTGCTGGAGTACTGCGGTGGTCCGAACGCCTTCATCAACATCAAGTACATGGTGCCCACCTACGAGAGCAGCGTTTTCCCCAAGTGCGAGGCGCCAGAGCCCCGAGAAGCTTGAAGTTTCTTCACCTTAACACTTCACCTGCGAGTTTGCCTTTGGATTCTGGTTGGATTTTCGTTAAATACTCGCTCCAGAATGTAAAAACAACTAAATTGGAAAGTGAAATTTAAAATTAGAGTAGAGCAGAATAGACCAAATTTTAGGCAACAATAGACAAATCTATATTTATGTAAAATATATAGTTACTTTTTTGAATTATGATACCACCAGATTTATTTAAAGAGGTTTTTGGTTTATCCCCTAATGTATGCTATAATTTATAAATCAACTAGGACTTGGAAATAGCTGTTAAATATTCTATCAAATATAAATCATAGTTCTTTAATTAATTACATATTTGTCATATCCTCCCACTCTATTTTTTACTTGACTAATTTTACTTCAATTGGGCCTCGGCAGGATTGTTATCCTGAAAGAATATTCATGTTCGGCTGCACTTACCCGCACTCGTGCCGAGGGGAAAAGCCGCCATCTGTTAGACAGTCAAGTGATAAATGCCTAATTAATTTTTAATTTTCGAAAACACAAAAAACACTCGGGAAAGAACCAAACAACAAGCGCAGACACTGCAATTTATATTTTAATGTTACTTCTTTTTCTGTTGCGGGCCAATAGAAGAAGTCGTTCCATAAATAAAAAGCTCATTACAATAAATCATAAAGTGAAAATTGTTCAATTCGCTTTGGCTCTTTTAATGGAATATCCGTGTACGGTGAGTGTCGAGTGTCTGGGCTGGAAACATTTGTCTAAGGATGCGACTTCATGGCGGAGGGATGTAACCGCTCGCCAGGACTGTCTGCCCCCTTCCAGTCATCCTTATCTCTGGCTTAAATCAGCCGAACGGGCCAAACACTTTTGACTTTTGAACAGACGTAGTCCGCCGCTGTTCTGGTTCTGGCTAAGACCGGTAGGATGGGCTCGCTCTAAATTTAATTTAGTTAAATTGCTTAGGGTGGATGTGGTTTAGAGCCCTGCCATTGCCACGGCCGTTTGCTAACAATTTCACTTTCGAAATTGCTCATTGCGCTTTTCGGAGTAATTAAGGGCTACCATCTAAAATTTTTCAAAAACAAATCTTGTTATCAATGAGCAGCAACACGAAACAGTTGCTCGGATGGTCAGTGCGGGTACACTGGGATAATATAATGGGTCTATTCATGAATTTACTAAATTATCAAGCGATATAAATTATACTATATCAGCAAGAGTAAAAACTATTCATCCAGAGCTTATAAAAGTTTAATATTTTAGTTCCAAAATGGTGTAATTTCTTTGTCAAGTGTATGCTGTTCTGGGATGGTGTCCTGACCTGCTGACAGGGTATGAGACCCCCAGCCTGTTGGGTTGGTCGGTTGGTGGGTTGGCTGGTTGATTGTGGTGCGTAGATAAAAACCTGCCAAGTGTTGCAACTCAATTTGCCCCCCGAAGCCGCACCACACCACACCATACCACACCCCAATTGGAAATCACCCTCGTTGAACTGGCCTCGCATCGTTCCAGCACACAAGTTCTTAATTCACTTTTTGGTAGCTCCTGGTTTTTTTTTTTTTGCCCGCTTGATTCTATTTTTCTATAAATGTGTATATATTTTTTTTTCAATCTCCTGTTGACGGTAAATCAAACAGTCCCCCTGGGTGCAGCGTCACTTGACGACCCTCCGGAGCGTCTAAATTGCATTTACTTGCTGCGAACTTCCCATTTCATTTCATTGGGATGCTCCCGCATCGACTTTGGCTTCAAAATGCTGGTAAATCGTTTTGACATTTTATACGTAGATCTCGAAAAGCGTTTTTTATTGCGTCTGAAAACACTCGCCTTGTCAGTCTAATGACGGGGGATGAGACTCATTTCGGGGAAAGTAAAAAGGGTTCACCGCAGGAAGTCGAAACTTTGATTTAGATGCCAAATCGGCTCAAAAGATTGAAATTTAAATGAAAGCTTAATGAGATTTCATTCCAAATAGTTTATTAATATATAAGGCCACAGTATATATGTATAATAAGTATAAAGTATTACATTTCCATGTCACGGAAACCCCCATTAGACTCTCCTTTGCCATATCCAAATGTGATACCAATTTTTGGTGGGCCACCAAAATTTTTCTACTGGGGGGTTTGCGCCAAATGCCCTGGAGTCCTTTTTTCGTCACACCCATCAAACGGGCGTAGAGGGAGCAGTCATATGCAGGACTTCCCCCATTAAGTCGTGCCCATGTCCTCATGTCCTGTGTGTATGCTGCGGCCAGTGGGATGGAAATTGCTTTAATATACCGGAAATTGCAGGAGAGTTGCATAAATTGGACACGCAACACCCCTTGGGCATAATTCCATCATGATCGTTTCTGAAACAGACATAAATAAAGCAAGGAATACTTTTACTTCACACTGCCATGAATACTTACCGTATAATAATCGGAATATTCTTAAAATGTAGATCAGTTTTTGTAGATTTTTGTTGATTTCTTGATTTTAAATTTTGAATTTTGATAATTTTTCCAAAAAGGATATCTTCTAAATAAGATGTTGAATGGGAACTGCGCTATCTATCCTCCCTTCTCGGCTCTTGGCGGAGCACCTTGGGGCAATGGCTGGCGAATCCGCTTCGCGTAATCCAACAACTTTTGTTGGAATACCCTGTTATGGAATGAATAATAGTGATGCATGTGCACCAATCGTAGGCGGAAATAAAAATGCTGTCGAAAGCTTTCCACTATCAAATTATTTCCGTTTCCACGTTCAAGTTTCTCGAGAGTCGTTTCCAGGCGATCGAGATCTTCGCCCTTGTCCCATTTCAACCGATTTAAGCCATTATGATGGACCTGAAACTGGGCAAGCTGTCGCAAAGGCGCGGGAGTAACCAAAGCACCCTGCACCTCATCTGCAAGTTTTATTAGAATTTTGTCCTGCTGCTTCAGGACTGAGGAGTGAGTGTGTTTCAGCGCTTTAAGAGACTCCCGACTCCGTTCTTTCAGTCGAATTAGTGCTTCGTCCAGGATTCGTTCAGCATCCGCATCTTCGGTAACCTCCCCGTTTTTGGGATTGGAAGGATTCTCCTTGGACATCATCTTAATAGAATTTGATGAAAATTTTAATTTAAAATCTATTATTACTATTTTCACTATTATTAGAATAAATACTTACCGAATAATATTGTTGCTTTGGTGACTACACACGGCAGACTGGTGTCTGGAATGAAAATATTCGCCTTATTTAGGATAATGTATGACAAGATTAAAAAAGCCAACTAGATTAGTAAAGTTTTCTTGGGATTTCTGTTAGAGGTGCAAAAACGTCGATGAAAACATCGATGCATCGATTATTTTCAAGTTTTCAAAAACATCGATGTTTTTCTTTGAACATCGATGTTTTTGTAATGTCACTTTCAAACATAAAAGCTAAGGAGAGGTACGTAAAATACAAGGGCACTATAAAGCCCTTCAAAGAAGTTTCTGCGAGTCTGAAAGGACCTTTAGCAAAGCTGCAGGACTCGCCTGAAGCCCGTTATTGTTGATAATCTTATGTTTATTAACAAAAACCACCATTTTTTGACTGTCGACCATTGACCATTCCATGGGACCATTTCTAAGACGGTTTTAAATTTTTGTTTTTCATACAAACATGAATGGGTATTTCAAACATTTAAGAAATTTGTACCTCAATTTTTAAAAACATCGATGTTTTTTATTATTGAACATCCAAACATCGGTATTTCTGCAACTCTAATTTCTGGCCTACTAAGTACTTGAAATTCATAGTTAGCCTCTTTAGACCTAATACCACTTGTATATTAGATTTTTAGGTTTTTTTTGGTGAATCTCCCAGTTGTTTGGCCAGACACAAAGAGCCCGTTGTGGACTTTGGGTCCGACAATCCGGTTGTCCATTCGTACAATCCGTATTTAGCCGGTCACGACCAGACATAAAGAGTCTCTAGGATCGGGCGCAGATGGTAGCATTTTCACGAATCACGTGCGTTTTGTGGAAGCTGCCCGGAAGCGAATCGAAATTATCACCAATTTGCACTCATCGAAATCCAATTATGGGGCGTTTGTGAGACCGGGTCTCGGGTCCCGAGTCCCGGATCCGTTTTTGGGTATGGGCTAGTGTGTGCTCCGGCTGGAAGGGCAGGCCTCGAATCCTCTGCAGCCGTGTGCACCATATGCTGGCAACGAGATACACCAACTGCACAAGCTGCACATGGAAAACACTGTGCAACACAGTTTGGTAAAAATCGGCGGCAAGAAAATGAACTTCTACATTTTTGGTGTTTTCGACTCGATGGGATCTCTTCCGAAAATTGGGGAAACCCTGAGAAGTACCACTCCCACTTATGGCCCACTCCTAAGTCTATATCTTGGCCAGTTTTCATCCAATTCTTTAATGAAATTTTTTTTTTAAAAGATATAAAATATTATTTTTCAGTCGATTATTTAAAATTTTCTATTAAAACCTAGGAGTAATATTTTCTTGTGCTGATTGTATTTTTTTTGGATGAGATCTCTTGCAATAATTAGGGAAACCCTTAGAAAGGCATATAGGGCCCCATGGGAAGTCTATATCTTGGCCAGTTTGTTTCCGATTCTGTAACGAATTATCTTAAACGATTTTTAGATTAATTAACTAATAATCGGAAAAAAAATATTACAGAAAAGTATTTTATCTAGATTTTTCAAAACAATTTTCTAAAGAAACCCCATTGGGTTCCTCGAAGGTAACCACTACCATATTCTGTTGGGAAGTGTAATCGGATTAGGCTGCAATTCCCTCGCCTGTTAAGAGGGGAAATACAACAAAAAAACATAATTTGCGAGAATTGTCACACGAAACGGTCGGGGCACTTTGTGCTGACTTATTTGCAATTTGCGAAATGGAAACGAGATCGAAATAGGATGAAGGTCAGAGGTAGTGGTGGGTTTGCAATGAGGGTGAGAGAGATGCATATTGACCTGCCGGCACGAGGGACACTAAATCAAGCGTGTCAAGTCGAGGAGTTGTCCCGGTCGCGTCTCTATCAAACTCATCATAATCGACAATGCGTATACGCGTCATTATCGGATGCATTTTCCCCAGGGGGTTGGCCAGCCCGCCACCCACTCTTCCTTTCGTTTTTCGTTTAGTTCCGGTATGCGACAGATGCAGCAGACGTGCAGACGTCCGGGGGCCGGGGCCTGGGGTTTTGTGGCCCGACCGCAAGCGGCTCTTAACCTTACCAACCCCGCAATACCCTCGAACCTGTCACTGCTCATTGTCAGCTAAGTGCCTGGGAGTGGGAGTGCCACTAGCAGAGACATTGGACGGAGGGCAGAGCGGTGGGTGGGAGGATGGGCGGTCAACAAGCCACAGAAGCAGCCCTCGAAGCGGCGGAGAACATTTTCATTTTCAAGGGCCTTAAACCAACTTTTTTTGCACTCAAGCAACCTGCTAGATTACGGTGATGGGGAAAGATGGCCATAAAATTCCTTGCATGCACAGTGGTTTGGGGCTTACACTTCAGGGTTCTGAAAAATCTAAAAAAAAATCCAAACTAGAAAAAAAAGGAAATTCTGTAGAATTTTTCATTTTGAATTAAAGAAAATACTTGAATCATAGAATGAGTTCTTTTTTAAAAGAAGAGACACTATAATAATAGAAGATATAATCTTCTACGGTATTTCTAATCTTCACTTCTAATCTTCTATTATAGAAGATATTGTAAGAGAAGATTTGGTAGTTTTTGCATACAAATGAATCTTCTACTAATGTTAAATTTTATAAAAACCTATAAAAATCCTACTATATATCCAACTGGATTCTTTTATGTGTTATATATTTGGAGAATTAACCAAATTAAGTCGGAAAAAAATTATACAGTTCTATCTTTAATGGTTTTGAAAATATTTCATTCCAAATGCGAATACGAAGGAAGGCACTAATCTGGAGACGCGCAGTGTATAAGTTGATACCAAGAATAATTTTTTTAAATATTATTATTAAAAATACGTATAGTTATTTAAAAATAATTTTAAAAAATGGTGAGCTCTTAGAAGATTTAGTTTTTTTCTATTAGAAAGGTAATTTATTTAGATATTTTATATAAAAAATTCTTCTCCTGCAAACCCATAAAACATAACTTATTGAGATAGTTATTTGGATGTCTTAAACCCATTTATTTCACCCATTTTATTTTCTACTATTTAAATAATCCTTAAACCACAGTGCTTGCTTGCCATTGAGCGACATAGCACCACCGCCGCAAAAGCAGTGGCAGCACCACCGAACGGGAGCAGCGGTGGCGGCGACACAACAAAGGCAGCCAGGACGATAAGACGACAAGACAGCCTGATTTCAAACCGCTTCCGATGCACTGCCACCGCCCAGGGAGGGGGCTGGCTGGATGCTGGATGCTGATGAGGGGGTGGAAAAAACGATTTCCACTCCGAGGGGGATGGGGCTGGAGAGCAGGACCGGAGCTCGACAACAATAAAAGCAAATTCAATGCGTTTTGTGATAATTTCGCACTACACGAAAACGATAAACCCCCAAGCAGACAGAAGAAAGAACCTAAAGCCGTAAACGAGCAAATAATAAAAATTTCATATACAGCCAGAAAAGAAGAAAAAAAAATTATTATTATTATACGGAGCGTTAGAGAGGAACATGAGTGTGAATAGTCAATGAGGGTCGGATGTGGACGGGCGGGGTGTGGCTCTCCAAGGTGTCGGATTGCCCACCGCCGGGTGGGTGCGATTCTGGGGGTGGTGGCCTCGAGACTCGAGGCTCGAGTGGTTGCAAATCAAACAGAAAACGGCAAAAGGCAACAATGCAATCAAAAAATGTCCGTACCTTGGGTGGGTGCAAATTCAGTTATTGTCTAAAGTCCTGTGGGTATCCTTTGGGAATGCTCCGGCCATAATCTAATTCGGCTGGGCCATTATTTCATTAGTTTTGAGAACGCCGCCCCCCCACCCCACAGATATAGAAATTTGTGCAATTTATTCTGGAGACCAAAATATCGGAGAGGGGAATATAAGGATGGCAGTAATATTGTACAAACTGCAAGTGGCAGCTAGACACATAAATTAATAAATTTCGATTTTGATTTTGCCAGTTTAATTGTTTGCCAAGTCCAGGCTGGAATAGTAATTGTCTATTTGCCTATTTGGCTAGCCTGTTGTATCTTTGTATCTGCATCTGCTGGATAGATGTCCGGGCCGCTTTCAACGTGTTTTCCATTAAATGTATTTGAATATATGCTATGCAATTAACATTTATGGCCAAAGAATCTGTGGCAAAGTCAGGCTCAGACAACTTGGCTTCCGGATCCCTCGAAATTATCAAAGCGAGTATATCAAAAATCCAATTTCCATTTGGCCAAGGCGCCCCGAAAGTATGCTTTGTCCATAGCGGATGTAGTAGTAGTGCTCCCCTCTCGGCCAGCAAAGTTTTTCTGGTCTTGAAGTGGCCACAGCCACAGCCCATAGAATTATGCAAGCAACCCGCTGGAAACGCACTTGAACTTCTGCCGGCCGGGCTGACATCGCCGAGTGCAGCACAAATGCATAGAGACAATGAAAATTAAGTTGATGTAGGCAAATGCAAAACTTTATGCAAATCGCCGGCCACCACACAACAACGCACAACAAAATCGGAATCAAAATCAGAAACAGAAACAGAAACGGCCACGGCAGCAGGAACAAGAAGCTGTCAGTCGGCCAGTCGACGTCAGACACCAAATGGAGATCAGTTTCAAGAGTTGTTGGCCCTCCCATGGAGGGCTGAGTCAGCTGAGAGTGTATTAAATCCGACACTAAGAGGAGAGTTATAATAAGGCTAGAAGGATACCCAAGGATTACTCAACAAAATAGGATTAAAGAGAAAGAGATTCTCTAAAGGTTCTTAAATAATAATCAAATATGAATATCCAAAATTAAGGACTCTAATATAGTCTTAAATAAAGGCCCTTCCATGGACTCTATTGTACTTTCAAGGAAAACAATATACCCCACAAGAACTACAACCACTCCATATACCTTTGCAATAAAAAGGTTGACAACGAAATCCATCTGTTTAATGGGTTTGGGCCAACCCACTGTGTATGTGTGTCCAACAACCCACCCATATTTACTTTATATATAGTATGTGCCACTTCCCCACGTGTCCTCATCCAAGCCCGTCTAATCCTTGAGATTACAAAGGCCTTCCGAGGCGGGGGGCAAAACTATTACGCTTGATAAATTCGAGATTAAAGTGCATTTGCAGTCGGGCCAGAATCTGGTAGCCTGGCCCAAAGGCCACACAATTTATGGTTGTACATTCCCGGGGATTTCTTTAGCTTTCGTTTGGCAAAAATAACTTGGCATCGGGCAGCCCAGGGAGCCCTTTTAATTATCACACGTAATGACAGCGCCAAATGCAATTGCTAATTAATTGCCCAAGGACCACTCCCCAATCCTGCCGCTTCCTGACAGTGATGGGGGGGTGGTTGGGATTTATGGCTCATACATTTGTTTGGCCCGACATTATTATTCCAACATGTGCGGTTATTGGGGAGATCTAGATGCTGGACCAATCTAATGCAATTTCCCATCTTCTCGAGGAAGTGGTTGATTCAGGGGCGTTGCTTGACAAATGGGAGAATGCTTCATTAGTGCACCACCACCCGGAAAATAAAGAAAACTATCCATCCACTGGGATGCAGCCCGAAAAATGCGGATCCAAGAAACCCACAGCCCCTCAACCTTCGAATAGAACGCAATTTAGTTTGTTAGCCAACTTGAACTTGAGACGCGCTGAACTTCGCATTTGTTATTCCAAGGGGGGGCTAATGACGATAATCGTCCGGCTGCTGTCAAAATTGCCGCAGAATATAATTGCCAGATAGCCATAGAGCATCTAATGATTAACGATGAGAGCATTATGAAAAAGCCCAAAACCCAGCACACCGCGAATGGATGGAGAACAAAAACAACCCGCTCGATACAATGGAATCTCCAAGATACAAAGGAAGCTCCATCGAAACAATCACTACAGATACTAGCCAACCGATTAGGGGCAATTACTGGCCAGAACCTAAGCGGGCGCTGAGGGGGCCTCCTGACCTACGCATAACGCTCAGATGCAGTTGCAGCCCCACCCGCGAATGCATCGCCAACAACTCACTTACAGCCAGTCAAGATCTTATCCGCCAAGCTCTAACAAGCCGTCAACAATAGAAGCACACTGAGGGAAATCCAATTAAAAATCCACAAATAAAATTAATTAAAAATCATTTAATTAACTTGATGATATTTTAAGATCCTTGCCTAAATTAATATTTCATTGATGTCATTAATCAATTATTATATTTTTTAATATTTTTTTTCTGTGCAACAGTGACTGAATCTGAAACAGAAACAGATTTAGAAACAAAAGCAACTTTTTTCTGCTCTCCAGCTTCGCCAGTTAATTTTAATGAATCTCGTAGATATTCGAAATCAAGTTGGTTGTTTTGCTTCGCTTAGTTGTTTGTCGGCGGTTTTCAAGTGCGCACACGAGACGCTCCGAGCTGAAGTTCTGTCCAGAGAGGTCTCCTCAGAAAAAAGCCCCATTACCCGGCCAGTTAATTCGGTTCTTAGCGGCAAGATGCTGTCAACAAGATCTTTCACCGCCCACATCGTGCTATTACTCTTCGGCCTGCTGCTCACTCATCACACTGCCCAAGGTTGTTCTGAGTAATTGGTCGACCATCAATCATCACCCTCGATGGGGGGCAGTAGCTCCTCCATGAGTCAGGGGGAATACTATTGAGTAGGGTTTTCGGTTCACAAGTTTTCGGGGGAAATTCCAGGAGTTGGGGAACTACTAAAAGATGGAATGAACCTGATAAGAACGGTGGGAGTTTGTACCTGAGAATCAAGTGATTCAAAACACTCAAGTTTATAATAGAAAAGTTTCTAAACGAATTATAGTTTCATATTCAATTTTAATTAAAGCAAAGAATAATAATCCCTGAGGGGCTTAGCCACGAATTAACTGAGAAAACCATCCAGTAATTGCAAAACACTTAAATCTCAGCCTAAAAGATGAAAGATAGAGCTACATGGAACCCCCTTCGAAGCCCCCGAGTGGGTGTCACTCGCCCAGGGAAATCCGCTTGTAATTTGGAACTAATCCCATAATTGCGGCAGCGGACAGTGCATATTCAAGTGCAAACTGAAGTCCACCCTGTAGTGGCTCAAGTTCCAGATTAGTTCAGCCATCCGAATGGGTGGAGAGCGGTGCGGTGCATATCCATAAATAAGTCAGCGTGTGCTAATTGCATCACTTGTACCCGTATGCCGGACGGACACCCCACCACGCTCCAATTCATCCGATTAAGGTTCGCGGATAGCCAGATAGCCAGATACCCAGTTGGGCAGGGGACAGAGGAAGAAGGAGGTGTTTGCATAACTTTAATTAAATTTCTGCTAAATCTCATTTCCATGCTAAACCGAAAACAAACAACACGATGATGGGCCACCGATGGCAACCAGGTCAGGCGAATAAAGTGTCCTCCAAGTTGGATTTCGATGAGAGCGACGGCAGCAACAATCAGACAGGACTGCCGAACCAGCAGGGGCAGGTGGGCGGCGGTGTGGGGAACGGAGGGGGCTACGACCAGAACACGGGCCGCAACCTGGGCGGAACAGGTAGCTCTGGAGGCGGCGGAGGGAGTGGCTCTGGCAGCGGAGGCAACCGCCCCAAGATCCACGGCGTACGAGTCACAGTCGATACTGGCGATGGTCAGCAGCAAACGAAAGGTAATTAAATTTCCCCCGATTCCCCCCATCCTTTAAAATGCAAAACACGAAAACTAACGAATCCAATTCCCTTGGCAAAAAAAAAAATATATATATATATTTAAATAAAGAGTCCAAGGAGAGTGTGGAAATTACGGATTTGGGAAAGCACAAGAAGCGTGTGGGCATCCACACGGACATCACGTTCGAAATAACCTCCGAGGCGGATGGAAATGAGACGAGCTCAGCTCAGCAGCACGGGGACAAGGGTGAGTGTCCTTTCCGTCAATTTTCAATTCAATTTCACTTTTCCTCGCTCATCCTGTGGCACACAACACAGGACTAAATAGAAAGGATACAGTACTCGGGGCAATTAAATCTTATTGATTCTTCACAGAAGACGCCAGTGTCCCCATCTACAAGGGCCGCGGTGGCAGTGACTCCAAGCACAAGTCCCGGAAGCCCTATGACCCCAAGTCCCAGTGGAACCCCAACTTCTCCGGTGAACAGCGAGGCTACCAGGGCTCCCATCGCAATGGTGGCTACTACCCGCAGTATTATCCTGAGAACGTATACACGGGCGGAAGCTCGGATACAGGAGGTATTTACCGAAATGGTGAGACCTGGACTCACTACGTCCCTGTGTGGACCACGGAGCGGTCGCCCCAGGAACAGAGTCAGATCTATCGCCGGCCCAGCTGGAAGCCCTGCTACTGCATGTCCTCGTTGGACTTTAGGCGGCGCCGGGAGAGCAAGAACCACAGGGAGGTGGGGATTCAGTCGAAAGGGGTGGTTACTGGAGGTGTCATCCAGGTGGACGGTAAGCTGGAGAGGCCCTTCTCCTGAGGTTGACCATTCTATTGTAGTTATAATTTCGTCGTTAAAAATAAAAAATATATGAATACTAATTTTTGTTCAAAATTAAATAGAATATTTAAATGTTTAAAACTTAATCAATTAAAACTCTTGTTTATAATTATTTATATTTAATTTTTTATTTCTCATTAATTTACAAAAACATTTAAAGTGGACTAAGCCACCTCCTAAGAACACGAAAGGTTTCTAGCTTCGATTAGTGACTGTCCACCATTTACGAGTGAACACTGTAGGTGCCGATCTTGCCGTTGTCATCGACAGAGGCGGTGGCGGCGTTGTAGCCGAACTTCTTGCCATTGAGATTCACGTTCTCGCTCTCTCCGGTGGCCAGATCCCTGTAGTTCTTCACATTGCCATCAGAATCGAACTGGAAGAAAGAAGGACACTTCATTAAGTGATATGCTTTTAATGGGAAAGAGCCTGGGAAACCCACCTGAGACTGGGAGGACCACTTGGACTGCTTCTCCCACTGCTTGGTCTGGTAGTTGCTGCCGGCATTACCGGCTCCGGCTCCGTATCCGGCGCCAAAGCTGCCAGCCTGCTGGCCGCTGGTCAGACCCGCGTTAAGACCCAGTCCAACATTGGATCCAGAGCCGAGCAGAGATCCGCTAAGAAGGGACTGATCACCAGTGACGAGAGCGCCCAAGCTACTGCCGGAGTTCAAGGAGCTGGCAGAGTTCAAGGAGCTAGCCGAGTTCAAGGAGCTGGCCGAGTTGAAGCCAGAGTTGAAGCCGGTTTGGTAACCACTGCCGGACTGGAAGCCACTGCCGCCCTGCACCTGGTTGGCGGAGGAGAGTCCAGAGCCGCTGGTGTATGATCCGGAGGCGGCCTGCTGGCGGGCATTCTGCTGGGCCTGGCTAATGAGCTGCGACACCTGGGAGTTTTTGAAGGCGGAGTTCAATCCAACGTTCTGGCCAAAGCCTGCGGAGAAAGCGGAGTTCTGGCCAAAGCCCGAAGACAGAGCGGCGTTCTGGCCAAAGCCAGCGGTGAGTCCGGCGTTCTGGCCGAAGCCGGAGGACAGGGCGGAGTTCTGGCCGAATCCGGAGGTCAGGGCAGAGTTCTGGCCGAATCCGGAGGACAGAGCGGCATTCTGGCTCAAGCCGGTGTTGAAAGCGGAGTTCTGGCCGAAAGAGCTGCCGAACTGGGAGCTGAAGGCGGAGTTGCTGCCGAAGTTGGAGGCGCTGTTGGCGACGAGACGGGAGGAAGCGGGCTGCACCAGCTGGGGCGCCGAGGCGGTGGTGGTCACTTTACGCTGGTAGTAGTGGGCGGTCTCCACGGGCTGCTGCACAATTTGCACCTGGGGCTGCTGCTTCACAATGCGCTCCTCGTGGCGCACATACTGCTCAGAGGCGGCGGGGGCAGAGTAGACGATGCGCTGGGCTGGAGCAGACACGATCTTCTCCTGGCGGACATACTCCACGTTTCCACTGGAAACGGGGGCAGCACCGCTCACCACATCCAAGGTATTGGCACCGCCGAAGTCTACCTTAGTGCCGGCATTCGAGTTGTCCGAGAACTCAACATTGCTGCCGGCCTGGTGGGCGGAGGAGGCACCGAAGTTGGCGGCGTGGCTGGTCTGGAAGGCGGCGTTGCTGGAGAAGGAGGAGCCGAAGTTGGCGGCACTCTGGGAGCCAAAGGAAGCGGCGTTCTGGGCACCAAAGCCGGCACCGAAGGCAGCACCGCTATTAGCGCCGTAAGAGCTTCCACTGCCGAACTGAGTTCCGGCAGCACCACCAATGGTGTCCACAGAGCCGAACTGAGTTCCGGCAGCTCCACCAATGGAGTCCACAGAGCTGCCACCGGATCCGGCACCAGCGGCGGACTCGGTCACTCCCACAGACTCGTAGGAGCTCTCCAAGTTGCCCAAGTTTCCGGCGGAGGAGTCATATTGACCAGCGGATCCACCGTAGTAGCCACTCGATCCATAGCCGGCATTCTTGCGGGCCTGCTCTATCGCCTGCTGGTGGGCAGCGTTGTGGCTAAGATGGGATTAGTGATTATATTAAAGTTAATTATATTATCACGCAAAAAAAAAAAAGTATTCTATCATATATCAAGAATTGATTCCATCTTCGAATTATAATAGAGCCACATGATTAATAATTATAATCACTGATTATTTCATCTCTTATGTTTTTTCTTCAACTCTTGTTTCAAAAAATTATTCTTGATATATAAATTTTAAAATATATTTTAGTCCTAAAATTTTGTTTGTAATTTTTTATTAAAAATTGTACAGTGCCATGTCAGCCAATGGGGAATATTTCTATTTTTGCCAATTCAAAAAAGAAAATTGCTCATCATTGCCACAAGACACTTACCGGCCATAAAAATCATCGCGTTTTTGTCTGAACAAATATTATTTTTAAAGAGATATGAGATAAATAAAATATTTTAAAGATAATGCGTATACTTTTAGACTTACCTAGCCTGGAAATCTGTAAGAGACAGAAAAGAAACATCATTAATATTTGTGTTCTAGATTCTAGATGATTATTGTGTAAGAAACATAGAACGCATTAGAATCGTAAGTGAAAATATTAATTAGGCTCTTATCGCCACACGCGCCACGTTTTGTAAAAATTACACAAGGTGTTGTGTAAATATTTCATTCAGGGAAAAGCCCTGATGAGATCTATAATCTCAAATAGCGATAAGCCGCTTCCAGGATGAGAGATAGACAGTCGTCAGGACCCGAGACACAATGTTAATATTATAATATGAAATCTTGCACTACCTGCAGCGACCACACCCAGACACAGGGCCAGAATTAAGAACTTGTTCATTTTGAGGATTTTGTACACCTTTCCTTCCCGCGATCGAAATAGTACTAATGATTCCAGTCGTTCGAAACCCCCCTTTAAAGCCTCAGTCGTTCGCTTCGATAAGGTCCACGTAGTATAACTTATACTTGAACTGATTCTTAATTCTTGACCTAGAGAGGATGACGCTCCGGACTGATAATCCAGACTATATATTACCTCGATTTGGGTCTCGTAAATGGTGCAGAAAGCCGGGGAATGATGAAAAAATAATTGTGACATTGTCTCTCGGCACACAAAAATACATTAAATTTGTTTTGTATTCATTTCGGTTTCATTTTTTTAATCGCAAGAACCTAGAATTACCGACCATAATATATATATACAGTTGCCATGTAGAATGACAAGCAATCTCATTCGATTTTTTCTTATTTTCGCGACTATATTTATAGGTGTAATGAGCTCACTTTGAACTTAGAAATATGATGACCAAGGTGAAGGAATGTATAGAAGACCGTGAGCCCGAACTCGGTTTCCGGAAGTGTTAGTTTCCTTTCTCGATTTTTGTTTTAGTTTTGTAGAATCGTAAGTGTAATCGAGCCAAACTTGGCATGATTATTTTGTAAACAATATTGCGATTTATAGATTGAAATTTTAATGGAGGTTCTAATAGTTATATGATGAATTGATTTTTATGATCTATTAGATAACACTTCTCTTTTTAATGAGAAACTTTCAGCTTGTTTAAAAATTAAGTCAAAAAATACTTTTGGATGCATTTTTAGTGTTCTATTTGGGCGTTTATTATTATTATTACTATTATCACGTTTTATGAATTATTTAAAATTTAAGTTTTAAAGGAAAAGGAACAGATCCATATTAAAAAAAGCCGTAAATCTTTTTTGATGTTTTTTGGTTTTTTTTTTCAAAAATAAATTTATAAAAGAAGGTCAAAAATCCCATTTTTCATTCGCTTTTCAAGTAATTTTATGATTTTTTTGTGAAAAACACAAATAATTCTAACAAGTCTGAAAAAGACCGACTTTGATAATTCGGTCGTTTTATAAAGTCTCAATTCCGATCAGTTAGATCATTTCCTGTCACCTTTGATAAGCACTTCCACCAATTAAAAAACAAAAAGGAAACATTAACGTAAATATAAATTATCATTTTAATGATTAAAGCAAATGGTTATGTATGCGTGTATTTTTTATTTATATACCAAATATATACTCTAATATAAAAATATATATTCTACATCATTATCTTCACTAAACAGAGACAAAATCAAGGTTATCTGAGCAAAAAATTTGAATATTTTTAGTGTCTGATTCGGAGAGTAAACTTTCTAATAAAAGAAAGCGTCGCTCTGAAAATCCCACCGATAAGAAAGTCCCCGAATATACAATAAAATAAACATATAGTTATATATATTTTCATAAAAATTAATTGGAATCGATTAGCTTTTGTATTGAATAATAGCCAAGCCCCCCAATGTGGTTGGAGAAAGGGCCTCCGGTCGACGATCTCCCCTAAGAGTGGACCGAATAGGAGGTAATCTTTCCATTGTCATTCACGGTGGTCTGGGCTCCGCGACGGCTGGTTCCATCTCCATTGCTCTGGCTGAAGGATGACACCGAGACGCCCTTGTAACCACCGCCTCCTCCACCGCCACTGGAGCTGCTGGAGCTGGAGTACGAAGAGCCACCACCGCTGCCGCCACCAAAGCGGTTCACAATATTGGGAGAGGCCTGTACATAAAGATGGAAATTAGTTTTGAATTATAAGCTTTACTTAAAAATACAAATACCTTATTAAGTGTTTTGGTTTTCAATTTGATGGACTTTTGTAATTTTAAAAAATATAATAAACAAACATTGAAAAATTTTAAAATATGTTATTTCATTTATATATTTTCTGTAAGAATTAGTATTACTATAAGAACCAATGGACCTTTTTGTTAAAAGCTGAGAAATTTTCAGGTAAGTTCTTTAAGCCATATTGAATCCAAAACCAAAGAGAGGATTAAGCATTTTAATATATAAATCATAAAAGCCATTTTTATATGAAAAACAAAGCTTGATAAATAATAGCCAACTGTGGATGTCCTAAAATATTATACTTATCCAACTTACCGGGTTTGCAGGATTGATGTAAGCCGTCTGCCTGTATCCATTAGGTCCGATGGAGCCCGAGGCAGCAGCATAGCTGGGAGCATAGCGGTGCGAGTTATAAGATCCACCAGATCCCGAAGCCGATCCCGAAGCCGATCCAGAAGCATATCCTGAGCCACCTCTGTAGCTTGTCTGGCGTATTAGATTATCATGGTAGGCCTGTTGAGCGGCGATTTGCTGCTGGATGCGACTGTCAAAGGTAGAATATAATTCTATTAAATCGAGGACTAATAAAGAAGGGATAGGATAAGCCTAGTGTAATTACAGATCATTGTCATCAACCAGTGAAGCATCCGCAGATGCATAAGCATTGCCAGCCGTGGCCAGACCAGTTATAGCTCTACAAGAACAGATTTAACAGAATGGGAAGCGTTAGTCCTTAGCCCGTCTTAAAAACTACCATTTAAAACCAAAAAGATAAAAGCCGGTGCAGTGCTCACTGTTGGTTGGCGTAGTTCTGGGCCAGGATGTGGTTGGTCAGCTGCTGGTGGAAGAGATAGGGATCGATGATGCCAAAGTTGGGCGACGAGCCATCGAAGTCATCGTAATCGTAGTATCCACCGCCGCCGCCGCCGTTTCCCACGAAGCTGGTGTGGACACCGCCACCACCACCGCTGTTGTAAGTTCCAGTGTATCCTCCGGTTCCACCGCCGCTGCTAGCAAAGCCACCTGCATATCCTCCGGCGTAAGCACGACGTCTACGGGACGGACGGTTCGCTATAGGAATTTATTAAAAATGTGTTAATTGATTCAAAAACAGGAAACCAAAAGTTTGATGGGTTCTCTTACCCCCAGATGATTCGCCATTCAGAGCACTCATCACCACACAGATCAAAAGAAGCTTCCACATTTTATTCAACTCGCTGGGAGTTAAGAGCTGATAAAAAGAAAACATAAAACAATCATTAAGAACTGGTTAAAAATTGGTGTAAATATAACTGGTTTCAAGGCACTGATGCATAATCAAGATATCATAGATTTTAAAAATGTAAACAACAAATCAAATAAGCGGAAATGGATAGCCTCATCCAAATATATATCTAAAGGGGCCCGGCTTATGCAAGATCAGACTTTAGAGTCCAAGCTTCTGTTGTCTCATTGTTCTCCGGTGGTGACTTTCTCACCAACATCCATTAGTCACTATTTAGTATAGACCCTGAGGCAGAATCCACAAATCCGCTTGTATAAGCCCTTAATCTAGGCAGGGGGATGTACTGGGGGATGTACATATTTAATCGATTCCCGGGTCATTGGCATCCATGCACTCCCCCGTTGGCCCTCTGGGCCCGGCACGATGTTTATTCATAACTTGCAATTACAAGCCTTTTCATAAATTGTGCAACCCCGGGCCAACTAATTGCTACTACACGACTTTTCAATAATGAATTGGCATAAAGAAATCACAGCCAGAACTGGACAAAAAAAATTAACTGGAGAGAGCAGGCGGTGCGGCCCAATCGGAAATCCCCAAAATGTAAATTAATGGATCTCCATATGACTCTGTATATTATTGTTTTCTAGGCTTGTGCCAGGGTGGAGGAGGCTCCAAAAAACCGGTTCCTACTAATTTGTTCAGCGTTTAGAAATTGATATTGAATGTTTTGGTCGATTATTTTATTTTGATTTTTTCCCTTTTTGGCTTCAACACACGACTGACTGACTGCATATATTTTTGGATGCGCCATTTATATTCCAATTTGTTTACGCTTTTGTTTCTCATTTTTTTACAAAAGTTTATTAAGACGGGGATTTTTTTGTATTTTACTCTCAGGGGCACTCTGGATGTTCTAATTGAGGATGACTTTTGATTTGGACAACCGGTCGGCTCAAGATGAAACATTAATAATTAACAATAATTTTTTAAACAAAGCAACTCCACTGAAGAGCACTCCCGTTTAACTGGTTGGGTTTGTTTTTGCTTATTTTTTTACAATGCCATGGTATTGTTTCAGTGCCAATTGTCTCTCTCATTCCGAAAACTAAAATAATCACATTTTATGATAAGGCCCGACTCTGCCACACCACATACACGGCCAAATACGGAACCAAAACTGCGCCACAAATTGGCAAAACTATCAAATATATACGTATAAATATTGAGAGCCGACTCTTGATTCTGGAATCGAGAATTCTCTGTATATATATTGACAGAGACTGAGAACCAGCGAACTGAGACGATCTGAGATATAGCACGGACTCACTTGATCTGTTTATATTTCGCGTTTTTAACCAGTTCTTCTAATATTTAATATTTGAGCTCCAACTTGGATTCAGATCTTCAGATTTCAGATCTATTCTCGCGCACTCCGATCGATCTTCTTCGTTGGACGGCGACTGGACAACTTCTGAGTTCGATCAGGTGAGTGCAGATCCTCTTATAAACGCCGCAGCACCTTTGTTTTGCTTTTTGGCCGGGAGCGATGACGGCACTCGACACGCTCGCTTGGGGTCGGATGCTCCCATGTAAGAGGGAGAGAGGCTCGATGGCTGACTAATTTTAATAAAATACAGTATATTCTTGTCTTTTCGTAGGTAACATTTTGATGAAAGCTCTCCACGTCTCTAAATGGGTTTATTTTGCTCTTTGACTTTTGGAGTTTCCGAATTTTTTCACTTCTCTTGGTACTACAATACCCCAAAATGTGGTTTCCTTGTTAATTAATGGAATATTTCAGACTTCCCATGACTTTAAGAAATTTGTATAAAAAGAATTAAAAGGTACTTGCTTCTGGTTGGCACAGATTTAAAATCCGCGAATAATAATTATTATTGTTCATGGCTCTGTCAATAATGATCAAATTCAATAATGGCATACCTTCCCAATCCCAATCTAGATTTTAAAGTGGAATCATTCTTAATAAAAACCTGGTTCACCAAAGTGTACGCTTTTCCTTAAGGGGTACAGGATTTCTTTCAAGAATTTACAAACTTTTTATTTCTAAAATTATAATATAGGTTATAGAGGATTAAAGCCTTGATTCAAAAATATGTTGTACTCTTTTTCTTAATCGGATCAAAAATGACTGAGATATGTCCTCAAAAATACCTAAAAAATTATCAATGTGGCATATTTCCATCAATGTTTTCTTTTGTTCAAATAAGGAGTGTTGGTCATAATTTCGTATCCTCATATTTTGACAGAGATTAAAGGAGGATGGAGACCCTGATTTGACATATGTATATAAAACAATATTCCGTTTGAAAGTCAGTAGCAAAATAGCCAAGATATACCCTAAAAAGTAATCCAAAGTTTTCAGTTTTAAAGGATTTTAGAGGATGGTAATTTCTAGAAGGGTCTATTGCCTTCAAAAATAAGTTGCATTTAGAAAAAGTCTCCACAAAACAATAATTTAAAAATACTTAATCTGATTCGCTCCAAATAATATTTAAATGATCTATAACCAAGAGAAACAAACTTATCAAGTAGAAAATATTTTTTAAATGAATAATTGTTGTTATTATGTCAACTGTTTTCATAGAAATTGGAAACGCAACGAATGCCAATTATTCGGTATAATTTAACTACTTTAGTTCCTTGTTGGTACCAAAGGTACTAACTCCAAAGTTCAAAATAAATGATTCACTCCTTAATACAAGCTTTTAAAAGAACCAATAATTAGTTTTTAATCATTAAATGTTTATTAAACTTTTTAAACCGTAAACTAATAACAGATTTGATCTTAAAATACTCGAATGTATAGTTTATGATATCAAACGTTTACTAGGATCGATGCGAATGCAGTTGGCCATAATACCTGGTTACAAATGAGGCAACAACAACGATTACAACTTGCTTTCTTTATAGGACATCTATATACTGGACTCTACTCCAAAGCCCAAGGCACTTTTCTAGCTACATATAATATATAGGAATATCGGTGGGCCGGGTGATGTAGCTCCTTCAGAGTTTCGACTGAGCCTGCGGTAGGATAACGTCTCGCCACCAAGTGGGTCGCTGGAAGGCTCCCTCGTTGGTCATAAATTCATTCTGCAGATTCTCGTAGAGTAGTCCATCAGCTCGGGCGATCACCGAGTTGAGGGCAAAGTCGGGTGGGGCGATGGCATCCGCAATGCTCACGGCCACGTCCTTCAGCTTCAGGCAACTGTCCAGCAGGAGCTGTCGCACTGCCGCCGCAAAGTCCTGGCCCGTGGCGAATCCTCCCACATAGAAGGTGGTCATGTGCTTCTCCAACAGCCACATGGCATAGACATCGAAGAGGAGGCGGAGCACCGAGGCGTAACTGTCCTCCACTTGCAGTTTCCGGACATGGTCGACGTAGCGGCTTAGGGCGTAGTACTCGGCATAGGCCAGGGACAGTTCCCGGGCTCCGGCCACCTGCGAGTTGTTCCGGGCGTCAAACTTACTGGCTCCGGCAGCCAATTGGGCCTCGATGTGGGCCGTGGTGTGGGCCATCAGGTGGCAGAGGAGCCACTCGTAGCACCTGAGGGAGACTGAAAGAAAGAAAAGGATATTAGTTCTCAAATATACATCTACTCCACAAAAACCTACACTCCCAACTGGAGATGGGCGTCTTCTGGGCCAAGGAGGCGTATTTAAGGGCCAGGAGTTCGCCACGTCGCTCCAGAAACTTTACACTGCCAATGGGTGTCTCCAGCTCCTTGGAGCTCCACTGGCGGAGCAGCCAGTTGGAGGCCTGTTGGCCCAGGACATTGTTGTCGCCCTCGTAGGTGCAGAGGGGATCGTGGTCGGTACGCATCTGACCAAGTTTGGCGGCAGCGAGGTAACCGTGTCCACCACAGGCTTCCCGGGCCTCCTGGATGGCATCCCGAGCTGCCCAAGTTATCCGTGGCTTGGAGGCCGAGATCAAAGCATGTATCTCAGCGGCATTTTGGGTCTATAAGAAGATTAATTTATAATTAATTATATAGAAAGGTATTTAAAAAAACTCACCAGAATATCAAAGCCATTGGAATCCGCCTGGGAACGGGCTATGATCTCCAGATACGTGAATGTCAGTTCCTCCACGGCTATTTTTTGCACGCAGGCTGCCGCCAAGTAAGGGAAGATGCGGTATTGCTAAGGACATTACTTTGCATTAAAAAAGGACACATAATAGGAACCATTATATACTCACATGCAGCTGGTACTCCAGGATGGCCATCTCGTCGCCTTGGCGCTCCGGACCAAACTGCTTCCGTACCGCCGCATATCGAACGGCGATCACGGCGGCACTGCAGAGCGTGTTGGCCGACTCCTGCATGATGCCAATCCTGCCGGCGGAGAAACTCTCCAGGGCCGCTCCAAGCACCTTGCCCGGCTCGGTGAAGACACTCTCGTAGGCTCCCTCGGGTGTCACGTCACTGGTGCGATTGAGGAGATTGTCCCGCGGAATGCGATAATTGGTGAAGACCACGAATCCATTGTCGATGCCATTCAGGCCACACTTCTCGCCGATGTCCCCCACCAGGACACCCGGATAGGAGAGCAGGGTCTTGGGATCGCGAATGGGAATCAGGAAGCCGTGCAGTCCATGGTTCTCCCCATCGGCCGTGTACAGGTTGGCGAAGGTCATGGCCACGGTGGCCGTTTTGCCCAGATTTCCGACCCAGCACTTGGCCGCCTCGAAGTCCGGGGTGTTGATCACAAACTCCTGCGTAGCCGGGTCATACGTGGCCGTTGTCCGGATGCTCTTGGTATTGCTGCCATGGGATAGCTCCGTGATGGCCAGACAGGTGATCACCTCCCGGTTCCAGGCCGCCTCAATGTACTTAGTGTGCTTCTCGGTGCCCATCGCCCGGATGGCGTTGTTGAAGAGTCCCACGCCCAAGGCGATCTTCACCGAGAGACTGGGCGAGTAGCAGGCCAGGGCCTCGTTGATGTACATGAGGTACTTGGTCTTGGCCGAGAAGCTCAGCTTCTCGATCTCCTTGGGCACCAGATCCAGGTGCTTCATCCGGTTGACCTGCATGGCACAGAGTCGCTTCTGCTCGTCCATGGGTAGGGTGCGGGAGGGATGGGCGAAAAGGGGGTCATTCTCCAAGCGGCGCCACACTTTGTACTGAAAGAAATAGGGGTAAGCTTTAATTTTATTTTTTAAAATATAAGAATACTCTTATTAATTCGTTACTTTTAATAAAAATCTTTTTGTTTTTGGTTTAGAATTCCATCTCACCTTGATGCGCAATCCCTGTTCCTTTTCGAAAATTAATCGAAGTCTTTTCCAGTCGAAATTGGCTCTCTTCCGGTACGCCGCCAATGGTCCACCACTGGGAAGATCGGGAATAAAACTGGTGTCCTCATTGGCCATTGTGCGATTGGTTAACTATTTTGGTAAAAAAAAAAACGAAAGTAACCAGTCAGTGGAGCTGTTAACAGTTTGCAGGCCCCAGAACGAATGAGCTCCCTAGTTGGCCTGCAAGTGCCTTTAAATGGCCAGATATAAAACCCACAAGTGGAGCACTCGAACATCATTATCTGAAAGTCTGAAGCCATATAAAACTAAAGTCGCTAAGGTAATGGGTTTTAGAGCAATATAAATCTGATGTACAGTTTCAAAGCTAGGGGATGGTTTGTGACACTGATAAGAGACTAGGAACGGTTTAGTTGGTTCAAAAACCAAAGGGAGAACACTTCTTTCCTTAAAGGTTCTTTCCATTTAAAATACATAAAAAATTAATAATTAACTAATTTTAAATACAAAACTATCTTATCATTAGCACTATACAATGTTAGATTTATCAATGAAATTTGGATTAGTTACGTATTGAGTGTTACATGTCCTCAGACAGAAAAATGATAGTAAGTGATAGTAAAAATGATATGGCTTCGAGGGTACTTTAAAAATTATAATATTTTAAATGGGTTGGCAACAAAGTCGGTAGAAGTTTAGAAACTAAATTCCATAGACAATCATTTCTAAAAGTTTAATATTTTATTCCCCAAACTTCTCCCACAAAAGCAACTAACTTTTAAACTGTCATTTTTAGGAAAAACCCTTCAGTTTACCAACTTCTATCCCTAATTCCCTAATCCAAATAGACTGTGAGGGGCTGGCTTTTAAAACCCCAATAGAAAAACTGCGAAAATGACCTCAAAGGCTCAAAACGATGCCTATCGCATCGCCCGGCAGGTGAAGAAGAACTTCCCGCATCGCAACTTCCGTGAAATCAGTTTCGACCGGGAGGCTATCCGGAAGGATATCTTGCCCCTGTCTTATGACGAAGCCTGCCGACTCCGGGGCCCTGTATTCGAGGCCCTGGAGGACGAGTTGCGCCGGGGAGGATGCACCATGCTGCCGGAATTCCTTCACTGCCTGGCCTCCAAGGAGCAGGCCCTCTTCGAGAGTCTGAATATTCGAGAGCGCCTATCCGATGACCTGCCGCTGCTCTACAAGATCGTCAACATCCTGGCCGACGCTGAGTTGTCCGTGATTGTGAATAAGCATCGAGGACTGAAAGCGTGCTTCTCCGGATTCTATGACACCATGCAGATTCTGGAGCCATACCGCCAGAAGTACGGATACGCCCTGAATGCCCTGAACGAGCACATCATCTCGCTGTGCCACAACATTCAGGGGCAGGAGCGAGATGCAAACGAGCCCATCTCAAGGATCTACTACGCTTATGCCACATATCTGGCAAACACGGGTCAGCGGGTGAATGCCATTGACTATCTCCAGATCGCCATGAATCTGGTCCGGGGTCATGTCTGGACCGCCGAGCTGGGAATGCCCGCGGGCAGCCTCACTCTCCACGAACTGGTTGCCCAGGACCTCGCCCGCCTGCTGCTCATCCAAGGCAAGGCCGTTGTGCGCCAGCAGCCGGAGGATGCCGTGGCCATGGCCCGACGGGCAACCGTCCTCATAGCCGAGAGTAAGTGTCCTTTGAAGGATAATGAGTCCTGACTACAAATCCTTAAAATAGTTGGCAGGGAGAAGAACTTGGAGATATTCATCGACACCTTCTTGGAGAGGGCCAACTTTCTGATGGAGATTGGCAACTACAACTCGGCCCAGCAGTGTCTGGACCAGATCCGCACCCAGATCCTGGCCTGCACCGAATATCGGTTTATCAAGTTGAACATTAAGTATTATCTGTTCCAAGGACAGTGCTATGAGGTGTAAGTTGGCTTTTATAGTTAAGGCTTCAAAATATTTACAAATATCTTTGGTTAGCTTTGAGGTCGTGGACAAAGCCATTTCGAGCTACAAGAGAGCCCTGCGCCTTTCGCGCATCTACTCGCACAAGGACCTGGAGGCGCAGATCCTTCTGTATTTGGGAAAAATCTTCGCCAAGGATACCCAAATGACGAGTATTGCCAAAAAGTGCTACGAACATGCCAAGCGCATTTACGTGGACTTCAATGACCAGCACAGTCGCAAAATGGCCAACTACCTGAAGGCCAAGCTGATGGCCGACGAGATCACTCCTCTGTACATGGCCATGTTGAAGGCCTCCACTTCGAGGTACTGTGCCTTCTTCAATCTCCGCCAGTGGAAGAACCGCTGCCGTCCCTTCTGGCATCATCTTGGCGATGAGATCATCAAACAGGAGCGGGATAGTATCTACTGTCTGCTCGACGAGGAAAAGGAGGATATTGTAAGGATAGACTTTATAGTTTTAGACCAAACTCTTGATCTTTTTCCCTTTTTCCAGGTCCGTGATATAGACGATATCGAACTGAAAACCTATAAGCTAGAGGAGGGTGACATTTAATCCCTCTGATTCGAGTTATATTCTCAATTGTAAAAATTATATTTGTTATTGCTCATTAAATTTGTTTGGCAAGTAATTACTTTTTACAATCGATTTTTTCATAGCATATTAGATAATCTAATGATCTAATGGCTTAAAGTATTTTTATTATCATTATCACTTGATAGTTGGATTGTGGCACGTCCCCAGCAAATGTCTGGCACGTGTCTGGTTTTGGGGGTTTCACTACTGAAGTGGTCTCATAAATTCCAAATGCTGCATATATCGAAGATTATCAAATCGGGCGACAATATGCATGAGTCAAAGTACCGCATGAATTTATTGGACTCCAATATCTAAGCTATTCGATCACGCACTCGCATTCCAAGTCAATCTCGAGAATAAAAATAAACCCCATGTGAACTGCCAGACCCCCTGGCTCTTCAAAGTGTCCAGAAGTTCAGAGCATGAGGCCATCATGCTGGTAATTAAATAACAATGGATCATGGATTCATTAAAGAACTCTTAAAGAATAAAGAATGATTCATAGAGTTTTTGTAAGAAGTGGATATAGACTTTCTAGAATTACATGAGAAACTGTCATTTGAAGTTTCCGAGACTTGTAAGAAATCGATAGGGGAATCATTTTCTATTTTTATTTATTTTATGTATCTTAAATATCTCCCATTAAACGTGACCATTTTTAAATATATTGTCGTGACACCTATAGCAGTAATACTCTCATTTGATTACTCAGATACAAATTACAACAAATTTGCCGGATCGGTGACAATTATCGACTAATTATGACAATTAGCAATAATTATAACAGTGAGCCCACAATCACAGCGATAAGTTTATATTGTCTAGGTTCGGGTATTCCGAAACGTCGAGGAACCGACCATAAAACTGGTTTTATGGACTTCTCAGAAAGTTTACTGCCTCACTTAATTAGCACGACTCGATTCACAATCTGAGATATGTACAATATACAAGTATTACGTACTTGCACCCAAGAGTCCCCGGGACAATCTGAATTTTTTTTGCGTAATCACCAAGAAACACGCTCCACTCCACTTTGTTTGCTTACCCTCGACAGTGACAGTCTTTTTTGTTTTCAAGCGAAAAAAATAGGGGAACAATGTAGAAGATTTGAAATAAAAATTAGAATTTCAAAGCTTCACTTCGAGGGGCGTATGTTTTTTTGTTGCTGAGTGTGTCAGCCGCAGCCGGAAAGAGCAAATATGTTTATAAAACGGCAGAAATCCAAACAAACTGAAATCCAAACATACAAAAAAATGCAGAAAAACCCCAGAAACTGATAAGCCTTTGCCGGAAAGTTTTAGGAGCACTGGGCTCCCCAAAGGGGGCAGGCTTACGTGAGTTGGCCAGGTGTGCTTGTAATGGCCAAAAGCTATTAACGTTGCGTGCCGTGGAAGTTGTTGTCACAATTTGTTGGCCAGCCACCCGGTGGAGTGTGGGATCTGTTTTTGTGTCAACCTTGAACATGAAAATAGCCGGGGCATTTATTAATACACTCTTCCCTTTCGATAAAATGGTGCTGGAAACTGGCGAGTCTTTTTTTTTTAAAATGATTTATAATGCAATTTGGCGCAACTAATTTCACTTTTATTCATTCAGCCTGCAGTCGGGCTTTGACAAATTAGAGAACAATCAACACTCCAGCACAGAGGGCCCCTGAATTATGACCACAATACGCCCAATTGAAACTGATATCATGGTACAGTAAAGGGTCGCGTATGTGGGATTAAATATTAATAATAGTACTATTATTCACTGAATAAAATTACATATTTTAAGTTATGAAATTAGTCATAAATATTAAAGGAATTACATCCTTCCTAAGCTTTATTTAAAGAGTTTTTAATAGAACCAGAGTTCTATTTAATCGAATCTATCAATTTAGGACTCCAATCACCATAATCTGTTGATTACAAAACTTGATTATCATCTAGCGTGTTGGAAATAAATCACCAAAAATGACTTTAATTTTTGAGAAAATTAGTAATCACTTTAATCAATACAAGGTGCAATAAAGTAGCACTATAACTAATTTTTATGGAGTTCTCGAACTCTCTCGAACACTTAATAACACCCTGACACAGACCCTCCGGGGACTCTCCACTGTACCGAAGGGCACACCCTGTATGGCAGGACTCGGGCCAGTGCCTGGTCTCATATTACATCACCAACAAGTAGGTAAGCCCGCTAACGCACTGGGTTTTGGCCCAAAAGGCGGGAGAGAGAAGAAAGTCAGAATCGGAGTCAGGGTCTCTGGGCCACGTGAGACTTGTTTTGTGTGTGTGTGTGTGTGTGTGTGTGTACAACCTGTAGAGCCTCTTCTCCGACCCGCCCTAATCGTTCTCCCGCTGGAATGTCTTCTGTTCTGGTTAGTTTCAAAAATTGAAAACTGTTAGCCCGACCGACTGAGCTCATAAAAGAAAACAATTAAAAGTATATATGTATCTAGATACACACCCACACGCGGAATTCAAAAGCAGCAGAACAAAAACAACAACCGGCACACGAACCGAACCGGAGAATCGGAGACACGAACCGACACGGCCAACGGATGGGAAGCGAATGAATGCGAACTGAGCGAGAAAAACGTCGAATAATTCAAATTACACAGAGAAAAAGATACAAGAGATAGGGATAAGGGTAATAAAAAAAATGAATAAGCTTCTATATTTATTTTAATGATTTTATTACTTAATATAGGCAATATGTCCGGTATTGAACAAATATTTAATATATTTAATATTTTAATATTCGTATTTGTAATTCCTGTTTATAATTTTTCGTAAATCCATACCTTCCCTTAAGTCCCTAATTCTTCTCCTGAGAATTCTAATTATTTTCTTCAGTGTAAAATGGAACCCTACCGTGTTTCATAGGGGCTAACCTCGCACTCTCGCTCAGAGGGATGGAGGGATGTAGCGGGTGTCTGTGGGTGGGGGGCGGAACAGGTCGATGAGAGCATGCTGGCCAGCACGCTGGTTAGCTCTTCCTCTGGCCCCCATGATGTTCAATGTCAAGTGGCTGTGCCAACCGGCCGGCATCGGTTCTCATTGCTGCCAGACTCACCGCATCCGAAAGATACGAAAAAAAGAGTGAGAGAGACCGGCCATGAGCGGGCTGTGGGATGTTTTTGTGCAAACAAGATACAGATACAAGATACTGGAGGTATGGCTAAGAGAGCTGCGGCTAACAGAGCTCTGTTAACTTAACAGGGGAGTCAAGACAATGTTTTACTTGATTTCAATGTTTATTAGGCTTTTGTTAGGGTTTAAAATATTGAAAATAAAAACTTAATAAATTTTAAATATCAAATTAATATTTAAATTTATTAATTAATATTTTTCCATAATTTTTAATTCTTTTCTAATTTAGATATTCAAGCTAAAGAGAACGCATCCTGCTTGCGCCTGTGCGTATGCTATGAAATTTTCACCTCGCATCTTTTGGCCCAAAAAAGGACAATTTCCAGAATATTTTTTTCCTCTAGGCCATTTATTTTGAAATATTCTTCAAAAAATTGTAGACCTCATATTTTTTGATATTTAAACTGTCAACAATAACGACCTTGTGCTGAAATAATAAATCAAAAAGAGCCCCACCCTCAAAAATATAAAACAACACGAGGCTTTCTCATATTTGATTTATTTATCATTTTGCGGTCTTTTTCTTTTCAAACGAGAAGCAATATCAAAGTGACCAACATATGTAATGTAATTTGATTAGGATTAGTGTCCGCTAATTGGTTACGATTGCCATTTTATTATTTTCATCGTAGCCTGTTCGATCGACGTTAATTAAATTACTAATTTGACTTGGTTATAAAAAGCACAGATGCACGGTAAGTATGTGTGTATGGGGGCATTGGCGGCGTGTTGGTACAAAGGGGAGTCGTAGATCGTATAAAAAACAGTATTATATCCGTAACTAGAGTTTTGGCAGCTGCGAATTCAACCGAATATCTTGTCGAAACAGGTGTGGCAGTATGGCTTGTCCTTTTGCTCCTTGAACGTTCCCTTGTTCAGTTGCTTCAAGCAGAAGGCGCAGACGAAGTGTTCCGGATGGAATTTCTTGAACATGGCCGTAATGCAGCGTCCGGTGATCGGTTTGGAGCATCCGGCGCACAAGGAGCCGCGCTTCGCGTGGTAGTGGGTCTCGCAATAGGGCAGTCCCTCGTGGTCAAAGAAAGAGCCACCCTGGAATGGCTGCCGACAGTCCTGTAAATAAAAGGAAATAAAATTATATTAACCTTCTATTATATTTCAGATTTCATATTTTAATATAATTTAATTTAATATAACATTTAAAAAACTAGAAAGGAAGAATCTGTAGCAACTTCCAACTTTTTATCTTCAAAAAAACGACAGTATGTTATTTCCAATAGTTCAGTTATATGGCAGCTAAAGGATATTGGTTCTTTCCCCTATATGGCCCACTGTGATGGCTATATCTTCCCCAATTCTCATCCGATTCTTAAGCGGAGTACCTTAAACGATTTCTAGATGGATTCCCCACCGTTCTGCATCAAAATCCTAATCCTAAAATATTTTTTAGATTTTTTGTCCATTTTTCGTGATGGGATCCCTAGAAAATGGGGTTTTTCCCTATATGGCCCACAGTGATGGCTATATCTTCCCCAATTCTCATTCTGACCCCTAAGCTTTCACTTTTTGTGAAATTTCCAATAAAATACTATTTAAATACAGAGTATGACAGAATAAATCGGTTACTGCGCCATTAGATGAAAACTACAAACAATATCTTGGCACTTGACATTCGTGCAAATATGTGTTTATGGGATATGAAAACATATTAGAGGTATGAGGATGATGTATTGTGGGCCAAATGGTTTCTGCAGTCGCCGTCTGAGGCTAATTACGACCATAAATTAGTTGCCATATAGCATGACCGGCCAGCAAACCGATCAAGAGTCGTCAACATCATATTTGTTGTGAGAAATTTTACGCCTGACCTGAAAAACCTAATTAGAATTTTGACAAACTCAAAAGTGTCGGATGGACCTGGCCGGTACCCTGGGCCCACTGTGCTTGGGCTCTGTTTTTCGGGCTAATTGACAACGAAAAAATTTTAACATTTGAAAAACACTAGAAACGCAGAAATTTAAATATGATAAATATACGGAGGAGAGATCCGGCCAAAGACATTTGTTTTAATCCCATTTTATTTTCTGGTTTTTTGGAAAAACATTTCAACAGCAACAGCAACAATTGTCTTAAGACAATAACATTTTGCGCACGCTTTTGGCCAAGTTCCAATTGGGAATGGCCAGGGCATGCCCAGGGGCGGGGGCAGTGATAAAGAAAGGGGTGGTGACGGAGGAGGATATCATCGAGGCGGCAAACAAAAATCGGGCCATGGAGAGAAGGACCATTGAGAACTTGATATGTGCATACGGGGGAAAGAACTATTTTCGGTTTTCACCTCCTCATAACAAATCAATCATTCCATAAACAACAGGTGCATGTATTTCCCTTAAAAATTTTAACAAAATTTTCCTCTTTGATTATTGTGAGAGTGCTCTTGCCCCCATAAGTGGAGCATGGCAACAATAACGAAAAATCAAATAATCAATATCGGTGCGAACTAAAAATACAACTCGAGTATGTGGCACGAACTTTCTTCAATCAATCGGAGGAATTCTATTCTATATAGAAGTATATATATTTAGTGCAATTTGTGCTCTATTTTTGGATAATATATTTTGGAAATACTTGCAGTCATTAATCTTCTGAAGAATCTAGTTTAGCTAATCAATCCAATTAACACCCTGGGATTCCCATTAAGTCTAGGCAATAAACAGTGCGAATCCTACGTCTAATATAGACAGATATATGGTCGAGCAGAGCATACTATATGTAGTCTATAATGCCGACTAGAACGTCAGCAACGAAAATAGTCTCAACTAGTAAATTAATTGCTCGCGCTAATCGAAATCTATTCCACAATATTGTAATTTGTTTAGCAACAACAATGACAACAAGAAAGAAATAGCGGGGGTGTGACAGGAGCTGAATCGTATGTCAAGGCCAGCGCACTGACACTGACCTTGACACGAGGTCTGCCTGCCAGCATCGTGGGTGGCGGGTGGTGGGCGGTGTCTGAGGGTCACCGTCACCTTGAAAAGTTATAAGCTCTTACAACTTTTCTTTCCCCTTTTTTCTTTCTTGTTTTTTTTTGTTTATTTTTTTTTGTGTTTTTTTTTTTAATATGTAATTATTAAAATTTTATTTACAAAAACAAATTACAATATTGTTGCTCATTTTTATAAATGAATTAAAATTTAAAAAGTACCTATTAACTTAAGCCTACAAAATTGCATAGAAAAGTTCAACAAGTCAGTTTTTTGGGGGCCGGGTCAGGGGCTTTATAGGGGCAAAGACCATCATAGAGGGTTTCAAAATCATTTCTCCAGCGGCGCCTGCCCCCCTTTCCAAAGAAAAAGGGGTGGGCCAGCTGGGGGGTTCTAACTGGGACTGGGGGTGGCTGCTGTTGGTGTTGCTGTTGCTGCTGTGTGTTGCTGTTGCTGTTGTGCCTGTTGCTCCTAGACCCGCAACGAAAATAGACCAAGACGGACGGCGGGCAGCTGTTTAGTTAATTTTTTTTGGTTTTTTTGCCCGCTAGTCTCCTCTCATGATGCTGATTATAAAAAAATAAAAAGTGGCACGCAGCTAGATACAAAAATGTATCTAAAGCTGCCACCACCACCCGGGTCTATTTTCGTTTGGCTGCTGAACTTCAGCAACAAGTTTTTGGTGATGCTGCTGCTGATGCCAGTGAGGATGCTGTCTCTCGCCTTATTCCTCCTCATCGACGCCCACGCACTGTGGACAGACGGGCTTGCCCTCCATGGCATAGAAGGATTTGCCGCGCACGGCCTTCTTGCAGTCCTAAAGTAACAAAAAGGTCACACCAGAAAGGTTAAGGTTGAGGTCAAAGAAACCAAATATATATAAAATGAATAAAGTATTCTAGAGAGATCATAAACCTAGTAAGATCATAAACCTACCCTGCAGACAAAGCAGTCGGGATGCCACTGCGAGTTCAGCGCCGAGATGTAGTTCTCCATGATGGCCCGGTTGCAGCCATTGCACTTCGGGGCAAACATCTCAAAGTAGTCGTTGCGGCAGTAGGGCTTGCCGTCGCGCTCATGGAAGCCCTCCTCGCCGAACTGCTGGCCGCACTGGGCGCAGAAGAAGTGCTCCGTGTGCCAGGTCTTGTCCAGCGCCGTGACGCACTTGTCCAGGATGGCGCCGTTGCAGTAGGCACACCGTGGGCTAAACAGATTGTGGTAGTCGGGCTCGCAGTAGGGGAAGCCGTCGCGTTCAAAGAAGTTGCGGGTGCCCAGCTCCTGGCTGCAGTGGTTGCACGTAAAGTGCTCCGGATGCCAGGTCTTGCCCAGGGCGGTGATCACCTGGCCGACGATCGGCTTCTCGCAGGCATTGCAGCAGCCCTTCTGTACAGTGTTGACTCCTTGGCGACTCATATTGGCCTGTAGGTTTCCTAGCATAGAATCCAACTGATCCTCGCGACTGTCCTCGACGATGGTCGTCTCCTCGATCGTCTGGGTGAGATGTGCCTGTTGGCTGCCCTTGTTCGGTCTGGCGTAGTCGGTCACCGTTTGGTGTTGCAGCGTCGATGAGTGTTGCTGGGAGTGGTGGTTGCCTGTTCCTGTTCCTGGTCCGGTTCCGTTTCCGTTGCCGATACCGTTGCTTCCGTTGCTGACCTGCGAATGGTTAAGAGTAATTCTCCAATTAGTTCCTTCGATCCTGAAATCTCTGTACAGTTCTGCGTTCTGTGATCTTACGTCGATGTGCCTGCCGCGACTGAATCAAAAGTTGTGCCAGCGCCAGTACAAAAACTTTTGCTTTTAGCCGCCGCCACAAAAAAAAAAAAAAATACCAAAATATCAAAAATAATGTTTTTCTTCCTCTTTGCACAGATTCTCCTGCCCCATACATACGCCACTGTGTGCGTTTGTATCTATGTGTGCCCCGTCTCTGTCTCTGTCTCTGTGTGGGCCTCGTTGCGCACGACGCTCTCCTCATAGCCACAGAATTTTCTTTAACGTTGACGTAGTTTTCGTTCATTGCCAAAAATACTGGCCAGCGAGGGGGCGCAGGGAGGCGAGTGGGCGGTGGGCGGTGGCCAGGGGTTGGGGATTCTCCTCCGGCCACCGCCTCGGTCGGCAGATTCACGGCTCTGTCTGTCTGTGTGTGCGTCGATCTTGTCTGTCGAGTCTCCATTTCAATATTCAATTTTCTTTCATAAACTTTGCTTTTTCATTGGGCCCATTGCGTTCTGTTCTGCCTGCTTCGGCTCTACTAAGTAGAAGCCTAATTGAGCGTCCTAACATTTTGGCAGGGGCAGGTTCAGCCCACATTAGGGTGGGAAATTAGGAGCCCCCTAATTCAAGTGAATATTTCTAAGATTGTTCAATTTTTTTGATATTGCATGTTAAAAAGTGCCTTACTCTTATACATGTTTTAGTTTATCCACATAATCTATCTGATCTTTATTTGATTTATTTTATATAATTTTCTGATCCTGGAAATTTTGTATTCTAATTTTTAAAAAGTTTTTCTTTTAAATCTTTCTTAAATTTGTAAGCTTCATTCAAAAGCATGATAAATTAATAATAAGTCCTTGTCAAATAATTTTTTTTGATATTCCAAAATATTTCTATAAATTATATATATAATTTATGTATTTTATATAATATTTACATTTTTGCCAAATTCTTTATAGATCTCTGATCATAAAATCTATGTTTATACTCAGAGTGACAAATTTATCCATTTTTAATAAAAAATAAAATTAATTAATTTTTTATATACTTCAGTTAATGGTATCATATATTTTTTTAAGTACTTAATAATTGCATATATAGGAATTATACCCTATCTCGTGATTATGTTGATTTAAAGACCTTTTAATTGGCAAAGAATTCTTAAATTTTTAATACAAATTTTCATGTTTGCTAGAGGTTTTCTTATAAAATGAGTCAGGGGTATTTTTTTCGGTTCCCCCTCCTGGGTCGCCCAACTGCCGTCACCAGGAACTCCGCTCCTGCCTCCTAACGCCACGCCGATTGCCATTGGCTTCAGCGTTAGCGTTCAGCGTGTTCCTCCTATTCAATATTATCTTTTTGGCTATTTTAAGACCCAAACCCAGAGCACAGAATGGAACCGTGAAGATGGTCGCCTGGCGTGGAGTATAAAAATCGACGTCGAGCGGCCGGCGGACAGGATTTCCCCATAAAAAGTGCATGAGCGTGTTTGGCACACGCTTCCAGTTGTGGCCAATAAACAAGGATGTGGAGCTTGGGGGGGAACAGGAAGCTGCCTCCATGGAGGAAATCTCGATCAGTGGCGGGAAGATTTAAATTTGAATGCGGTTTTGAACAGCAGATGATGGCAATGAAAGGCCAAACAAGAATATACCCCATACACCATCCCATATAGAGATCGTTGGGGCTACTATATGGTTGTAGAAATGAAAGAAAATAAAATAAAAAATAAAAAACGCTTTCAAAAATAGCCATGCAAATGATTTGCAATGAAAAACTATAGCAAGACACGACAGGGTGGGGGGGGGTTGAAGGGGGTGGGGGTTAAGGATAGAGGCCAGAGGGCGGAAGTGGGGGGCGGCCGACTGTATGTGGGTTGGAAAAGCGCTGGGAAAATCCTACGTGCCGTGTGCAATATTGTTTATATCCGAATATAATATTATTTTTTTTTTTTGCGCAGACACACACCGAAGCATTTAGAAGGAGATGGCCTGAGAGGCTTTCCTATTTAATTTTCATATTTATCATATCAACAAAAGTCACGGACACGGTCCCCCCCTGTCCGCTCTACGAGTGGCAGAAAATTGAAAATGATATTAAATAATTAACAGGCCCGACCTCTCATATACATGAGTTTCTTATGTGCATGCCTGCCATTCGTCAATGACATTGAATTGCAATTTACTCAAAAATCCGGCACTCGAGTGTCTGCCAGATTGCACGACCATCGCATCGATTGCCAAGAAAAAGAAAATAATACAAATATTTTCCACTTGATAATTATTAATTAATTAATGCGAGTGGAATAGCAAAGTGACAAACTGCCAATTGGCTGCATTCTTTGATGACAAGTCGAGGAGATTCTGCAGGGCTACAGAATAGTTTCTCTCTCAGATACAAAGATACTAAGTGTCACTATAATGATATATGTATATGGCCAGTAAATCACCGCCTCTAAGGCAGTAAAATATCATTTAAATGCTTTTGCTTAGCCAACTGTCTAGATTAAGATTTATTTTTATTTTAATTTTAAGGAATATATTTTTTAAACAAAATCCCTTTATTTCACTTCACATGATTGATGTTTTCCATTAACCCGGGCCACCAGCGAGACAGGAAACTTCCCTCCAGCCTTGACCCAGATCCATCGAAATGAGGGAAAGGAGCAGTTGGACTGCAGCTCATAAAAAGCAAAATAAGATACAATATAGACCGAATAAGATGCAAAAGACATCTGCTGAAATACATCATCCCCATAGGCGTACCGTTCAAGATGTCAGAAAGTTCTAAAAACAAATGTCAGCCATGTGAGAGGAAACCAGGCTAATCCAGATGAGCGGAAACAATATTATTTTGTATGTACGGACAATAAAATGAGTATTTTGTTTACTCGATTGCCATCCAATTTGATTGATGACTTAATGAGAAAGTTATAGCCGGATTATAGATTTTGTAGGCTTTGTAGACCTTGGATATGTAAGTGGGAAGCTTTGGCGCCGTGTGCAATAAATCGCCGAAATGCTCCCATAATCGGACTTCATTAGCCCGACCGATTTATGTGGCCCATAAAAATATACCCAGCACGGTTCACCTTCGCAGCACGCTGGCGGATGTCAAAGTCAAGACCTCATCCGGACCATCGAAGGGACAGGGACATGGACCTGGGCATGGACCGAGGGGAGATCGAGACTGTCATTAGATTCGCTCGGTTGACATGCGTCACACGATTTGCGATGATAAATCTGTTCATTTTATGGTTTTTATTACCAACTGCCGAGCGTTGAGGTGTCGGCTGCTAAAAATACCCAGGCGGATAATAGAAAAGTGCCGGAAAGTGCCGACCAGGGGCTGTGGCAGGTGTAAAGGTACAAAGCCTACGACCTCATCCAAGTCGATCGGATGCTGTTCAAAGTGAGCGTGACGCTCCGACAGGTGAAAAAGTGAAAACATTTCTAGCATTTGCAACCAAATTATTAACAAATGAGGTATAATAATAGATTAAACTTAAACCAACAACTCTGATAGTTTAAATGGGAAATAATCTCAGGAAAGAAAACTAAGTCATTCATTCAAGGGAATAAAAATCTATGGGATGTTTAAATATTTATCAAGAAAATAAAAGAACAGAGGTTGATTAAACATGGACCCCATCTGAGTCTGATTCTGGCACCTAATACTAATTAATTAAGAAGAATGCTCCCATTGTTTTAGTAGGGAAGTAGGGAAACTAAAGATTATGTCTGTATTATTATCTCACAAGCTAATCAAACTTGAAGCCAAGGGCATTCTTAAACTATTTATTTAGTTTATCTTAAGAAATTCTTCCAGTGACTACATCTCTTATCACAGTTGTGAAGACCTTTATACAATTTTTAGATCAGAATTCCATATCTTAGGGTTTCTAAGAGAACAGAGTCTGAGAGGCATATCAGAGTCTTATGTTCAAGTACATATATTCATCAAAATTATCTTTTAAATGCCCCTCTTTTTATTAGGACCTACTACCCTCTTCTCTCCAAAAACTCACCTTAAAATCGGATAGGGATGCCATCAGGTCATCCAACTCCTTGGTGGCCTGGGACGTGTATGCCTGGTGAACCTGTTGACCCGGAACAGCATGATTGGGCGTATACGAGTCCTTCTGCTGCACTATCTGCTCCTCCACCGTGCCAACTGGAAAACCACAAAACAAACACAAGTGAGTAAACATTCCTCGGGAGGATTGGATGTCTGATCAGTAAATATGTACCTGGACCATCGGGACCTGTTAGCTTCTCCGTCTTGGTTTCACGCACCGTGATGGTGACATGGCGTCCCGGCGTCGGTGATTTGTGTGCCGATCTGTTGAATACACAGATTCCAGATTAATCTTCGGACAAGTCGGAGGATTTATTTATTAGCTTACCCATTGGGCACGGCATAGATGTGGGCATTGTCTAGCTCATTCAGCAGGCTGTCCACGGTGGGACGCTCCTCCACGGTGGCATAGCTGTTGTAGGTGTTGTACTTAGAGACTGGAGTGCTGTAGTTGACGGGCACATCGACTTCTATAAAGAATTGAATATTTATTCTGTAATCTTTAAGATAAACCTCCTCTGGCTTACCCTTTTTGTCTGATCCATTGTAACGAGCATTTTGCAAGTCCTGCAACAGAGAGTCCAACTCCGAGAGTCCCGAGTTACCGGCAGTCTGGCGTGGCAGGGATCCCTGATTGGCGTAACTGGGAATAGCCGAGGAGCCATTGTAATCTCCCGCCGTAGGTGATCGAGTCTCCACGTTGTAGTGCTCCTGATACTAAGAATAATACAGTTTAGTTAATATAATGATTAAGGTTAAGGGTTTGGGGTTCACTTACCAACTGAGGCTGTGCCTTGCCCCTCAAGCTTCCATATCCGGGGGTGTTGTCCACATATTGCTGCTGCAAGGGTTGTGACTTGGGCTGGACGGTGCCATATTGTGGCTGAGGTGGCTGTGGATGGCCTGGCACACTGTTCTGCAGATCAGCTAGGAGAGCATCTGTAAGGGAAGAATAATTCATATATTAATAATATTATTAAGATAGTTTTAGGTGATTCCACTAGTAGGCCTTCTCTACCCAAATTGTCGTAGTCCCCATAGTTGGCCATTCTTCTTCCGGACTTCCTTAGGTATTTTCTTTTCAAATTCCTAACTTCAGGCACTTGTCACTGCACCTCTGACGCATAGCCTTTTGATAACTGAACAGAGAACCCATTCCGTAGCCAGTGACACACATATCTTGGTGGCACAAAAGTTCTGATAACGTTTTGTTTGTTTTCTCTCTTCTTGGCCCAATGATCTTGGTTGTGGTTGAAGTCTCGGCTAGTGGGGGGCTAGTGGTTGATATTAAAAGCTTGTGGGGGGCTATCCAAATCTTAACTGCTAACTGCTAATGTTGCAGCCAATTTACACTTGAACTTGACACTATTCCTACACAAAATAACCCTATAAACACCCACTATAGCCAGCCACTTGTTTCATTCAAAACTTACCCAAACGTCTCTCAAACTCGCCCACCTTAAAGCAGTCGTTGAGGGGTGAACTGTGGAACGACGATGATATCAGTTTCGAAGACATTTCACGCACTTATTTGGCCAGAATCGAAGGTATCGAAATGTTTCGTTTGGACCTCTATAAACGGCAGTTTAGTTAAATATTTTTTGGACCAAAACCACCAGCAATACACCATCCACCAACAACAACTATGAGATATCCAAGTAGAAAGAGTTCCGATACGAAAGTTTAGTTGCCAACTGACCAAATTAAAGCACTGAAAACTCAATCAATTCGTGGCCAAAACGACACCCACACTGCAGTCCAAAACTAGCCAAACACAGAGGGAGATATAGTGGGCAGGGGGGCACTAACATCTATAGACAATTTTTGATTCAGTTTTAGGTGGGACGAACTTGTCGAACGGGCTAAAAGTCGCACCAAGTCATGAAATATAGCATCTGAGCGATGGCATAATATTTGCCAGTCAATACACTGAGAGAAATTAACTTTAATTTTTAATTAAATAATTATAGTCTAAGCTTTAATATAACTATAAGCTTCTGAGATGGTTTTTCTTTAAAAATAAATTATTATATCAATATCTAATCTATTAAAAATTGTTTTCAGTGTACATTTTTGCTTTAAGATTATTTCTTGTTTGCATTCTTGGCGTTTTGAAAGCAAAACAAGTTAAAAAATACAATAATAGTGGATATAAATGATCAAATATGAGGAGGAGGAGTACCCTTCCAGGTTACTTTGAGGTGTGCCGAAAGTATCTTTAATGCCGTGGTGTATCTTGGCCTGTCACCCCCTAGCACTTGAGGCCATCACTGTGACCCACCCACCCACTGAAACAACAACAACAATCACTAAAACACGGAAAAGACATGACAGCAGGCGATTAAGCCATCAGGCTCGAAATAAATCATAAAGTAGTGTTTTTTTTGGGGAGGAAAATCGAGGAAAAGGCACACCTGTAACTGGGCCAATGCCAAAAAAGAGAGAATGAGAGGAAAACCGGGAAAAGCACTCATCATCACGTTGAGTGAAAAATCAAAAATTTTAAGTTATATAAAGGAAAATAAGGTGTGACGCGATTTATTCAACTTGGCAAGCCAATTCATAACATATAGAGGTTTTGAGAACATTCTGCATTATTGGGAATGAAAATCAGGCAAATTATTTCGCAATATTTTTAAAAATAGTCCTAAACTGAAAGATCGAACATGTGGTTGACGAGCAAAATCATCATTCAGACTGCCACCATATGTGGGTAGTACTGTCTGTACTCCCATTTCCATGAAAGTCTGGGGAAGTCTATATATAGGACAGGGCAGGGTTATCAGAACGTCACGCTTCAGTGGGTCAACATCGGGAGAAGAAGAAGAAATTCATAGAGGAGTGAGATATATTTATGATCTTCCAAAAGGGGCAAGGGATTATTAAAAGGAAACATATTATAAATCATTTGGGATCTATTTTTATAGGGGTTTGGATCAAGGGAGTTAGTTAAGGGCTTTAACAATATTTCTGAGGTGTTTAGGAAGTTTCTATTCCTGTTTTGAATAGGAATATATATATTTTCTGGCTTTAACAATATTTCTGAGGTATTTAGGAGGTTTCTATTCCTGTCTTGTATAGAAATATATATATTTTCTCTATTGAGATACCCCTAGCTTGATGAATACTTGTGGAATATTTCATTTAAAAGACATTAGTTTCATAGAATGCAATGGCAGAAGCATCTGGCTTGATTAAAATGCAATTAAAATCAATTAAGAGCCACCATAAAAGTTGTCAGTTTGTCAGGCCATTCAGATGGAGTTGCACTTAATCAAGAGTGTCTCTGGGTCGAACTCGAGGCCTGAACTGAGTTCCACAAAGAGTCAGTGGGTCTGAGAGGCCAGAGAGGCTGTTGCAATGGCAATGACAACAACTGCAATGCCTGCGAGGGAAAGGTAACCACTGGAGGAGGGGTGGGTGGAGAGCGTGGGTGAGAGCTGGTAAAGGCAATTCGCCAGATCTCCCTCCTTCTCTCTTTTTCTTCTTCTTTGTTGTTGTTGTTGACATTGTTACATATTTTTTGGTTTTTAGCTCATTTTGGGAGCACTTTCGATTTTCATTTCAGCGTCTTGTTTGTTGGTTGTTGGTTGTTGTTGTTGGTTGTTGATATTGCTGATCGATTGGGGGCTGCCTTAATTAAATTCTTCACAAGCACACTACAAACACACTACACACACACACTGAGAGAGACACCGACACCCGCGAATCAACAAATATGTTCAGAGACGAACAGCAGCGGCCGCAGATATTATTTTGGCTCGGCAAAATCTTAAAATCAACTGAACAAGACGCCCGACAACAAACGTCGCTGAAGCTGGGCGCCTTCGTTTCACTCAAACATTGTCACAGTGGTTGGTGTGGGTCATTTATCAAACAAAATCTGTACTAGTTATGTATATATTTTTTTACTTATATTTTTAAACTCTACATTTTTGTATATAATTTATCTAATATATTAAAATATTTAAAGTATTTATTTTGATATATTATTAAATATTTTTTATAAACCTTTACCTAACATTTTTAAACATTATATTTAACTTTTAATAAGAACTAGGTTTTTAACTTTTAAAAATTACCTAAGCCTACCATTGTTTTTACACTCACATCATATCCACTCATGCTCTCACTCACTTTCCGCTCAATTACAAAACACTTACAACATAGATAGATAGATAGATACGTCCATAGATACGTCCAACACGTCCCATAGATAGCGGCGCCACCTGGCAATAGGCTTTTTCACTCTATTTTGAGTGTGAATGTTATTCATGAATTATTTGTTGTTTTCTTTTTTTTGTTGTTTTTGGTAGATGAATGAATCACTTGACTTTGAAAAGAAAAACTAAAATTAGTGGCAGTACAATAAAAACAACAAATGGATACAGATTGTTATGGCTTTTGTTGAATTAAGTGTATTGTTTTATTCGTTCTTGTTCGAGTAATTATTCAGACTCAAAGGTGAGCAGTTCTATCGGCCAGATGGCCACGACCTGTGTCAACGCCAAGTGCCATGGAAACGGGTTATGCTTTGCAGATAAAGTATGATTTTTATTGGAAGGTTAGCCCCACGAGACTCCACTTCCAGGCCCTCACTAGCCTCCACTTTCAGACCCCCACTAGCCTCCACTTCCTTGGGGTTTCTTCAAGCCCACTTATGAGATCAACCGCCAATGTAATCAATCTATCGGATATGAGATTCCCTGAGGGGATCCGAGCTCACCTCGGCAATTAGAATATCTTGCATAATGCCTAGATCTAGACAGGTGTATATCTGAACTCTGAACACTGCTTACCATAAGTATAAGATGAAAAAACATAATCTATGAGGAATATGATTTAATCTGATGTATTTAAAACCCTATCTTTTTCTAGTCTATTCTCTATCTCTAGTATCTTTAGATTTAGTATCTTTTGGATAGTTTATTTTATCATTTCGAAACGCACTTTATCCACACGGATTATGGCCGGATCTTAGCCTGTATTGGTTGCCAAAGTGTCGTGTCTGGCAATAAATAGAACACGATTCGAATCGAATGAAAACCACTGACGCCCACAAGCGATAGTCGTCTCTCAATGGGCCACTACGTATGATCTAATGATCCGCGTATGAATGAACCGCGTAGTAAGGTCAGCGACTATTCGTCTGACAGATAATCCCACAGAGCTCCTCAGATTCAAGCTTACCGATTTTCATGTTTAATTTCAAATAACTTGTTAGATGCGATGACGACCGCTCAACGGCGCAATGTAAACTGAATCGAAATCGAAATTATTCAAATCGTAAACTGACTGGAGATTCCACTGCTGCAGGGGCTGGTGCAATCGAAGGTGTTTCTTTGGGTGTGTGTGCAATTAACAGTACTCCCCAAGACAGATGTAAACAAAAGCCAATACACTTAAAAAATTATGTAAAAAGCTATAATATAGTAATTTAAAATATAATAATTTAATTAAAAAAAAAAGAGTTACAAATCTTTTTTTATTTTATAAGAAAATATTTCTTAAAATTAATAAAACCTCTAAGTATTAAAACATCTATAGAATTTCTTTCAGGCGAGCCTCTTGAAGACGTAAAAGTTGGCAAAGAAAGCCAAACATCTTGTATCTTTACATGCCTTGCACATCAACACACAGATACTGTATCCGAGTGTGGGTGATTGCGTCATTTTCAGTTCCTCGGATCCCAATTGTTTACTTTTGCAGTTGCTGCTGTTAACTTTAATGACTGTTTCTTATGTAGTTTTATAGTCTTAGATATGTAGTTTCTCGATTTTTATGCAAGAATTTGAAATATTTGTAATGTATTTAAGAGAGAAGCCAAAAAGAGAGCTGTATTCCAAGCAACAATGAGTGGTTTTCAGTTAACGCTGAAAGGTATGCTACAATTTTTTGTAAAATTTGTATTAAATAAATTTAATACATTTAATGCATAATATTCTACTTAAAACCTTAAAAAACTGTCTTTATTATTTCCTTTCTTTATAAATTTATTATTTCATTATTTTTATATTAAAATTTAAGGTCTAAATTAATTGTTTTGCCAGCCCTTTAAGCTCGATTGTAATTTAAATTAAATAAAGTAGTACCTGCCTTGTTTTTGCAAAGAAATTAGCATTTATAATAAGCTCCGAGTATAGTATTCCATTACTTATATTGCCCAGAAGCTTGGTTTTCACGATCAGTCTTCAATAAAATGCTGAAAGCTACGGTTCTATTCACTTTCTTACTAGCAAGTGCTAAGATAGGATGGGCCCATGAAAAGTTCACCATTCAAATCAATGAAGGTATTTTAAAAATAAAAAATAATACAAAATAAACAATATAAATTAATAAAATCTCCATTCTCAGGCAACGCTGTTGCTGCGGAGCTTAAATCGGAACCTTTTATAAAAATAAACAGTGGCTATTACTACTTTGGAAGAGAGTCCCTCAACTGGTACGAAGCCTACGAAAAGTGCCGACAATTCGACTCCGAGCTGGTCACTTTCGAAACCGATGGCGAGTTCGATGCCGTGTCCAGCTATCTGATGTCCAATGCCGCCCACGATAACTTTTGGACCTCGGGCAACGACTTGGCCCAAACGGGAAGCCACAGGTGGTTCTCGAGTGGCAAGCATATGAACAGCCTGCGATGGGCCCGCAACCAGCCAGACAATGCTGGCCAACGAGAGCACTGCATCCACATGGGCTTTATATATCCTGATTCCCAGAAGTACGAGCTCAATGATCGTCCTTGTTCGAACCACAACCAAAGCCTCTTCAAGTACATTTGCGAGGCCCCCAAAATGGAGACCATTTCCATAGTGGTTTGGAAATAAATCTATAGATATCTTAATATCTGATTTAATAAAATATAATTATCCAAAAATACTTACAACCTGGCTGGATACCCTTACTCCGTACCGTGCGATAGGGCTGACGGGCACCTGGATCTATCTTTCCATACATTGTTCTATCCATTTTTTCAGTCTGAGATTCACTTTTCCACTTTTCGATTTAATTAAAATGTTACTGAACTATTAATATTTTATTTTTTATAAATAATCCTCTGATTTGGTTGTTATGGCTGCACTGCTACTGGTGAACACAGTTTCATTTGAATTTCGAATTATTTATAAGCGCATTTTTATTTTTGGCCTTTCGGGGCTCGACGACGGATTTGTCGTTTTTTTTTTTGTTTGCCTGTCAGAGTAGATGTTTTCGTTTGTCGATGTTGTGGTTGTCTATCAGGGGTTTGCCCCAGTCCTCCGTCATAGAAAAAACAAAAAAAAAACATGTTCCCTGCCCCCCAGTGGAAGTCCAAGTGACTTGATGTTGTCTGGGGAGTGCTTAGTGCATTTCGAATTCGATATTAAATGGCTCTGACAAAATAGGGTATTATGAGATTAAAGGAGGTATATATATTTAAATATGAGGTATATACATTTTAATTAAATCACTAATCAAATGGACTAGTTTTAGGAGTGATCTCTGAAGATCAAAAGCTAAGACACCTGATTAATAAATTAGATCCAAAGATCCATAGCATCCACATTATTTACTTCGACTTCCCCTCAGAGTCCAGATCGTGTGGGCTTCACCCAATGGATGATCTATGGAACTAACAAAATTTACGATTGCCTTTAGATATACTAGCCCAGATCAAGTTGATCCAAACGATCTATAAAGACAGATTTATGGATTCATAAAAATACCAAAATGAACATACGTTTCAAACAAATAACGACACATTGGTCCAAAAAAAAAGGTAAAAAATAATAAACATAAATTTTGAAAAAAACTAAAAACTCGAAAACCAAACGAACCATACACTGATACTGAATACTGAGGGGAGGAAAGGGGAATCAAGGTTGCCAAATTACGTCAACACCCATGATCGCCAACTAAAAATACACCTCCAAATGAGAAAAAAACAAAAAAGAAAAACTTTTCTAACAAATCAAAGGCGACGTTTCGGTCGTCTAATGAAGGGAGAGAGACCCAGTCTAAGGAAAATGGAGGGAAATTAATTGAAAATACGGAAAATAGGGGAAAAGAAAGATTTCCGCAGATCGTTGCCAAAACAAGAAAAGAAAACTCACTTTCGTTCCAGACCCTCTTCTCATTTTAAGCAAATTATTTTAGCTCTACACCTGAGGCATTACTCAGTCCACATATAGGATGACGTCGGGGCCCCACAGACCCCATCCTAATAGTATATTTAAAAGTCAAAGGCACGATTTTGGTTGAAAAGCATTTTCATCGCCGAGGCACGAAGGAAATTCCAAGCTATCGGAGCGTCGGCCGATCGCCACGATCTCAATATAAATATTTTATTATAAAGTAGATAAAATGTGTGTGAATTAGTGAGTGTTGTTGACCTTGCTAAGGTGAAAACGCAGTGCGTGGCTAAGAAGATTCATAGAGTGGCCTTTAGCCAGGCCAGCCATAAACTTGGCCAGTTTATGCCTTTAAGAAACTGTCTAGTAGGGGTAGGCAAGATAAGATAGAGGGCCTCTATTGGTAAGTAGTTAAAATAATACTAGATTCAATTATACTGATATATGTTTGAAGTTTAAAGAAAATAAAAGTTCGAGCTTCGTTTTGAAATATTGCCTCATACCTCCCTCTCTTGAGATCGAACAACACACTAATTGAAATTTTATGACTTCTGAGGAGATAAGAATCTGTTTGTAGAACACTACAAGCTACCCACTAGGAAGAGAAACCTGCTAAACAGTCGAATTTCAAGCTCAAACTCAGCGATGAACTCATTGCACTGCAAAACCAGCGAGGTGCTAAGTATCTGAGACTAACATGAGGTTTGAGATCTCATCCCAAAACGGAAATAATAGAAAAAGACAACAGCTGTTGGGTCGTAAACAAATGAAAGCCACTGAGTGGTATCTGTTAGATGCGCGGCTGGTATCCGAGAGATACTTATTGGAAAACGAAAGCGATTCTCATAAGTGCATTCTCGTAAATTGGACAAAGTCAGAACCAACAACAAACAACAACAGACCCGTTTACATCATTTTCCAGCTTTTCCCCCATTTGCTGTCGTAACTCGAGATACTTTCCCCCTCCCCCTCCCTGGCACTCATGGAAATGCATTCGGTTTCGAGTGCTTGAAATATGTGAAAAATGTCATAATTTTAATAGATTAAGTGGGCACAATTTAATTGTTTTTCTTTGTTGTTATTGTTGTATGTTATATTTCGAGCATTTCCCCTCCAAAATAAAAACAGAAAAAAAACAGAAAACAAATTTTCATCGTGCCGCCCACGACTTTAATCCAAAAACGAAAAAATTAATGGGGCTAACCAAAATTTCGTAGCTCCGCCAGATCGGGGCAAATACCTCATCTATCTGGGATGTCTTGTCGGCCGATAATTAGTTCCATAATTAGTGGAAATTAAAATGTCTTTCTAAGACAAGCTGCTGAAAAGATTTGCCAAGAATTAGTGGAATCCTGGGATCCATTAATCTTAACGCATTCCATTCTGCCGCTTATCTCCAGTTATCTGCCAACGTTGGTGCTATCTGCAGTCTGTCCAGTTTTTTCTTTGAGTTTTCCTAGAGACGAAGTAAACAATTTCCCACGCTCCAACACCGTTCTACCGATTTTTCCACCAAGTTAGTTTAGAGCTTTTACGTTTTTTTTTTGTTTCTATTTTCTATTTTTTTTTTTAGACACTTTTCCATGCACTTTGGCAGCTTGTTGTCACATATTTTTGTTATTGTTCCACAGGCGCTGAGGCGCAGGAGAGTGGAGCACCGAACCGAAGAGATACTACACGCGAGCTGCGCCCGCGTCTCATCAAAAGCGTCGCCAACGACTGAAATCCAAAGGGGAACCCAAAGCATGGGCTCCACTAGAAGAGCGTTTGCTGCCCAGCTCTCTCTCTGTCTCTTTGGAAGGTGCTCTCTGAGAATAAGAGAGAGCAAGGCTCTAAGTTTAGGGAGAGCAAGTAAACAAAGTACACTCAAAAAAAAGAGTATATTTTTAATCATATAAATTAAATTATAAAGTTTCTAGATTTATATTTAACAAAAGCTTTTTTATTATTTTCTTATAAATATTTATTTTAATTTTTAATTCTTTCCCCTTTTTTGTTTCAGTGCCTCGAGAGAAAGATTCAAAGTAAAAGCAGATTTCTTTTCGGCTGTCTTTGGAGTGTCTTTTCATTTTGAGTTTGCGGCCTGCGGCTAAAGTATCTCAACCGCAAGTGGGAGGCACAAGGAAAAGGAAGCCCAGGCGCAGATACAGATTGTCGTGCGTTTCGTGTTGTGTTTTGAAAGTGTATACAGTGTGTGGGAGTACTTCTAAAAAGTGCAGTCTAAAGGTAATCTTTAAACTTCTTAAAAATGAACTTTGTTCCACTGTTAAGACTCTTTCCGCGACAAAATCGTTATCTCCCGACATGGCCGATCTCAACATAAGCTCATCCCCAACAGATCGCCAGTCAACGGCTGTTACAGTGCGCACACGCAACACGAACCACAATCGGCATTGCGTGTCCAGTGGGCGCACTCACTAATGGGGATAAAATTGAAGCAATTTAAGAGAGCTCCCCACTGGAGTACCCACTTCCTGTTTGGGTCTTTCATTCATAAACTCGAAAGATAGATGCATCTGTGAGATACATTTTATGAGTGCAAGTGACCTTGCAGTTTAGCCATATTTTGTGCACTTTTGCCCACTGTGCGTAGGTGGAGCAAAAGTCAGCTGGAGTGGTTCGAGAGTGTGAGTGACCTGGCCTTTTTAGTCACTTCTGAAGAATGTCTGACCAGAAAAAAGAAAAAGGAAAACAAGACTGCCACATAGATACTCGTGTGTCGTATTAGTATTGGTGGCTTTATCAGACGATATTTCAGAAGAACACGCAAAGAGACTGTAAACAGCAAAGAATTGTGTCATAAAGAAAATAAACCAAGATACACTTTTATTTCGCTGACTGATGACTAAAATAAAGATCCAAGGGTTCGGGAGCGCGGAGCTTGGAGCTTGAAGCTCGGTAGCCACACCCTCACTACTGCTGAATGATCTCACAGAGGAAGTATGGACTTCGATTTCCCGGAATTTCGAAAATAAATCATAAAAACGCAAGGAATGCAAATCGCACTTAATGGAGTGTGAGGCCACCTCCCCAATTAATAAATAACAATACACTCTCAAGTAGCGATAAGATGCGTACTTGGGATTCATGAGGCATTACGCTGATCCATGATTAATGTCCTAAACAGGTCGTTATGCCAGTGTTCACTGTGGCCAAATAACTGACTGACTTGACTGAGTAACGCCACCTAGCGGACATTGCCAGACACTAATTAACTCCAATTAGCGGCTGACCTTGAAGGGGGAGCATAAGTTTGCCTACGTCACACCACCCAGTGTGTGTACTGGAATGTTTTGAGGAAGTTTTTCCGGTTCGGAAAAGCTGGCCACTCACCTAGGTCGTCCATGCTCCGGCTCCGGGTGTTGTATTTGTTTTTTTTCGGCTGGCCTGCGGATGTGAACGCGGATGTGTGATGAGAACTTTTGCCAAGAAGAGCAAGTCGCAACCGAATCGCTGGCCGATAGTTTAGTTTTCTCTTTATTCGGCACTGGGCACACGCGTAGATTAGTTCAATTGGCGTCGAATTGAAAACGAAATCTTCATAATCCACGCAAACAGTTTTCTGTCGCGGAGTTGGGGCCACGAATCGCCGAGTTGTTGGGGACGTTCGCTTTTGTGTGGCGAGAGCCGGAGACGAGTTTTATATGAATCACTTTAATTTTGGAGCTGAGCGGTGGCCATAAACAAATACAGAGAAAAAAAAGGTTGGTGTTAAATATTCGCTAAAAAAGCTTATATATATGGAGAGCTTTCAAAACACGAAGCCTAAAACAGCTGTTTCGTTATCGATAAATATTAGTCAAATGGGGCTATCGGTAGATGAACTAGTTCGCAAATGCAGTAACAACATTAAATGAGCCTTTTAAAATTATTTTATTTTAAATTAAAATTATTATAGAATTATCAGTTTAAATAGTGGCAGCTGGTTTGAAAGTATTTTTATATAAATTTGAATATTAATACTAATTTTTAATCCCCAAGAAAAGAAACTTGCATTTTAAGATTTCAAATTTGGCGGGCTTTTCAAAAATTTCAAAAAGGGCTTTCTGTTTCTTTGCAATTTTAGTTTATATTTAAATCTTTATTATATTTTAAAATCTATAATGAAGACTGTTGTTTTTAGAAATGTATGGATCATACATTATAGAAAACTATAGAAAACTGGCTCCTCTTTTAAAAAATATCTGAAACGTCTGAAATTATAAACCAGTTACGTTATCTGTCCATAAATTGCCTTTTATCTGCAGTAAACAATGATTAGTTAACAATCTGCTATATATCTCGCATTTTCAGTCTGGTTAAGGCTAAGGCCGTCCAAGTCTAGTCGTTCCAAGATGGAGAAAAGAAGTGATGTGGCCGGTAACAGCTCCAAATTTAGAAAACTAAGCGACACGGATATAGCCGAAGTGCAGCTCAATAATCTGGACTCCAGTGCTAAGGATGAGATTGAAATTGGAAGTGCCCACAGCACGGAGAACTCCAGATTTCATGGTGCTCCGGAGCAGCCTCAGAGATGGTTCACATCGAAATTTTTCATCTTCTCCGTGATATTCTCGTGCCTCCTGATCACCGCCATGTGCATCGGATTCGTGGTCCATTATGCCAAGAGTGGCGATGTGGGGGACATGGACACCGTTAGCTATTGGCCCGTCAAGCTGCCCCAGGAACAGCAGGAGTGGTACGATCGGGGGATTAACGAGCTAAAGAAGGCCGTGTCTCGGGAATTCAATCGACGTCGTGCCAAGAATGTGATTCTTTTTGTGGGTGACGGCATGGGTCCGAATACAGTGACCGCTGCCCGAATCTACGGCTTCAAGGAAGAAGGACTCCTATCCTGGGAGAACTTCCCGCACATGGGACTGCTGAAGACCTACTGTGCCGACAAGCAAGTTCCGGATTCCTTCTCCACGGCCACGGCTCTCTTCGGCGGCGTCAAAGTCAACTACGAGACGGGCGGAGTCGACGCCAATGTTCCGCTGGGAAACTGCACAGCCTCCCAGGACGAAGATCATCATGTCCAGACCATCCTAAAGTGGGCCCAGGTGGACGGAATGCGAACGGGATTTGTAACCACCACACGGGTCACCCATGCCACTCCGGCGGCACTCTACGCCCATGTTCCCGATCGCCGATGGGAGTGCGAGACGGGAATGAAACCGGAGGATCGGGCTCAGGGGTGCATGGATATAGCTCGTCAGCTGATAGAGAAGCCCACGGGGCAGGGGATTAATGTCATCATGGGGGGAGGTCGGCAAATGTTGGTGTCAAACGTCACCGATTCCGCCGCCGATCCACTGGACACCTGGGCTAGCAAATCCGCAGACGGACGCGATCTCATCCGGGATTGGCGGCAGCTCAAGGAGGCAGAAGGGGTGTCCCATGCCGTGGTGCAGAATAATCGGGAGTTGTGGAATCTCAATGGCGAAAACACCGACTACGTACTGGGGATTTTCGCGAACGGACACCTCATGTACGACCATGAGCGGGATCGCAGTGAATCCGGAATGCCATCTTTATCCAACATGACCCTGAAAGCCATGGAGGTCCTGGGCAATAGTGACAAGGGATTTCTGCTTGTGGTTGAGGCTGGATTGATTGACCAGGCCCACCACAGAGGAAAAGCCCGGAAAGCGCTGCACGAAGTCCTGGAACTCAATGTGGCAGTGGAGTCCACCCTGAACTTTCTGAAGTCCACGGACCGATTGGATGAGACATTGGTTATAGTGACGGCCGATCATTCGCACAGTCTAACCATAAATGGACACCCTGAAAGAGGAGCCAGCATTCTGGGTCTCGCTGGTAAATCCAAGACGGAGAACACCCCATACACCACCCTCACCTACGGCACCAGCTATCAGGGCTTTCAGGTGGACCCGGAAACCCAGAAGCGAAAGAATCCAACGGAGGAGGACATCACCGATTGGGAATACACCCAGCAGGCAGCCATCAATACGGACGAGAATCTCCACGGCGGCTCGGATGTCACCATCCATGCCGAGGGAGCCATGTCCTACCTGTTCCACGGAGTTCACGAGCAGAGCTACGTGGCGCATGCTATATCCTACGCCCTGCGAATCGGCAGATTCCGGGACAGCTCCATAGCCGAGACTTTGGCGGAGCTAACGCCTTTGTAGATGAATAGGATTTGTCTCAGAATCAAAAATCGTAGTGCCTCAAAATATTGGAGTCATCTTGCCAAAATGAAGTTCAGGGATTAAGCTCTGGAAACAAAGCGTTCATTTACTTAAAATATAAATAAAATATGCTAAAGAATTAATAAAAAAATACTTTTTTAAGGTTTTCTAAATTCTTAAAGTTTATAAAATCTTTGTAAGTGATCGATTTGTCAGTTTAGGAATTAGTTTAAAATTATAAGAATAATTTGAGATTTTTAGTTCTCTATACACTTGCCAAAAAATCCTCTACTTTGTATGGTTATTTCACTTTATTTGTAAGGGTGTTGGTACTTAATTTTTCTTCTCTAGTATAAAGTAATATCTTTATTAAATAAATAAAAAATATACCCTAATCTCAAATCCGATTTTCCCAAATGTTGATTCTTGTTACTCATATATATAAAATACTTATTATAATACTTGAATAAACTGAAATTAAATTGAAAAAAACAAGAGATCTATTAAACTGTGTTTTGATTTCTTAAAATCTGTATAAAAATCTTATCTAATAATATTCATGGTAGGCAGTTAAGACTGTGGATCTTAAGTTAAGTTAAAATCATGCAAAATAGTGCTAGTATTTTGGAAACATTCGTGAGGCACCTTACCAACTTTTAGTTTTTATTAAATATTTCTTAAATTTTGTATAATTTTAGGCCACAAAATGCATTTACTGCAGCTGAACGATGATTGTCTGGATCTCATTTTTGCCAATCTTAAGATGGAAGATCTGCTGCCACTCTATACCGAGATAGACATTCGATTTGATGAAGCCATTGAGAGGCAGCTACACCGATTCCGAGACCTGATGTTCAGCATGCGAGAGCCCCCAGTGTTCAATGAAAATCTTATGATATTACTGGGCCGCCAGTTAAGGAGCCTACACATCAATGTGGGGTACTCCACGCAGGAAAAGAAGGTGCTTAAATATCTGAATCCCCTCTGCCAAGGAGCATCCGAGACCCGCCGCCTGAGGGCTTTGAAGCTGGACCATGTCCATTGGTCGCACAACATAGTGGCAGCTGTGAGAAAGGTGATTCCATCTCTGTCCTTTCTGGACTTGCGTCAAGGTCAGGTGAACGATGACCAGATAACGGAACTCTTGGAATCGGCAGATAAGTTGCAGGCCCTCGCCCTGTTTCACTTGGACTTGGAATCTTTATTGGAGCCTCAGATATTGGACAGGATGCCATCTTTAACACTCGTCCACCTCACTACTCTGTGGGACCTTAATGTGTGGGATTTGAGCCAGCAGTGTCCACAAATCAGTTTCTTTCGAAGAAATCTGCAAACAAATGAAGTCGAAGCCTACGGTCCTCCGGCCAACTTTGATGGCTTTCAATATGGCCAGTGGACTAAAGATGAACTATATAAATTGCCCTAAAACAAATATATCTTTTTTATAATCATTCAATCTCTGCAGTAATTCGCCTTTTTTTTTTTTTTAAATTCAACCCGAAATAAAAGAAATATTTTTGAATTCTTGGCGCCTTTTTCAGCACTGTTAATATTTTAAATACAGACCTGTTAGTTTACATGTCCATAACAGACAACTTTTACCATTTAATGAAAATGTTGATAAAACTTGAGACTTTTAAACTCAAGTAAATCTTAAAAAAAAGCCAAAGTTTACTTATTGGGTTTAAAAAACATTCAGGTACATGTCTCCAAGTTCATTAATCATTTAGATTTCTTGCTCCTTTAGTTGCTGGCGAAGCGGAAACTCCTCATATGAAACCGTCATATTCGCGCCAAAAACTAAGGATACTTAATCATGCTGGAATTACACAAAAAAGGGTTTAAATCAAATTCCAAGGAAGCGACTATAGCTTGCCCTGTAAAATAGAATTCTATGAGGAGTAGAAAAAGTATTTAGTTTGCAATTATTCTCCCCTATTCAGATATCTGTGCAGACATTTTAATTCCCTTTGCATTTAATTGATCGAAATTGCAATTTGAATTTCCACTGCCTTTGACTGACTCCGATTGCATGTGGAACAGTCGTCTTTTCTTGCATGAATTTTCTGCGCTGTGGGTATCAAGTGAAAATCAGATTTCATTTCTAGCGTTTAGGGCTGGTGGTCAGCCTTATTCGAATGTGTGTGCGTTAAATTTTTGAATTGCAAATTGGCGACTCCCCCAGTTCATTCCTCACATGTGCACGGGTGTCCGAGGTGGTTCTGGGGATTTGGGCTTGGACTGGGGCTTGGCCATTGCATGCCAGTCGAGCATTGGAGCTTTTTAAATGTCCTGCTGTTAGCGCTCCTTGCGCTTTTGTGCAGTTCACCATTTCAAGCTCCATAATTTCTTGGTAATTAAGAGCCCGTCTACCTGCCGCTTAATTCATTACTCTGATGGAGGTAGAGAACTTTTTTGTTTTCATATGGAAAACATTGTGACTAGCTTAGAGTTGGCTTTCTTTGCCCTGCTTGACAATTAAAACTTAATTAAAATTGCATGCACTTTAACCTTCCCCATGAACTTTCATTGCTTTTAATTACAATATATTTATATGCGCTTGGCATGACTTTCACGCCCATTCGTCGGGATTGTATAATCGTTTTGGTCATAACCGAATGAGACATTAAAAGCTGGCAAAGTGTTATTAGTTGGTTTTGGAGGACATCTTCGGGATGTGATAATTACAGGTTGGAGCTCAATTGACAGTATAGCCGCCCTACTTTAGGCTGGTTTCTTTTTTACAAAATAAATATAGAAATATTTCTATTCAAGTAATTAAGTTGGCGGGAACAGATCTCATAACAGATTACTGTTACTTAACAGTCATGTTAAATATGTCATCCCTCAAATAAATACCATCTCTACGCACAAGATGTAAACAAACCTCTGTAGACGGCCTGACAACCCTAGTCTTGTTTACAATTTTTGCGGCCGCCGCATGCAAACAAAAAGTTAATATAAAAGTAATTCAACCAGCAGACCCAGCCACAGTTTTACATGAGCTGCCCGGGGCACAGCCACGCGTCCGGAGGCCCAAGAAGTGCAAGTGGAGGCCATCGAAAATTTGTAGCAGAAATCGGGAGTTTGCAGACACATTCTTGGCGTGACTGCAGCGCATTAAATCACCGGAGTCAGCGGCGAAATCGCAGCGACGAACAACAACCGGAAGTGCAGCGCGAAAGGAGCAACTGGTGGCCACAGCAATGGAGGTTTATGCCTGGGTAGGAAGCCAGTGTGCCCCCACAAAAAACAGCTTGTCCATCTTTAGGAAGATTTCGAAAACCGAAGTGCAAGATACCCTTTGTGATAATTAATTGAAAAAAAAGTCAAAAAGAAAGTATTATTTGTAAAGTTAATAGGTGATTACTTACGAGAGAAATTATAAAAATGTTTATATTTAAAAATGTTATAGTTTTCCCATTATTCCCATTATAGTTGATAGTTGTATCCTAGTTTAGTAAAGGTTTAGAGCTATTTTGTAAATCGTTTACCCTCCGAAAGTGTGTAAAAACAGAGACATCGCCGCTAGACATTTGAATTGCAAATTAATGAGTGATTTCCTTTGGTTGCCTTTCGTTTTTCGTCCTGTCCCAGGGTGCCAATTCTCACGGCCAGCTTGGCCTTGGCTTTGAGTCCGAATTGTGCATGACACCACAGCGGGTGGCCAGGTGCTCCTTCTCCGCCCCCCTGGTTCGGTGCATTCGCGGCGGCGGTGGTCACGTCCTCATCCTCGACTCCAATGGAAGAGTACATGCCTGCGGCTGGAACAATCGCGGCCAATTGGGTCTGGACTCCACTGAGGAGTGTCATAGCGAGTTCAAGATGATACCTACAGAGTACTTTGGAGTAAGTAAATCATAGTTAGCATAAGGCAAGTCAATTTTTTAAGATGATCCATTTTTTTCCACTATCAGGAAGTACCTGTGGATATCATCAGCTGTGGCTGGGACATATCGGGGGCCATTACTTTGACCAAAAGGCTTTACGTTTGGGGTTCGAATGCCTTTCAGCAACTGGGCATTTGTCAGCGGGGTTTCATGGCCGTCCGGAGACCCATGCCAGTAAAGCTACCCAGGGAAGAGCTAGTCCATCGGATTAGCTTTGGACTGAGACACTGTGCTGTTCTTACACAAGACAATAAGATATATGTCTTTGGGAGGCTTAGGATTATGGATCCACCGCCCATCGAACTTGATATCACGGCCACCTGCCTGCACCGCTGCAACACCATGAAGATCCAGGCCCACAACCCGAACGAGCTTAAGATCGTCTCCCTTTCCAGTGGCCAGAACCACATGCTTCTAAAGTGTGTAGATCTCAGTGAATCCGGAAAGGGCAGCACAAAGAGAATCCTAACCCTTGGGGACAACAAATTTGGTCAATCCAACGCGTTTCAATTTGAGGAGGATGTCCGTCAATTAGCCGTCGGATGGACCCACAATGCCGCAGTTCTGAGAAACAATGAGATTCTACTATGGGGTCGCAATTGCTATGGTCAGTTGGGAATAGGTGGCTTTAGTGACCAACAGGCCATACCCTCCCCAATTCGCCTTACATTTCCTGAGGATTCTTCTCCAGTCAGAATTCATATGGGAGCAGAGCACGGATTGCTGAGGACCACCACCGGAGAGGTTTACACTTGGGGATGGAACGAGCATGGAAATTGCGGAAATAACAGCACCGAAAATGTGTAAGCACCCATAATAGACCCGAATTTACAAATTTTAAATATCTTATATTTATATTCGATAAATATTCGATTATTTTTTTAGATGCAACCCAACACTTGTTGAGCTGCCTGGCGCCGCGAAGTTGGCCGGAGCTGGAGCTGGATTCTGTTACGCCATAACAGAGGCGGATTCTGTTAACTGACTTCCGCCATCATTTTTTTTTCGCTACGCTTGCGCTTTTACTTTGTCCGCCATTGTTAAAATAATTGTAATAACCTTTGTAAACATTATTTAAATAAAGTGATTATTGTTTTTTTGTTAAAAGAAGAAGAACTATGCCGGAAAAACTATGCAAAAGGGTATAAAAATAAAGTAAACAAATGGTTATTTTCCCGAAACTAAAATCGGCCAGTGTGGCCAGTTTTGTTGGCCAGTAATTGAAGTGTCAGAAAATTTCAAACACGTGCACATTTTGACTCTGGTTTTCGGCAGAAAGCTTCCAGCAAAAAAATTTTAAAAAGAAAATCAAGTGTTTATGGTTCACGCGTAATTCAAAGTCTTAAATATCTTTTGTAAACAAATCGAGCAGTGAGGAGTGACCATTGTTTGGGTTGGTATCTGGTTACTTCCCATTCCCACATGCTGGGATGTTTTCGATTCGTCACCGGCCAGTAGTGAGCCGTGATTGCAGCCAGTAGCAGGTCTATCCGAATAAAAATTCTAATTCTAACTAGATTTTAGACTTGCCTTGAAAGAAATTTAGGAAAAAGATGTCTGACAGTAGCACGACCCCTTCGCCTCCGGAGGACTCCGACTCCAATGAGAGAAATTCAACTTCCAGTCAAGGTATGCATTACTGAAAATTTTGTTGTTGTTTGTGGAAATAATTCTTGAGAAAACGCAGGAAGCGTATCCAAGGAACTGGCCCACAAAATCTGGCGAGTGACTCCCAATGATCTGGCCCAGAATATTCCAGCACTCGCAAACTCAGCTTACCCGTGCATCGGAGGTGTCGAATGGGGATCAGGGGGAGCATCGAGCAAGAATTCCGCGAATGACTCGGCAAACGCCTTTATAAGTGAGGTGGAACGGGCTCTGTACGGCAACAGTACTGGATATCCGAAGAATGGCAGCAAGAACTACTTCAAGGCTGCCGAGAATTATGCGATTTATGGCGACAATTTTCTCGACTTTCCAAAAGACACATCCACCTGTTTCGCGGGTCTAGGATCGACTGGTGGATCGGTCTCCAATGCGCCGCCTGGATTCGAACGATCCGCTCGATTATCGGCCTTGTACGAACGGAAACAGGCACCATCCCAGGGTCCTACTCCAGCAACTCTTTCAGGGGTAAGACGAAAATTTAATCTAGCAAATGAGCATTTATTGGACATTTGTGATATTTTTGTATTAGTTGCTATATTTTTCTTTAAAAATATTGTCTAATCGCGTGGCTGGTAAAATATTAATGTGTTTTAGTTGAAACCCAATACCCTTTGCAGCATCATCATCCACAACATCCCCAGCAGTCAAGCCAACAACAACAACGACAGTCAGCCACCGACTACAATAGAAATAACCATAACACCCAAACCAGAAACTCCGGTCAGTCTGGAGGCATCAATGAGTTCCCAATTCCGCAGATCTGTCCGCAATTTATCAGCTCTCCTCAACCTTCTCGCTCGAATCCGAAACCTCAAACCCACTCGCGTACTCTTCAGCCGTTCGGCCCATCACATTCGGCGTCGCAGCAGCACTATCAGCCACAAAGGGGTGGGGGTACGGCGAGTGGCTACCACAGCGACCCCCTTAGCGGCTATCCCCCATCCAATGAAATAAACTTGTCCCAGTTGTATCAACAACTGATGGCTCGCAACCTACGTCCCGGTCACCGGCACCAACACCAACACCATCAGCAGCAGACCAATTCGAATGCGGCGGCAGCTGCCATGATCTACGCCAATCTGGAGCTTCAGCAGCAGATGCAACTTCGTCAGTTGCAAATGCAGCAACAACACCAGCACCAGCAACAGCAACAGCAACTGCATCAGCAACAGGCTCGCTTGCCCCGGGCCATTTACGGAGGCAACAACGGGCATGGATCCGGAGGAGCTGCTACCCCCACTGGCGGCAAGGAACCTCCAGTTGGCAAATAAGGTCTGGCTGTCTCCCAAAAATAATCAAAATAGGAATTAATCAAACCAATAAGAAGGAAAATCCAAACCATAACTTAAGTCTCTTCATTTTTTTAAATTTTTGGTCTTAAGAATGAATTTTAAAAATTATATATAAAATTATATTCGCAAATTTGGAACTTCTAAATTATAATTAAGAAAGAGAATAATGACTCGAAATTTAACAATCAAATTATTTGTAATTATTTTAAAATTTATTATGTAATCTACTCTACAATTTATAAAATTTATTTTATTTGAGTGGAATTTAAAATTTATTAAATCGAATATTATACTAAAATGTATGTTTTAAATAGCCGGCGCTATGCCAATTCTTTTATTTTCCACATCGAACACTGAATAATTATCGCGCATGAAAACATCGCCAAGAATCCAATAGGTTAGTCCCCGCATATCCATGAAGCCCGACAGGCAAATGTCCTCGTAGACAATCACATAGGTTTGGGGCTTTATGTAGAACACTTTATCCTCGATGCCTATCTCAGCATTGGGGAGATTTCCAATTTCTGAGCAATTAACCGTCCAAAGGTCGTAGGTCGAATCGTATTGGGCCCCGATGGCCTCGTTGAGATGGACTATGTCTGCGGCAGGACCCGCGATCAGGGAAGTGCCAGAGTCCAGGATGGCCTTGCATCCTGAGGGGCAGCGTTTCGTGCCAGAGTCATGGATTCCGATAAAGTCCATGTGGAAGGTCCAGTACTTGGCCTCGGTTACATTTGTGTAGGTCAGTGGTCCGTAGTAGAGGCTTGAGTTGGTGCCACCAAGTATCAGTGAGCCACCGTCGCTCGGAGCCACTTTTCATGTAGAACGAGAATATCGGTTGCTTGAGCAACTTTTGGGCAATCATGTTCTGGACAATGGGCGTCGACTTGGTGCGGGACAGTGCCGGAAATGCCATTCCACATATCCCGTCGAAAACCGAGCAGGTTGTAGAGCTATTGACGAATCCCAATCCCTGATTTTCGATCTTCAGGTCCCCTATGGTGAGCACATCCGAGTGAACCATTCCCTCCACCGATCCACTGCCATAGGTTATGCTAAATGGACGGCTCATCCGACGGAAATGTTTGGACTTTGATTCCTGGAACACGGTGCTGCCGCAGGTCTTTTTGCAAAATGTACAATGTCGGCTGGGCACCCAGCAGTCCGAGGAGCCCGTGTCAAACTGCACCGTGAACTCCTGGCCATCGATGTTGATAACCCCGTAGATGTTTGTGTCGTAGGAGTTTACAAGGGCCTCCGCCACCACAGAACCACCACTATTGTCACTAGGTTCCTCCACAGCATTAACTGTACGAAGTGGGGTAAACCCGAACTTACTCCTCAACTCATTGCGATCGATCCGGAGTTGTTTTAGATGTGGAAACTTTTGGGTTTTACGACTACGCTTTTTCAAACTAAACCTGTGTATTTTGGCGGAAACTACTGCAATTAGACAGACAAGTAGGATAATCACACGTAAATCCATGGTCAGTTACTGGTTTTGCTGCCGTTGGAAGTGTCAGTATTTATAGTTCTGAGGCTTTATCATTTCCACTCTTATTTATTGGCATTCACACGTAAAGTCGGCCCCTGAAACATGCGACTGGAAATATGTGATATATGGCTAATATTAATTCAATCAAACCCTCATTCAGGAATTTATTAATACAAAAGGTTTAAATGTTCACATATATAAAAGGTGTTTATACAGACACTTCAAAGTTGTTTAAATTTTTGATTACATATTTTACAAATTCATTAAATTGGTTTAATAATTATTCTTATTGTTAGAATCTTCAAGAAACACTAGTATATTTACAAAAGTTCAGATTTAATATATCAATGCAAAGCTGGAGCAAGTCCAAGCATATTGTAGCCCAAATCGTAGACTGTGTAGTAAGCTCCCATAAAAGGTTCTCCAAGAATAATGAAATCAAGGCCCTCTAAGCTGGTAAAGCTCGAAACACATTTGTTTCCATATCGCAGCACATAATCACTAGACTTTAGGGGAAAATCCTTTCGTCCAATGTTAAAGACTATGTCCGGGAAGTTGGAGATTTTGGCGCAGTCCACTAAGAATACGCCATTGGCTTCGTTAGGGTTCAGTACCCCCAATATCTTGTTGATTTTGATTAGAGCATTTTGTGGGACCACCATCAGAGAGGTGCCCACATCGAGTATGGCCTCACATTTGTTGCAAAAGTTGGTGCCATCTATGTCAGCACTGGTCATTGTGAACTGCCAATAGCCCTGGATAGAGACCGGTACGAAGGTCAAACATCCTCTATAAAGAGCCGAATCGGTGCCTCCTAACACAAGCTCACCCCCGGTAATGGCACTAGTGCCGTTTCTGTTGAGGTAAATGGAGAAGACTGGCTTTTTGATGAGGCCTTGTTCGATCAAGTTATAAAGCGGCGGGGTTACTCCGCCAATGGATATCTGGGAGTAGGCCAGGCCCAGAAGGCCATCGTAGAGTGCGTTGAGGAAGGGGTTCTCGGGTTCATCAGTGATCTCGGCAAATATTTGGTTTTTTATGGGCAAGCCCGCTATGGTCACTGTGTCCTGGGACAGGAAGCCGGACAGAGCCACTGTACCTCCCGAATTGGATCCATAGTCAATGTTAAAGTCCGTATTGTTTGCCACAAATGTGTTGGAGGCCGAGGAATTGTATTTGTTATGATTTGCACAGGACTTGTCAGTGGCTGGACACTTGATGGAAGGCACCCACAGATTCGCAGATCCCGTATCTATCAGCAAGGTAAACTTCTGGGGAGGATTGCCAATCTCCACAGCTACAGAGTAAGCCGTATTATAATAATTGCTCAGGCTGGCAGCACTCGATCCTGCATCCTGGGTCTTCGATTTCAAAGGAGCTTGTGTCGTGGAGAGTACTTTCGTGTTCTTCAAGTTATGTTTGACCGACAAGGACTTGAGTTCGTGTTCCACATTTTGATGACTAGATTCAGGGTTTTTGTGGATGCCAACCTTGAGGCGCTTGCGGGCCTCCACTTTAAAGACCAGGAGAACTAACAATGCTATCCAAAACAGCATTAACACCAGCTTACAACACTTTGACTTGACCCTCATGGTCGGACTTTTCGTTTATGACCTAAGGCCTATTCGGTCACGTATTTATAGCTCAACACCTCGTCTTGCTTCATTCAGATAAATGGAGCTCTGCAGCTGAGTGCCTCAATCGTCTCACACCATCCAAGAATTTCACACGCGATAAACCCAACTATTCTTAGTTTCGGGGGGTGTTCCCAAAAGCAATAAAGACGGGATTATTAAATTAAAATTAATTATAAACTTAAAAGGTAATTGCCCTATGATATTAAAAGCCCTCAATTAATATGTGAAACCCTTGAATTTAACTCTGTAAGGTGATCATCCAATGAGCACGAACCTAGAAGGAGGCATCGGCTGTGGTAAGAGGGCAGAGATGAGCATTTAAAAATATCTATCTGTTTACGAAATATTGTTAGCATTTGCTCCAAGAAACCCCGTTTATCACCCTTTTTTTAAAAACAAATCCGAATATAAAAACAACTCTTTATTTTTGCATTAAAATTTTGTAAGGTTTGCTCATCACCTTCTAAGCGGTGTTACGAATATCAATTCAGCTGCAGAAGGCGGCTTCGTTGCCTTCGGTCTCGCTTTAGGAGGAAAGCTTGGAATCTTACAAGACGTGGTGGCGGATGATGTGCCAGATGATCCTACGGCGCAGGCTCAGGTTCTCAATAGCGGAGTCCTCAGCGGGCAGCTGCTCGGCGTCTTCAGCGGCAAGGACGTAGTGACGGATGATGTGCCAGGCGATCCTCCTGCGAAGGCTCAGGTTCTCAACGGAGGAGTCGTGGTCGGGGGACAGCTCGGAGTCGTCGGCGGAGGATTCCTCAGCGAGGACGTAGTGGCGGATGATGTGCCAGGCAATCCTCCTGCGAAGGCTCAGGTTCTCAACGGAGGAGTCGTGGTCGGGGGACAGCTCGGAGTCGTCGGCGGAAGAGTCCTCAGCGAGGACGTAGTGGCGGATGATGTGCCAGGCGATCCTCCTGCGAAGGCTCAGGTTCTCAACGGCGGGGGACAGCTCAGAGTCGTCGGCGGAGGACTCCTCAGCGAGGACGTAGTGACGGATGATGTGCCAGGCGATTCTGCGGCGAAGGCTCAGGTCCTCAACATCGGAATCATCAACAGGGGACAGCTCAGAGTCCTCGGCGGGAGCGTTCTCGGAGTCCAAGAACATGAAGGGGAGGCGGCGGAGGACACCCATGGCAACCCGGCGGGCCACATGGCGTTCCACAGCATGGCGGACTTCGTGGTGGTCGTCACGACGAGCCTCCACACTGAAGACGGCGAAGATGGCCAACAGAACTAGGAACTTGAACATTTTGATTTAGATGTTTCTGGGCTAGACCTGGAAATCAACTGAAGAATACCTTCGTCCCCGCGATATTTATACGACTTTTCCAGGTTAGTCATATTAATTATCATACAACTGGATTAAATGTGCCGGACATAGATATAATATTTGTTAGTAGTTCAAAGAAGCGAGGTCCGGTCAATGGAATTATGAAAATAAATCGTTATGTCGATAAGTTTTGTTTACATAAATTCAGGATTAAGTAAGGTAATTTTTGATAATGCCTGTCTAATAGTAAAATATTCATTGGGCCTTATCATGTCTATGAAATTTTTATAGCACCCCCTAACTTGGCTTCATTCCTGACTTCAATAAATTTACACTTGTAGACACTTAAAATTAAAAAAAAAAACAAGAAAGCAATGCAAACTTCGAGCAAAAACAAAATATTTTTTAGATTCTTTGTCAAATTTTCTGATGGACCCCCTTCAAAATCCTGAAAAAAACTTGAGGAACCAATCGGACCCCCATCGAAAGGCATATCTTTCCCAAAAATCATCCGATTCTCAAGCGGAATACCTTAATCGATTTGCACATCGATTCTCCACGAATCTGCATCAAAATCTAGAAACAAAATATTTTATAGATTTTTTGTCAAATTTTCTGATTTCAGAATCCTGAAAAAAACTTGAGGAACCAATCGGACCCCCATCGAAAGGCATATCTTTCCCAAAAATCATCCGATTCTCAAGCGGAATACCTTAAACGATTTGTACATCGATTCTCCACGAATCTGCATCAAAATCTAGAAACAAAATATTTCTTATTTTCATCAAAATCTAGAAACAAAATATTTTTTAGATTTTTTGTCAAATTTTCTGATGGACCCCCTTCAAAATCCTGAAAAAAACTTGAGGAACCAATCGGACCCCCATCGAAAGGCATATCTTTCCCAAAAATCATCCGATTCTCAAGCGGAATACCTTAAACGATTTGTACATCGATTCTCCACGAATCTGCATCAAAATCTAGAAACAAAATATTTTTTAGATTTTTTGTCAAATTTTCTGGACCCCCTTCAAAATCCTGAAAAAAAATGGAGGAACCAATCGGACCCCCATCGAAAGCCATATCTTTCCCAAAATCATCCGATTCTCAAGCCGAATACCTTAAACGATTTGTACATCGATTCTCCACGAATCTGCATCAAAATATAGAAACAAAATATTTTTTAGATTTTTTGTCAAATTTTCTGATGGACCCCCTTCAAAATTCTGAAAAAAACTTTAGGAACCAATCGGACCCCCATCGAAAGGCATATCTTTCCCAAAAATCATCCGATTCTCAAGCGGAATACCTTAAACGATTTGTACATCGATTCTCCACGAATCTGCATCAAAATCTAGAAAAAAAATATTTTTTAGATTTTTTGTCAAATTTTCTGATTTCAGAATCCTGAAAAAAACTTGAGGAACCAATCGGACCCCCATCGAAAGACATAACTTTCCCAAAAATCATCCGATTCTCAAGCGGAATACCTTAAACGATTTGTACATCGATTCTCCACGAATCTGCATCAAAATCTAGAAACAAAATATTTTTTAGATTTTTTGTCAAATTTTCTGATGGACCCCCTTCAAAATTCTGAAAAAAACTTTAGGAACCAATTGGACCCCCATCGAAAGGCATATCTTTCCCAAAAATCATCCGATTCTCAAGCGGAATACCTTAATCGATTTGCACATCGATTCTCCACGAATCTGCATCAAAATCTAGAAACAAAATATTTTATAGATTTTTTGTCAAATTTTCTGATTTCAGAATCCTGAAAAAAACTTGAGGAACCAATCGGACCCCCATCGAAAGGCATATCTTTCCCAAAAATCATCCGATTCTCAAGCGGAATACCTTAAACGATTTGTACATCGATTCTCCACGAATCTGCATCAAAATCTAGAAACAAAATATTTCTTATTTTCATCAAAATCTAGAAACAAAATATTTTTTAGATTTTTTGTCAAATTTTCTGATGGACCCCCTTCAAAATCCTGAAAAAAACTTGAGGAACCAATCGGACCCCCATCGAAAGGCATATCTTTCCCAAAAATCATCCGATTCTCAAGCGGAATACCTTAAACGATTTGCACATCGATTCTCCACGAATCTGCATCAAAATCTAGAAACAAAATATTTTTTAGATTTTTTGTCAAATTTTCTGGACCCCCTTCAAAATCCTGAAAAAAAATGGAGGAACCAATCGGACCCCCATCGAAAGCCATATCTTTCCCAAAATCATCCGATTCTCAAGCCGAATACCTTAAACGATTTGTACATCGATTCTCCACGAATCTGCATCAAAATATAGAAACAAAATATTTTTTAGATTTTTTGTCAAATTTTCTGATGGACCCCCTTCAAAATTCTGAAAAAAACTTTAGGAACCAATTGGACCCCCATCGAAAGGCATATCTTTCCCAAAAATCATCCGATTCTCAAGCGGAATACCTTAAACGATTTGCACATCGATTCTCCACGAATCTGCATCAAAATCTAGAAACAAAATATTTTTTAGATTTTTTGTCAAATTTTCTGATGGACCCCCTTCAAAATTCTGAAAAAAACTTTAGGAACCAATTGGACCCCCATCGAAAGGCATATCTTTCCCAAAACTCATCCGATTCTCAAGCGGAATACCTTAAACGATTTGTGCATCGATTCTCCATGTATTTTCATCAAAATCTAGAAACAAAATATTTTTTAGATTTTTTGTCAAATTTTCTGATGGACCCCCTTCAAAATCCTGAAAAAAACTTGAGGAACCAATCGGACCCCCATCGAAAGGCATATCTTGCCCAAAAATCATCCGATTCTCAAGCGGAATACCTTAAACGATTTGTACATCGATTCTCCACGAAACTGCATCAAAATCTAGAAACTAAATATTTTGTAGATTTTGTGTCCATTTTTTGGTCCCATGAAAAAGGTGGTTTTTCCCTACATGGCGCACAGTGATGGCTATATCTTCCCCAATCCTGCAGATTTCCCACCATTCTGCATCTTAGAGTTTTTGTCCATTTTGTTTAGACAAAATATTGTAAGCATTTGCTCCAAGAAACCCTGTTTATCACCCTTTTTTAAAAACAAATCCGAATATAAAAACAACTCTTTATTTTTGCATTAAAATTTTGTAAGGTTTGCTCATCACCTTCTAAGCGGTGTTACGAATATCAATTCAGCTGCAGAAGGCGGCTTCGTTGCCTTCGGTCTCGCTTTAGGAGGAAAGCTTGGAATCTTACAAGACGTGGTGGCGGATGATGTGCCAGATGATCCTACGGCGCAGGCTCAGGTTCTCAATAGCGGAGTCCTCAGCGGGCAGCTGCTCGGCGTCTTCAGCGGCAAGGACGTAGTGACGGATGATGTGCCAGGCGATCCTCCTGCGAAGGCTCAGGTTCTCAACGGAGGAGTCGTGGTCGGGGGACAGCTCGGAGTCGTCGGCGGAGGATTCCTCAGCGAGGACGTAGTGGCGGATGATGTGCCAGGCAATCCTCCTGCGAAGGCTCAGGTTCTCAACGGAGGAGTCGTGGTCGGGGGACAGCTCGGAGTCGTCGGCGGAAGAGTCCTCAGCGAGGACGTAGTGGCGGATGATGTGCCAGGCGATCCTCCTGCGAAGGCTCAGGTTCTCAACGGCGGGGGACAGCTCAGAGTCGTCGGCGGAGGACTCCTCAGCGAGGACGTAGTGACGGATGATGTGCCAGGCGATTCTGCGGCGAAGGCTCAGGTCCTCAACATCGGAATCATCAACAGGGGACAGCTCAGAGTCCTCGGCGGGAGCGTTCTCGGAGTCCAAGAACATGAAGGGGAGGCGGCGGAGGACACCCATGGCAACCCGGCGGGCCACATGGCGTTCCACAGCATGGCGGACTTCGTGGTGGTCGTCACGACGAGCCTCCACACTGAAGACGGCGAAGATGGCCAACAGAACTAGGAACTTGAACATTTTGATTTAGATGTTTCTGGGCTAGACCTGGAAATCAACTGAAGAATACCTTCGTCCCCGCGATATTTATACGACTTTTCCAGGTTAGTCATATTAATTATCATACAACTGGATTAAATGTGCCGGACATAGATATAATATTTGTTAGTAGTTCAAAGAAGCGAGGTCCGGTCAATGGAATTATGAAAATAAATCGTTATGTCGATAAGTTTTGTTTACATAAATTCAGGATTAAGTAAGGTAATTTTTGATAATGCCTGTCTAATAATAAAATATTCATTGGGCCTTATCATGTCTATGAAATTTTTATAGCACACCCCAACTTGGCTTCATTCCTTACTTCAATAAATTTACACTTGTAGACACTTAAAATTAAAAAAAAAACAAGAAAGCAATGCAAACTTCGAGCAAAAACAAAATATTTTTTAGATTTTTTGTCATATTTTCTGATGGACCCCCTTCAAAATCCTGAAAAAAACTTGAGGAACCAATCGGACCCCCATCAAAAGGCATATCTTTCCCAAAAATCATCCGATTCTCAAGCGGAAGAATACCTTAATCGATTTGCACATCGATTCTCCACGAATCTGCATCAAAATCTAGAAACAAAATATTTTTTAGATTTTTTGTCAAATTTTCTGATTTCAAAATCCTGAAAAAAACTTGAGGAACCAATCGGACCCCCATCGAAAGGCATATCTTTCCCAAAAATCATCCGATTCTAGGGCGGAATACCTTAAACGATTTGTACATCGATTCTCCACGAATCTGCATCAAAATCTAGAAACAAAATATTTCTTATTTTCATCAAAATCTAGAAACAATATATTTTTTAGATTTTTTGTCAAATTTTCTGATGGACCCCCTTCAAAATCCTGAAAAAAACTTGAGGAACCAATCGGACCCCCATCGAAAGGCATATCTTTCCCAAAAATCATCCGATTCTCAAGCGGAATACCTTAAACGATTTGCACATCGATTCTCCACGAATCTGCATCAAAATCTAGAAACAAAATATTTTTTAGATTTTTTGTCAAATTTTCTGGACCCCCTTCAAAATCCTGAAAAAAAATGGAGGAACCAATCGGACCCCCATCGAAAGCCATATCTTTCCCAAAATCATCCGATTCTCAAGCCGAATACCTTAAACGATTTGTACATCGATTCTCCACGAATCTGCATCAAAATATAGAAACAAAATATTTTTTAGATTTTTTGTCAAATTTTCTGATGGACCCCCTTCAAAATTCTGAAAAAACTTTAGGAACCAATTGGACCCCCATCGAAAGGCATATCTTTCCCAAAAATCATCCGATTCTCAAGCGGAATACCTTAAACGATTTGCACATCGATTCTCCACGAATCTGCATCAAAATCTAGAAACAAAATATTTTTTAGATTTTTTGTCAAATTTTCTGATGGACCCCCTTCAAAATCCTGAAAAAAACTTGAGGAACCAATCGGACCCCCATCGAAAGGCATATCTTGCCCAAAAATCATCCGATTCTCAAGCGGAATACCTTAAACGATTTGTACATCGATTCTCCACGAAACTGCATCAAAATCTAGAAACTAAATATTTTGTAGATTTTGTGTCCATTTTTTGGTCCCATGAAAAGGTGGTTTTTTCCCTACATGGCGCACAGTGATGGCTACATCTTCCCCAATCCTGCAGATTTCCCACCATTCTGCATCTTAGAGTTTTTGTCCATTTTGTTTAGACAAAATATTGTAAGCATTTGCTCCAAGAAACCCTGTTTATCACCCTTTTTTAAAAACAAATCCGAATATAAAAACAACTCTTTATTTTTGCATTAAAATTTTGTAAGGTTTGCTCATCACCTTCTAAGCGGTGTTACGAATATCAATTCAGCTGCAGAAGGCGGCTTCGTTGCCTTCGGTCTCGCTTTAGGAGGAAAGCTTGGAATCTTACAAGACGTGGTGGCGGATGATGTGCCAGATGATCCTACGGCGCAGGCTCAGGTTCTCAATAGCGGAGTCCTCAGCGGGCAGCTGCTCGGCGTCTTCAGCGGCAAGGACGTAGTGACGGATGATGTGCCAGGCGATCCTCCTGCGAAGGCTCAGGTTCTCAACGGAGGAGTCGTGGTCGGGGGACAGCTCGGAGTCGTCGGCGGAGGATTCCTCAGCGAGGACGTAGTGGCGGATGATGTGCCAGGCAATCCTCCTGCGAAGGCTCAGGTTCTCAACGGAGGAGTCGTGGTCGGGGGACAGCTCGGAGTCGTCGGCGGAAGAGTCCTCAGCGAGGACGTAGTGGCGGATGATGTGCCAGGCGATCCTCCTGCGAAGGCTCAGGTTCTCAACGGCGGGGGACAGCTCAGAGTCGTCGGCGGAGGACTCCTCAGCGAGGACGTAGTGACGGATGATGTGCCAGGCGATTCTGCGGCGAAGGCTCAGGTCCTCAACATCGGAATCATCAACAGGGGACAGCTCAGAGTCCTCGGCGGGAGCGTTCTCGGAGTCCAAGAACATGAAGGGGAGGCGGCGGAGGACACCCATGGCAACCCGGCGGGCCACATGGCGTTCCACAGCATGGCGGACTTCGTGGTGGTCGTCACGACGAGCCTCCACACTGAAGACGGCGAAGATGGCCAACAGAACTAGGAACTTGAACATTTTGATTTAGATGTTTCTGGGCTAGACCTGGAAATCAACTGAAGAATACCTTCGTCCCCGCGATATTTATACGACTTTTCCAGGTTAGTCATATTAATTATCATACAACTGGATTAAATGTGCCGGACATAGATATAATATTTGTTAGTAGTTCAAAGAAGCGAGGTCCGGTCAATGGAATTATGAAAATAAATCGTTATGTCGATAAGTTTTGTTTACATAAATTCAGGATTAAGTAAGGTAATTTTTGATAATGCCTGTCTAATAGTAAAATATTCATTGGGCCTTATCATGTCTATGAAATTTTTATAGCACACCCCAACTTGGCTTCATTCCTGACTTCAATAAATTTACACTTGTAGACACTTAAAATTAAAAACAAAAACAAGAAAGCAATGCAAACTTCGAGCAAAAACAAAATATTTTTTAGATTTTTTGTCAAATTTTCTGATGGACCCCCTTCAAAATCCTGAAAAAAACTTGAGGAACCAATCGGACCCCCATCGAAAGGCATATCTTTCCCAAAAATCATCCGATTCTCAAGCGGAATACCTTAAACGATTTGCACATCGATTCTCCACGAATCTGCATCAAAATCTAGAAACAAAATATTTTATAGATTTTTTGTCAAATTTTCTGATTTCAGAATCCTGAAAAAAACTTGAGGATCCAATCGGACCCCCATCGAAAGGCATATCTTTCCCAAAAATCATCCGATTCTCAAGCGGAATACCTTAAACGATTTGTACATCGATTCTCCACGAATCTGCATCAAAATCTAGAAACAAAATATTTTTTTAAATTTTTTGTCAAATTTTCTGATTTCAGAATCCTGAAAAAAACTTGAGGAACCAATCGGACCCTCATCGAAAGGCATATCTTTCCCAAAAATCATCCGATTCTCAAGCGGAATACCTTAAACGATTTGTACATCGGTTCTCCACGAATCTGCATCAAAATCTAGAAACAAAATATTTCTTAGATTTTTTGTCAAATTTTCTGATGGACCCCCTTCAAAATTCTGAAACAAACTTTAGGAACCAATTGGACCCCCATCGAAAGGCATATCTTTCCCAAAAATCATCCGATTCTCAAGCGGAATACCTTAAACGATTTGTGCATCGATTCTCCATGTATTTTCATCAAAATCTAGAAACAAAATATTTTTTAGATTTTTTGTCAAATTTTCTGATGGACCCCCTTCAAAATCCTGAAAAAAACTTGAGGAACCAATCGGACCCCCATCGAAAGGCATATCTTTCCCAAAAATCATCCGATTCTCAAGCGGAATACCTTAAACGATTTGCACATTGATTCTCCACGAATCTGCATCAAAATCTAGAAACAAAATATTTTTTAGATTTTTTGTCAAATTTTCTGATGGACCCCCTTCAAAATTCTGAAAAAAACTTTAGGAACCAATTGGACCCCCATCGAAAGGCATATCTTTCCCAAAACTCATCCGATTCTCAAGCGGAATACCTTAAACGATTTGTGCATCGATTCTCCATGTATTTTCATCAAAATCTAGAAACAAAATATTTTTTAGATTTTTTGTCAAATTTTCTGATGGACCCCCTTCAAAATCCTGAAAAAAACTTGAGGAACCAATCGGACCCCCATCGAAAGGCATATCTTGCCCAAAAATCATCCGATTCTCAAGCGGAATACCTTAAACGATTTGTACATCGATTCTCCACGAATCTGCATCAAAATCTAGAAACTAAATATTTTGTAGATTTTTTGTCCATTTTTTGGTCCCATGAAAAAGGTGGTTTTTCCCTACATGGCGCACAGTGATGGCTATATCTTCCCCAATCCTGCAGATTTCCCACCATTCTGCATCTTAGAGTTTTTGTCCATTTTGTTTAGACAAAATATTGTAAGCATTTGCTCCAAGAAACCCTGTTTATCACCCTTTTTTAAAAACAAATCCGAATATAAAAACAACTCTTTATTTTTGCATTAAAATTTTGTAAGGTTTGCTCATCACCTTCTAAGCGGTGTTACGAATATCAATTCAGCTGCAGAAGGCGGCTTCGTTGCCTTCGGTCTCGCTTTAGGAGGAAAGCTTGGAATCTTACAAGACGTGGTGGCGGATGATGTGCCAGATGATCCTACGGCGCAGGCTCAGGTTCTCAATAGCGGAGTCCTCAGCGGGCAGCTGCTCGGCGTCTTCAGCGGCAAGGACGTAGTGACGGATGATGTGCCAGGCGATCCTCCTGCGAAGGCTCAGGTTCTCAACGGAGGAGTCGTGGTCGGGGGACAGCTCGGAGTCGTCGGCGGAGGATTCCTCAGCGAGGACGTAGTGGCGGATGATGTGCCAGGCAATCCTCCTGCGAAGGCTCAGGTTCTCAACGGAGGAGTCGTGGTCGGGGGACAGCTCGGAGTCGTCGGCGGAAGAGTCCTCAGCGAGGACGTAGTGGCGGATGATGTGCCAGGCGATCCTCCTGCGAAGGCTCAGGTTCTCAACGGCGGGGGACAGCTCAGAGTCGTCGGCGGAGGACTCCTCAGCGAGGACGTAGTGACGGATGATGTGCCAGGCGATTCTGCGGCGAAGGCTCAGGTCCTCAACATCGGAATCATCAACAGGGGACAGCTCAGAGTCCTCGGCGGGAGCGTTCTCGGAGTCCAAGAACATGAAGGGGAGGCGGCGGAGGACACCCATGGCAACCCGGCGGGCCACATGGCGTTCCACAGCATGGCGGACTTCGTGGTGGTCGTCACGACGAGCCTCCACACTGAAGACGGCGAAGATGGCCAACAGAACTAGGAACTTGAACATTTTGATTTAGATGTTTCTGGGCTAGACCTGGAAATCAACTGAAGAATACCTTCGTCCCCACGATATTTATACGACTTTTCCAGTTATCTCGTATTAATTATAAGACGCCTGGATTAAAATGGCCGGACATATGTAGATATAAATTTTCTAAGTAATGCAAAGCCGCAAGGTCCGGTCAATAAAATTATGAAAATAAGTCGTTATGTCGATAAGTTTTGTTTAAATAAATTCAGGATTAAGTAAGGTGATTTTTGATAATGCCTGGCTTATACAAAAAGTTTTAGGGCTTTATCATTTCCATAATATTCAAAATGTATTGCGTATATCAGTTTCAATATATAACATAGCTTCCAGAAAAGACGGCTAAAGTCGAGTTTTCCGACTATATTATACCCGATTCTCGCCCACTACTAAAGTAGGTGAAGATTACCTATTATAACAGATCGACAAAACATTAAACAAAAATATCAAACTGGCGCTACAACGAGATTTCAGTTTTTGTGGCGGGAGTTAGCGTGGCAAAAATTGAAACAAACTTGAACTGCGTGGGCTATCTCCAATAATCTCTGAGATCCACCCACCCGTTCATACGGACGGACGGACGAACAGGACAGACGGATACTTAATATATATACAATACATAATATAAAGTATATATACCTAATGGGTTCGAAGATGATTTCTTCTCTATGTTACATACATACATTCTCTATGTGTATATTTGAATTAGATGAAATTCACACATCTACAATTTACCCTTGTTCTCTACGAGTACCGTGTATAAAAATCCAGAACCTAAGAGGATCTTTATTTAGATCCCCACTTCGGAGACTAGGTAACAAAAAATTCGAATATAAAAAAGCCTGCTAAATCGGCTCATTTAAAATGTTATTGAGCGATGGTTCACCTAATTATAAAATATTTGCTTGTATATTGACTTAAAAATGAATGACACAAACTTTATTTTCAGTAAGCAGTATAAAATATTTATTTTTTATTTTTTTAATTTTGAATGCGTTTTAAAAGATTGTTTTAAAAACCCAACCTTTCAGTTAGATTAATAAAACAATGGAAATGATAGGTCGAATCCAACTCCGAAGAGATCTAAGCCTGGAAGACATCGCCACCCAGGATCCAGAAGTCGGTGCCAATGTAGGTGAACATGGAAGTGCAGCTGGTGACCTTGCCCTCGGTGGAAGTCTCAATGTACACGGAAGAGGGAACCTCGTAGTTGGTGCCTCCGATGTTGAAGGTGATCACGGGCAGGGACTTCACGGAGGGGCACTGGACGTAGTACTCTCCATCGACAAAGACGGCGCCAATCAGCTTGTTGATCTGGGCATAGGCTTCGGCGGGAGCCACCAGCAGGGAGGAGGAGTCGGCGAAGGAGATAGCCTTCACGGGGCCGGACACCACGGTGTTGTCCAGGCTGATTTGGCTAACGCTCAGTTCCTTGAGTTCACCATCCTCGACGGAGGAGTCATCTGAGTCAGCGAAGTGGTACACAGCGCTTCCATTCTGGTAGTTCACAACATCGCCCACCCAGTGTCTGACTTCGTTCTTGATAATGTGGATGGCGACCTTCTTGGCCACATGGCGGGCAATGCGCCACTTCCTGCCGGCCTGGGCAGCCAGGACCAAACTCAAGATGGTGAAAAGAACCAAAAACTTCATGTTTTTTGAGGTATGTGTTTAGCTTAGTCGAAAATTGGACTGAAGAAAAGTGAGCCGGCACACCCTTTTATACAAAGCCGGCAGGTTAAAAACTGACCCTAACATGATTACAAAGCACTTTGATAAAAAGTTTCGGATAAAGGTATATAATTGATCGATAGTCTACGGAGATTTCGGAAAATTTTTTTCCATTGATAACATATCTTTTACATTTATATAATCTTATCGGGTATTTAAAAATGTTTTTGAAAATGAAAGGAAACAGAGATTTAATTAGAAGGTTATGAATTTATATCTTTGATTTCATTTCTGATAAATATTTAAGAACGCTATAAGCTTTGTATTTAAAACCTTTATTATAAGTTTGGTATTTGATATTTTTAAGGATTTAAATCTCGTAATATTCCCGTAAATAGATAAGAGAATAGTTATACTTTGATTATTACACAAAAATTATATGCGATTGAACTACTTCATAGTTTTTAGCAAAAAGTTAAAGATGCCATAGCACTGTTTCAAAACCTGTCTAGTAAAATGTTAATTAAAATTTAATATGAATACTATATGAATATTAATTTACAGCCAAGTTGTTTTCCAAATTGAAAGGCGGAAAGAGTCTGCTTTTAACGGATAAAGGTGTTTGGGCTCTTTGAATAATCAGCCAGATGATCGTGTGGGTGCTCCTGAAGCCATAAGTAGGGTCGTAAGCTTCGTAAGCAGCCACGGCAACATTCAGAGACTCCTGGGTCAACATGTCTCCGAATTTCGACCAATACGATAGGTGGCCTAAGGCCATTACCATCAGTACCAAGTACTCGGCTGCCACTTTAGGGTCGTGTCTGGAAACCATGGCTTCAAAGACCGACAGCGAAATTAGTAAGAAATTGACAATCAGTTGCATAGTAAAGGCTCCATTGAAGATCTCATTTGAACGGTCAGTGAGGCTGTAAAAAATGGTTAAGAACAATAAATTATTTTTAGTGTGCCATATAATTCTGCCAACCAGATAATCCGCTGGTGAAACTTGGCCAAATCATATACTTCGTGGGCGAACAGACTGGAATTTCCATCACAACGTTCGTGGACAACACGTAGCTCCGTGCAAAGGACCTTCAGCGCAGAAGTCAATTCGGAAAAGATGGTAACTGAAATGTGTTCGCAACATAATGTCCAAATCATGGCGTACATCAAAATGCAACTTTGGGAAACAAAAATAGTGGCATGACATAGTGGGTGCTGGGATGGATCATGTAAATGGAATGGATAGGCCACGTGGAATGGGAGTTCCTGCGCCTCCAGCCAAAAAGGTGTCGAGATTATTATCAGAACAAAAGAAATAACCATAAATAACCACGCTGCATTAAGGCCAGTAAGCCAAAAAAAGATCCTTCGTTTCATGCATCGGGACTCCTCCAGACCACGACCCTGACTATCACATTGATAACACTCCTCTAGGCCATCGATTATCTCGTCGATATCATCCGCATGAATGGAAAAGTGCACCATTTTAAAGAATATGTAAAAAGTCTGAAACGAAGTTAAGTTTTTTATATAGTAGTTAAATCATTTTAATAAACTTTGATTTTTCGCACTCCTATGGTATAGGCCAGATCCTGCCCCAAGAGCACAATGTCGTCAAGCGACTCCAATATTCCGTAGCCCAAGGATGCTAAACTAATTGCCATCTGGAGCATGAAAAAATAATGCCAGGCCACCAGTAAGGGCTGACGACCCTTATCAGTGTTCATGTAGAATCCAATGGCTCTTGAAGAAAAATATTTAAGTAGGTTTAAAAATTGTTTTCATATTTTCCACATACTTCATATGCTCCCGACAAAAATATGCAAAAGTGTGCAAAGGTTTTTCCAGTGGGTTCCCAAGAATTTTCCATACTTCATAAAATGGTCCCAAAAGATTTTTGCAGTATTCATTGACTTTCACTTCCATTTCCAATAAAATCTGTTGCACATACGAACTATAACTGTTACGATTTAATAGAATAAACCTTTATATATTCTTTCTCCTTATTAGAGTAGTTCCTTTACGGAAAAATGGCAGCTGCTCCTTATTAATAATTCGCAGGTGCAAATAATTTTATCATTAGTAACTTTAATCATTAGTAATTACTTTCTGGTCAGAATTTTTCAATACCGCGTGGATAAGTATTAATATATTTAATAGATTCTTATTAAATAATAATATAATAAAAATAATAATATATTCTCAGGTTTTAAGAAAATTGTTGGGAGAAGCTTTAAAAACATCTTTATGAGTATGTGTCGTTTATCTAGTGAATCTTGCCAAAATTTTATTTTTATTTTTTCAAATTTTCTTCAACAATAATTATCCTACTCCATTGTTTGCATCAAAAAGGTAAAGATTCTGTAGCACTGATTTAGGACCTGTAAAATAGAAAACTTCATTAAAGAACTAATATATATAATCATATTAAGTTACAGCCAAATTATTGACCAAGTTAAATGGAGGCAAGAGTCTGCTTGTGATGGCCAACGGTTTTTGGGACCTAAGGATTATAAGCCCCAACCGTTGGTGGACACTTTTGTTGCCCCTGGTTGGGTCATAGGCCTCGTAGGCAGCCACTGCCACTTCCATGGACTGTTGGGAAAGAAAATCGCCGAATTTGGACCAGCACGAGAGGTGTCCCAGAGCCATGGCTATCAGGACCATGTACTCGGCAACCACTTCACGGTCGTGCCTGAAAACCATAGCCTCAAATCCTGCCAACGAAATTAGTAGGAAATTCACTACTAGCTGCATAGTCAGAGCGCCATTAAAAATTTCGTTGGATCGGTCCACAGCACTGAAATACACTTAATGTCATTTTATTCTCTTCTGGTATTATCAGTAGTTAGTCTAACCAAATTATCTGCTGATGGAACAAAGCTAATCGATTGACTTCTTTGTCAAGCAGGACGTTATCACGTCCGCAATATGTAAGTATATACCGCAGCTCAAGACACAGGACATTAAGGGCAGATGTTAGCTCATTATAAATTGAACCGGCCAGAAATTCCGCAAAAACTATCCAGATCAAGCTGTACAGAGTGATATAACCGTGCGATACAAATATAAGGGCATGAGCGATTGGGTGCTTGGATGGATTGTGCAATTCGAAAGGAAAGGCTACGTGGTAGGGCAGTTCCTGAGACTCCACCCAAAATGGCGTTGAAACCATTATAAGGGTGAATAAGATGACCAAGAACAACCAGGTTCCCATTAGGGCTGCAGGAATTAAAAAGTGCCATCGTTTTATCGCGAGAATATCCTTCTGAACTGGACCTTTTGTTTCCCATCTATAGAACTCTTCCAGGTCAGCAATAATTTTATCAATTTCATCGGCATTATTCGAAAAATGGATCATTTTAAAAATTAAAAAAAAATACGGAAATTGATGAGGGTTACTTACATATATGATAAATATAATGGTTTTGCCTAATATCTTACAGCTATGATAAAAGCGAGGTCGCGTCCGAGGAGCACAATGTCATCGAGGGACTCTAGTAGACCGTACCAAAGAGATGCCATGGTCACCATCATAAGGCCAATGAAACAATAATTCCAAGCCAGTAGAAGACGTTTACTTCGTTCCTCAGAGTTCATGTAGAATCCGAATGCTCTTTAAAAGTAAAATTCTTACTTGAATACCTTTACTTAAGAAATCATGAGAAACAAACTTCATTTGGTCGCGGTCTAAATAGGCGAAGGTGTGCGAGGGACTCCTCTGGGGGTCTTTAAAAACTATCCATGCTTCGATAAGTACGCTCGTAAGGCACTTTAAATTATCTTTAAACATCATTGCCAGCAACTTGTCCGACTTTATTCTAGTTTTCATGAAATACAAAAAGTAACTGCGTGAATTTTTATAATGCATTTATTTCCTAACAAAAAAAGAACATTATAACTCATTATTGCGACTGGACTACGAGAAATTAGCAGCTGCTCCTCATTAAAAATTCTCATAGGCTTTGTAATAATTTTGTAATAGCTTCATTTGCAATCATAGACGACTATGAGCAGGTTCTTATTATTACTAATATTCTTAAGTTTTGTCTTTTTAAATATGTAAAAGATATAATTGTATTATTAACATTATGTAGTCTTTTTATATTATGTAGTCTTTTTTAAATAATTTAAAATAACTTTTTTACAAAGATGTGGACTAAAACTCTGCGTTTATTTATTCCATCGTTTGCATCAAAAAGGTAAATATTCTATAGCACTGATTTAGGACCTACAAATAAAATATTGATATAAAGCGTAAATAATATATAAATCAACGAATATTTACAGCCAAGTTGTTGACCAAGGTAAAAGGTGGCAAGATTTTGCTCTTGATCGACAGCGGTTTCTGGGCCCTTAGAATTATCAGTCCCAGCCTTTGGTGGACACTCTTGTTGCCCCTTGTTGGCTCATAGGCGTCGTAGGCAGCTACTGCCACTTCCAAGGACTCTTGGGTCAGAAGATCCCCGAACTTGGACCAGCAAGAGAGGTGGCTTAGGGCCATAACCATCAAGACCAAGTACTCGGCAACCACTTCGTGATCGTGCCTCGAAACCATTGCTTCAAATCCCGACAGGGAAATCAGTAGGAAAATCACCATCAGTTGCATTGTAAAAGCGCCATTAAAAATTTCATTGGATCTGTCAACAAGGCTACAATAAAATCTTGTAACATTTATTCTTTTATAATTATTTATACGAAGTTTTGGTCTCACCGAATAATCTGCTGATGAAACAAAGCTAGCCGATTTATTTCTTTGTCCAGCATGAGATCATCAGAATCACAGTATCGATTCATGAACCGCAGCTGGAGACACAGGATCTTTAAGTCGGATGTCAGCTCGAAAAAAATGGAACCAGCTAGAACGTCAGCAAAAACTATCCAGATAAGGCTATAAAATGTAATGCATCCTTGGGATGCGAAAATAAGCGCATGAGCAATTGGGTGCTTCGATGGATTGTGCAAATCGAATGGATAGGCCACGTGAAAGGGCAGTTTCTGGGACTCTACCCAAAAAGGTGTTGAAAGCATTATAAGGGTGAAAGTTATGACCAAAAACAACCAGGATCCCATTACCCCAGCGGGTAGCAGCAAGTGCCATCGTTTAATGGAAAGAACTTCATTCCGCACAGGTCCTTTTGTTTCCCAACTAAAGCACCTTTCTAGGCCATTGATCAACTTATCGATTTCCTCGACGTGAATGGAGAAGTGGATCATTTTAAATATTTCAAAAAATATCTAAAATTTAAAGGAAAATTTAAAAATTATTTCTTTTAGTTCTGTAATTTATCGCACTGCTATTATAAAAGCGAGGTCCCGGCCAAAGAGCACTATGTCATTCAGCGACTCAAAAAGTCCATAAGTAAAAGAGGCCATATTCATCATCATCTGAAACATGAAGAAGTAATTCCAGGCCAGCAGAAAAGGCTTGCAACGTTCCTCCGAGTTCATGTAGAATCCAAATGCCCTTTAAAAGTTAAACTTTCACTTTGATGCATTCTCCAGAGTAATGATAAACAAACTTCATTTGAGCTCGATCGAAGTAGGCGACGGTGTGCGAGGGAGTCCTCTGTGGGTCCTTCAAAACTATCGATGCTTCAATAAATATCCCCAGCAGGTTCTTCACGTTCTCCTTAAGCGTCATATTAAACAACTTATGCGATTTTATTCCAGCTCTCTTGAATGACCAACTACAACTGTGTACCTTTATATAATGCATAGCATTATTATTTTATTTTTAATATATAAGTTGTATCCCATAATTATAATTGCCCTACGAGAAATTGGCAGCTGGTTTTTTATTTTAAGTTCGCATAGAAAATTATCAAGGATTTCTTGTGATAGGTTAGCTTTATGGCGTGGAATAGTCATTTGAAAATGTTAAGTCATTATATTATCCCTTGTGATGTTTGTGTTAACCAACTGCTAATGGTGAGAATAAAGAATATTTAAAAAAAATACGGTAACCTGTTGCTGCATTTAAATGTTTATTTTTTTTTTAAGTTCATTGTTGTGATTTAATAGACATAGATTTCGTTAGTAGGCACCTTGTTCACGATGGGCTCGTGCTCGAAAGTAAGGTCATCATCAATTTCGGAGCTGTTCATCCAGTCACCAAGTTCCTCGGAGCTGAAGTCCAGATCCTGGTCGGGGAAATCGTTCACGTCCAGGAAGATAGCACGGAGTCCTGCCTTCAGGACGTGCAGGGCAACCTTCTTGGCAATGTGGCGGATCAACTTCTTGCGGGCCTCGTGCCTGGCCTTCTTGGCAGCTTCCTCAGCAGGAGTTGGCTGAGCCCTGTGCTTCGCCTCGTGGTGGCGGTGGTGACGGGCCTCAACACTGAGGACAACCACGCAGAGGACGGCTAACAAGATCACGAACTTGGACATCTTTGCTTGAGGAGTTCTCAAAACTTAGTCTGAAACTGGACTGAGGATACCACTGACAAATGGTCAAGTTTTATACGGCCAGTAAGTGTATTATCGAACCCATTAATTAGGATATCGGGTAATGATATTCTCTTTCAGTAATCGAATTGAACCCAAGGAATTTCTTTCATGTAGGTGGTCCAATGTTTTTTTTTTCCAAAGCCATTGCTTTCAACAAAGACATTTAATTATTGGAATTAATATAAATACGAGTATGCTTTAGTGCATTAGTACCTATCTTATCAATAGAATTACTGAATATGGTGAGACTACGTGGGGGTTTTTCTTTTGTTTGGTTATGGATATTATGGTTAAAGAAAAAATTATTGTTATCGTTATCGTAGCTTGATATCTTAGAACTATCTGTACTATGTATGCAAGGTTTAATTGAGGCTTAAGCTACTATTTAAAAAATTAATTATGTGTAAGCAAAAAATGAGCTTTTTTCTTTTCCATTAGATTTATTTGCATAAACATTACAACAAATTTTGAATAAAAAGTGTCGTATTTCGAATAATGTGTTTTTAAAGAAGGAATTTGATTATTCCGTTTCTTAATATTGTTATTCATTAATAGCTTAAATAATAAATTTGATATACTAACTGTTATAATAAGAGATATACTCATCCAGTAAAAATCAAATATATATAGAATCGGATATAGTTGGACTCATCTTTATGAGAATTTTATTATTAAAATAATTTCTAACAATATAAAATCGAAGAAGTTGCCTACATGGTAGCTAAAGGATATAGTTGGCTAATTGCAATTAATTGCAATAATTTGGCCTTGAAAAAAATAAGAAGTCGTGTTAGTATATTAACGATCACAAACACATCCGCAACTTTCCGCACCTAACTTTAACAATTTAAGATTCTAAAAACTCTGACAAAGATAAAAAACTCAATAATTCAATGGGGGAATCGTGGGGGAACATAATTAAAACTTTAGGTAAACAAATTTAAGACACACAAAAAAGGTCCAAAGAAATAGGTTTCACAAAACATTTATTTCACAAAATACACAAATCTAGTTTGTTTTTATTAATATCATAATTTAAAATAAATACTTTGAGCTTCAAAATTCATTTTTAATTATTTTAATATACGCATTTGAACAGTTGCCACACCGATTTGAAGTGAGCGTTTGCATCGAAATATTTTTCAAGAGCTCCGATGCGCTGCAGAAATGAACACGTTTTCTTGCTTTTAATGGTTTTTCTAGAATGTACCATTAGGTTTCCAGCGAAAACCGGTTTGCAAATTTGAAGATTGGTCATTTTAGAATAAAACTGTGTAAATGAAGTTTAAATATTTTCAAATCAGATTTTTTGACTTTTGGCCTATGGGCGGAACCACAGTGAATTGGCTTGAAATTTAGTAAATCCGTGTGCTAAAAGAAGATCTGTAAAAAGTTTCAACTTTCTATCTTAAAAATCATCAAATACTCTGCATCAAATACTCAAATACTCGTAAATGAAAAATATCAACATTTTTGCATTTACGATCAATTAGTTATATGACAGCTACAGGATAAAGTGGACCGATCCTGGCCGTTCCGATTTATAAAGTGTCGTCAAAGGTTGAAGTTAATAGAAGTTCAAGACATTCTTATATTGACTCAGGAAAAGATGCTGATAATAATATGTATATGTGGTTTATGGGGTCGGATTTCTACTTCACTGCCTTACACACTTTTCACCAAAATTATAATACCTTCTGCAAAAGTATAAAAACTTAATATTGATAGGCATATTGTTAAATTTTTGTTTGAATAATTTTTTTTATGTTTTTATTTTAGATATTATTATTGTATTGTTTTTGGTTTAATTTCGGTTTCCTTTCGAGATCTAAGCCTGGAAGACATCACCGCCCAAGATCCAGAAGTCGGTGCCAATGTAGGTGAAGGTAGAGGTGCAGCTGGTGACCTTGCCCTCGGTGGTGGTCTCAATGTACACGGAGGAGGGAACCTCGTAGTTGGTGCCTCCGATGTTGAAGGTGATCACGGGCAGAGACTTCACGGAGGAGCACTGGACGTAGTACTGGCCATCGACGAAGACGGCGCCAATGAGCTGGTTGATCTGGGCATAGGCAGCAGCGGGAGCAACCAGGAGGGTGTCAGAGTCAGCGGAGGAGATGGCCTTGACGGAGCCAGACACAATGGCTCCATCAATGGAGATTTGGTTTACGTTCAGTTCCTTCAGCTCACTGTCCTCGTCGGAGTCGTAGGAGTCATCACCAAAAGCGGGCAGTTGGTAGACGGGAGAACCATTCTTGTAGTTGACGACATCGCCCGCCCAGTGCCTAAGCTCGTTCTTGATAACGTGGATGGCGACCTTCTTGGCCACATGGCGAGCAATGCGCCACTTCCTGCCGGCCTGGGCAGCCAGGACCAAACCCAAGATGGTGAAAAGAACCAACCACTTCATGATTATTGAGTTATGTTTGTAGCTTAGTCTGAAATTGGACTGAAGAAACACTGGAGCGACGCCTATTTATATAGAAATGCCGCCAGTTTGAAACTGACCCCAAGTAGATTAAAAAGGCAATTTATAAAAACGTCCGGATGAATTAATCACATTTGATCGATAGCCGGAGGAGCACGCGCCGATTCTCGATAACATTTTCCACTACTTCATTAACAAATTGAAGTGCAAATTTTCCAGTTCATTGATAACAAAGTAGTGAATGCGAACTGAAATTATCTATCCTATGGACTTAAAAGATTTGATGAAAACAACTGCGCAGTTGTTTTTTTTATTTTTGTTGCAGGTTTTTAGAAATTTTGACGAACGACTTTTAATATCGTTGTTTTTAAACGCACTTTCTTTTTTTTTCAGAAATATGATGTTATTAAAATTGCTTATTGCTATGAAAACCATTATTTATTCTTTACAAATATTTGAAACATTTTTTTCTTTTGTTATTTTTGTTTAACCGAGTATGGGAAGCATGTCTTTGATACAATTCACGAGAAAATTAATGGGCGTAAATCTCATTAACCTTGTTCACGAAAGAGAAGTTGTCATCGATTTCGGAATCGCTCGTCCAGTCACCAAGTTCCTCGGGGCTGAAGTCCAGGTCCTGATCGGCGATGTTGCTCTCTTCCATGAAAATGGCACGAAGGATGTGCAGGGCAACCTTCTTGACAATGTGGCGGATCAACTTCTTGCGAGCCTCGTGCCTGGCCTTCTTGGCAGCTTCCTCAGCAGGAGTTAGCTGGGCCTTGTGCTTCTCCTCGTGGTGGCGGTGACGGGCCTCAACACTGAGGACAACCACGCACAGGACGGCTAAAAGGATCACGAACTTGGACATCTTTGCTTGAGGAGTTCTCAAAAAGTAGTCAGGAATGGGACTGAGAATTGCACTGGGAAATGGTCTTTTATATGGTAAAAAAACGGGCTACAAAATAAAGTGCAACTCATAAAAACAAAGGATTAAATAGATATACTGGACTCTGGTTCGCAACATTCCTTTAGCGATAAAATATCGTTGTACACTTTATCTAATTATCATGTATCTTCTTAGCATTTTTATCTACATTTAATATCCACGATTTAGACTTAATCTATTTAGCAGACTTTTTTAAAAGTTTCACGATTAAATGTTTAAAATATATCATTGAAATATAAGGATTTTATGGCCAACGAAGTTTTAATTGAACACTGGGGAAAACCAGTTTGGACTTTAAACCATTCTGCGCATTAAAAGCTTCGGCGAAATACTATTTTAAGCATATGCTTCGCATATTTAAATCCATTTAAGAAAAAATATATAACAAAGCTTTTTTGTACAAAATATAAGATGTCTAAGACCCCCCGCATAAACCCACAACTTTACGCTTTGCGAACCAAGCTTAAATAGTTTTGCCAGTAAACATAAACGTTTTTATAGCTTTAAAAGCAGATTTTATTTTTTATACATTTTCAAACAAAATTTTCCTACACACGGAGAACTTAATGGGCATAGATTTCGTCAATGTTCTCGAAGGAGTCGCTGTCCATGGAAGAGTCATCATCGAAATCGGCGAGGTTCATTGAGTCAGCAAACTCCTCGAAGCTGAAGTCCAAGTCCTGGTCGGGGAAATCCTTAACTTCGAAAATGAAGTGGAATATCTTCTTCAGGACGTGCAAGGCGACTTTCTTGGCAGCATGGTGCACCACCTTCTTGCGAGCGGCCTTCTTGGCAGCTGCTGAGGAAACGGTTGTGGTGGGGGCTGGAGTAGTGGTGGTGGTGGCCTGTTCCTCGTGGTGATGGTGGTGATGATGGTGATGGTGGGCTTCAGCAGCGAGCACCACAGCGCACAAAACGGCCAACAGGATCACGAACTTGGACATATTTCCAGTAGAACTTGCCAAAACTTAGTCGAGGACTGAACTAATGAATAAACTTTGTTCGCTACTATTTAAATAAATTGAGAACAACCCTCATTTACCAACAAAATGGTCAGAATTCTAAAAGGTAATTATTACAATGTACCATCCAAGTCCAAAATAATCCCCACGCTTATTAAAAAATGTTCTCGTATCTTATCTTTTATTATAAAGTTTTCGAAGAATTAATTAAATTGAAAAATCATTCAGCTAAAAAATGTTAATTGATTTTTAATAACCGATATTAAAGTAATTTTCTCAAAATTATGTATAATCTAAAATTTAATTCCTAATATTAAAGTTAGATAAATGACATTGCACAATATTTCTTGGTACAATTTTTTTACCCCAATAAACGCCTAATGCCTATATCATAATGGGAAGATTATTATATTATTGTTAATTGATTTTTAATACATACATCTTAAATTAACCTTATGCCATATTTTCGGATATATAATATTACCATGCGCACAACAGCACTCTGTTAATGATCAGTCTAAATTTCACAACACTATATTTTTGTTACGAGCTTTGGCGGTACACAAATTTGAAAATTAAAACGCAAAATTGTTGCTTTAAAGTTTAAATACAGTTTAGGGTGAATAATTTTGAATATAGAATATGTTAAAGTGATATTTTTTAAAATTTAAAATGCCTGTTTTAGTCATAATTAAATATTTTTATTCCAAATAAACTATGAACCACAAAAGATTATATGTTAAGTAATATTAAAAATAATAAATCATATACACAGTCAAACTTTTAGTCGTTTTTTTCAGGACATGCAGAGCCCTTGGCTGAGCGAACTTAAATTGGGGCTTGGCAGCAGATTTTTGCATGAATCCCAAAAGAAGAGAAATTCTAATTTATTTTAATTATTACCAAATTTTATTTATTTATTTACCAAAATATTTGAACCTTATCGTAAAAAAGTATTTAAAGGATGATGTGCATGTTATGCATGTTATTTTTATTTGTTAATAAAGATTTAACGGGCTTAGTAAAGTGTGATTACGAACTTTATTTAAAAATAGCAGGTCTCAATTTCAGCTTAAGATTTAAAATATAATCAATATTAAAAATATCACAAAAAAACACTAACAACCCGGTTTATTCCCCATCTTTAAGTTTATAAAAACTTTAACAATATTATCAAAAATGTAAGCCAAATAAATGCATAAAAAGTTCCATATCTTAACCGATTATTAAACTTTTATTTTCATATATGCATGTTTTTTATTTTTATTTTTTCAATTTTATTGATTTTACTTTTTTTTGTTGAGTTTGGTTGAGATCTAAGCCTGGAAGACATCACCGCCCAAGATCCAGAAATCGGTGCCAATGTAGGTGAACATGGAAGTGCAGCTGGTGACCTTGCCCTCGGTGGTGGTCTCAATGTACACGGAGGAGGGAACCTCGTAGTTGGTGCCTCCGATGTTGAAGGTGATCACGGGCAGGGACTTCACGGAGGAGCACTGGACGTAGTACTGGCCATCGACGAAGACGGCGCCAATGAGCTGGTTGATCTGGGCATAGGCAGCAGCGGGAGCAACCAGGAGGGTGTCAGAGTCAGCGGAGGAGATGGCCTTGACGGAGCCAGACACAATGGCTCCATCAATGGAGATTTGGTTTACGTTCAGTTCCTTCAGCTCACTGTCCTCGTCGGAGTCGTAGGAGTCATCACCAAAAGCGGGCAGTTGGTAGACGGGAGAACCATTCTTGTAGTTGACGACATCGCCCGCCCAGTGCCTAAGCTCGTTCTTGATAACGTGGATGGCGACCTTCTTGGCCACATGGCGAGCAATGCGCCACTTCCTGCCGGCCTGAGCAGCCAGGACCAAACCCAAGATGGTGAAAAGAACCAACCACTTCATGATTATTGAGTTATGTTTTTAGCTTAGTCTGAAAATGTACTGAGGAAAAGCGACGAGCGACGCCTATTTATATAGAAATGCTAGTTGGAAATTGACCCCAAATAGATTAAAAAGGCAATTAATAAAAATATTTCCGGATGAATTAATCACATTTGATCGATAGCCCGAAGAACACGCGCCGATTTTCGATATCACTTTCCACTACTTCATTCACAAGTTGAAGTGCAAATTTTCCAGTTCATTGATTACAAAATAATGAATCCGTAAATCTATCTTAGTGACTTAAAAAATTAAAAGAAAATAAGAAGGTAGTTTTTTGTTTATTTTTTAAATGTTGCAGGCTTTTAGGAATAATTTTGATAAATGACTTTTAATATCGTTTTTTCCATACGCACTTTCGTTTTAATTTAATATACAAGTCCGAAGAGAATTATGACGTTATCACAACCACCCAGCGAAAAGTAAGATGTTTTTAATTTTTAGAGAATTTGAAACATTAATTTTTTTTTATTTTTTTGTTGATTTTGTTTAACCGAGTATGGGAAGCATGCCTTTCAACCAATCTACGAGCGAATTAGTGGGCGTAAATCTCATTAACCTTGTTCACGAAGGAGAAGTTGTTATCGATTTCGGAATCACTCGTCCAGTCATTAAGTTCATCGGGGCTGAAGTCCAGGTCCTGATCGGCGATGTTGCTCTCTTCCATGAAAATGGCACGAAGGATGTGCAGGGCAACCTTCTTGACAATGTGGCGGATCAACTTCTTGCGAGCCTCGTGCCTGGCCTTCTTGGCAGCTTCCTCAGCAGGAGTCAGCTGGGCCTTGTGCTTCTCCTCGTGGTGGTGGTGACGGGCCTCAATACTGAGGACAACCACGCACAGGACTGCTAACAGGATAACGAACTTGGACATCTTTGCTTGAGGTGCTCTCAAAAAGTAGTCAGGAAATGGACTGCGGGTTGCACTGGAAAAAGGTCTTTTATATGGCTAAAACGGGTGAAAATTCAAAGTGAATAAATACTTAGGATTATATAGATATACTGGACACTGGTTCGCCAAAGTCCCTCGTCGGTAATATTTCTTTGTACCTTAAATCTAAGTATTATGTAAATTCTATGACTTAGCAACTATATATATATCTTATACCGTAGTAGATTTTAAACTCATTTTTATACCCGACCCTATAAAGTATATATATTCTTGATCAGGATCACCTCCTGAGTTGAAATGAGCATGTCCGTCTGTCCGTCTGTCTGTCCGTCTGTCTGTTTCTACGAAACCTAGTCTCTCAGTTTTAAAGCTATCGTCTTAAAACTTTGCACACACCCTTCTTTCTTTTGAACGCAGTATATAAGTCGAAACGGCCGAGATCGGCCGACTATATCCCATAGCTGCCATATAACTGATTGATCGGAAATGGTACAACTTTAGTGTTTTTAGAGTTAGACAGTTCAAACTTTACAGGAGAGCTATTTTTGGCAAAATAATACGACATGCCAAATTTCATAAGGATCGGCCTACTATACCTTATAGCTGCCAGTTCCGAAAAACCGTTTTTTCTAAATAAATCAAGATTTTGAGGGTGTTAGAAAAATTTCAAACGCGATTTTATACTATACTCGACCTAATGAACCATTCCTTCAATCTTCAAACTTCCAAGAAATGGTATCATTTTTGACACATATCAATATTGTCCCGTTAATTCTGAATAAAACAAGACCAATTTTATTAGGAAATTATGAAAATTTGTGAAGTTATAACGATTATAATCAATGTCCAATACTTGATTACGGAATTGAAGTAAAGACGCTTGGCGTGATTGCGCTCCATGAAGCATGAAAATTGAAAAAGTGCTGAACGAGTTTTTAATAAAAAAGGAGCAAGTCTATACTGTCACTTCAGACAATGGTAAGAATGTCATTAAAGCGATCGACTTCATGAACAAAGAATTGAATTCTGAATTTTGTGACGAGTTTGACGATGACGACCTTATGAAAGATATTCGCGTTCACTCTATACATTCGATTAGATGTGCCGCCTATTCCATGCAATTAGCTGTTCATGACCTGCTAAAAGAGAGGAGTCGGAGATTCCTTGTCGATAGCGCACGATCCATAATAAAAACTTTGCGACCTCCGACTTATAGGTAAACAAATTAAATGCATAACATTACACTTAAAAATTACAATACTATTTTAAAATTATGGATACATCCCCAACCTCTACTAGATGTGCCAACAAGGTGGATCTCAACGTACACTATGTTGAAAAACGTATGCGTATATAGGGAGTATATATAGGAAAAGAAAATCTAAGTGAAACATTGCAGTTAACGGAATCAAATTGGGAGGAAATTAACTTGCTGTTGGCGGCACTAGAACCTATTTTTATAGCCACTCAAAAATGGCAAAGCGAACAATTATATTTCGGCGATTTTTATAAGCTTTGGCTTGAAACGAATTTAATACAACAAATATTTCAATATAATCGACATAATTTTAAGAAACTCGGTGTGTACTTTTACATGGTTGGCCCACACTTAAAAATTTCTAGTAGAAATATAACTAAATAAATTGAATAATTGAGGATTCCATGATTAAAACATTTTTAGGACCTGTTTTTTTAATAAAGAGTAATATTGTCATTGCAGATGCCATTATTAAAAAATTTTTCTTCACATAATTCACATAATCGAGTCTTCCTTTTGTAACGAACACTGTTATTTATGGAATTATTAAGGAATCCTTGATTATGTCCTTTAAGGACATTCGATACATCATTTGAAAGGTCATAAAAATAAAGGTCATAAAGGCCACTGATCATAAAAATGTAAGCGGTTTTTTAATAGTCCACTCGGTTCAGAAGTTATTCGCATTCAATTTTTATTTTCAATTTTTATAATAAAAATTGAACCGTAACACTTATTTTCAATTTTTTTAATAAAAATTGAATCATAATTTTTATTTTTATTTTTTTTATAAAAATTGAAAATAATTCTTATTTTTAATTATTATTATAAAAATTGAAAATAAGAGTTATTTTTAATTATTATTATAAAAATTGAAAATAAGAGTTATATTTCAATTTTTGTCATAAAAATCAACAAATAATTTTTATTTTATAATTTTTATTTTAAAAATTATAACAATTACGGCCCTGCCTGAATGCGAAAGATATACATATTATTACGAATCAGTTTCTATTAAATTTTATTTTCATGTTCGGAGGTTTGAAGTTTATTACCCTTAGTGTGATTAAATTTAAAATATTCTATAGAGAATGAGGCCAAAATGAGGTCGTCATAGAAAATGCAACAACATTTTATTAGTTTTTTGGAATATGTAATTAAACAAGAAAGGAAAGCTAACTTCGGGCGGAGCCGAAGTTTATATACCCTTGCAGTTAAAACCGGATATATATCGCAAACATCGGATATAGTTGGCCGATTCTTATGGGAATAGGAATATATAATCCAATTTATTACAATACAAAATCTAAAAAAAGTCCAAAACTTCTATCTTAAAAAATACGAAAGTTGGTATTTCTACCAAAAACCATTTCCGATCGTTCATAGTCGACCAAAAATAGAATATGTACTAAGTTTCAGCTTTCTATCTTCAAAAACACGAAGGCTATAGGATATAGTCGGCCGATCCTTACGAAATTTGGCATGTCGTATTATTTTGCCAAAAATATCGCTCGTGTAATATTTGAACTCTCTAACTCTAAAAACACCGAAGTTATACCATTTCCGATCAATCAGTTATATGGCAGCTATAGGATATAGTCGACCGATCCCGGTCGTTCCGACTTATATACTGCGTGCAAAGGAAAGAAGAGTGTGTGCAAAGTTTCAAGTCGATAGCTTTAAAACTGAGAGACTAGTTCGCGTAGAAACAGACAGACAGACAGACGGACAGACGGACATGCTCATATCAACTCAGGAGGTGATCCTGATCAAGGATCAGGATATATATATATATACTTTATAGGGTCGGAGATGTCTCCTTAACTGCGTTGCACACTTTTGGACAAAATTATAATACCCTATGCAAGGGTATAATAAAAAGGAAGGGTTTCTCTGTGTATCAATTAGAAATAGAATCATATCAAGTAGAAGAAGTAGAAGTGTATCATATTATTACATAGAACCAAATTTTTGTTTTGGCTCTCTTGTACTCGTTCAATACCTAAAGTTTTCTTATTTTAAAATTAAACAAACAAAATTTGCATTTTTAATTTGTAAATTAAGAAATCGAATAATAGTTTCTGATTTTTGTTTTTAAATATTTTCAAGCATTTTTTTTATTTTTATTTTTAATTGTTTATAGTTTTTTTTTATGTTTCTTTAATGGTATTGAAAGTTCATTTTCCGAACTAGCAAAACCAAATAGGTCGAATCAAATTCAGGAGAGATCTAAGCCTGGAAGACATCACCGCCCAAGATCCAGAAGTCGGTGCCAATGTAGGCGAAGGTGGAGGTGCAGCTGGTGACCTTGCCCTCGGTGGTGGTCTCAATGTACACGGAGGAGGGAACCTCGTAGTTGGTGCCTCCAATGTTGAAGGTGATCACGGGCAGGGACTTCACGGAGGAGCACTGTACGTAGTTCTGGCCATCGACGAAGACGGCGCCAATCAGCTGGTTGATCTGGGCATAGGCAGCGGCGGGAGCAACCAGGAGGGTGTCAGAGTCAGCGGAGGAGATGGCCTTGACGGGGCCAGACACAACGGTTCCATCGATAGAGATTTGGTTCACGCTCAGTTCCTTCAGGTCACTGTCCTCGTCAGAAGAGTTATCATCAAAAGCGGGCAGTTGGTAGACGGGAGAAGCATCCTTGTAGTTGACGACATCGCCCACCCAGTGTCTGACCTCGTTCTTGATAACGTGGATGGCGACCTTCTTGGCCACATGGCGAGCAATGCGCCACTTCCTGCCGGCCTGGGCAGCCAGGACCAAACCCAAGATGGTGAAAAGAACCAACCACTTCATGATTATTGAGTTATGTTTGTAGCTTAGTCTGAAATTGGACTGAAGAAACACTGGAGCGACGCCTATTTATATAGAAATGCTAGTTGGAAATTAACACCAAATAGATTAAAAAGCCAATTTATAAAAATGTCCGGATAAAATAATCACATTTGATCGATAGCCGGGGGAACACGCGCCGATTCTCAATTTCAATTCTCGCTCCGATTTCCACTACTTCATTAACAAATTGAGGTGCAAATTTTCCAGTTCATTGATAACAAAAAGTGAATGTGAACTTAAAAGATTAAGAGAAAATAACTACGCAGTTTTCTATTTTTCAAATTTTCAGGCTTTTTATAATGATGACTTTTATTTTTTTTGATTGTGTTGCATAACCTAGTGGGAAGAGAATAATGTTTCTCTTTTTTATTACAAACTTGAAAACAAAAATTTTTTTTTTGCAAAATTTGAAACATTTATTTTTTTTTTGTGTTTTTGTTTTTGTTTAACCGAGTTTGGGGTTCATGCCTTTGATCCACTTCACGAGCGAATTAGTGGGCGTAAATCTCATTAACCTTGTTCACGAAAGAGAAATTGTTATCGATTTCGGAATCGCTCGTCCAGTCACCAAGTTCCTCAGAGCTGAAGTCCAGGTCCAGATCGGCGATGTTGCTCTCTTCCATGAAAATGGCACGAAGGATGTGCAGGGCAACCTTCTTGACAATGTGGCGGATCAACTTCTTGCGAGCCTCGTGCCTGGCCTTCTTGGCAGCTTCCTCAGCAGGAGTTAGCTGGGCCTTGTGCTTCTCCTCGTGGTGGCGATGGCGGGCCTCAACACTGAGGACAACCACGCACAGGACTGCTAACAGGATCACGAACTTGGACATCTTTGCTTGAGGTGCTCTCAAAAAGTAGTCAGAAACTGGACTGAGAATTGCACTGGGAAAGGGTCTTTTATATGGTTCAAAAGCGGGCTAGAAAGTTGCAATTCATAAATTCTTAGGATTAGATAGATATACTGGACACCAACTCGCCGAATTCCTTTGTCGGTAACATTTGTTTGTTTACTTTATCTAATTATTATGTGTCTTCAATGACTAAGCAATTGTATCTATATCTTATATCTTAGTGGTTTTTATACTTGATCTTTTTTTGAGATAATTTGAAGATCTTTTAATAACGATAGTATTAGGACTTACAAATATTAATATTAATACTAAAATGTTATTCGGTTGTCTGGTTGTAACATACTTCATCTTTATTTATTACCCATCAGTATGGAATAGGTTGATTTTCAAGTTATTAGATTTGAAATTCTTTAGAAGTTAGAATTATTTGATTCAATACTAAATTAACTTTTAGCATGAAAGAAAAAGAAATCTTGGGTCGGATCGAAAACATATCGCAAAAATCGGATATAGCTGGACGATTCTAATGAGAATTTCATTGTAATACCACTTTGAAATACAGCATACAACATTATTGGAATAGAATTTTTTGGGGTAAAGAAAGTCCCAAGTTTCTAACATAAAAAACCCGAACGGTGGGTTTCTTCCGATGGTTCAGTTATATGGGCGCTATAGTATATAGCCGGCTGATTATACAATTTGGTAAGTCTTGCTTTAAAAGTCTTATTAACTTGCCGAAGATAGAGTTCATAGAAAATCCCACTTCTCTAAAGCTAAAAAGACGCATAACAAAAGTTAAGTCATTTTCGATCATTTAATAATATGGCAGCTATAGGATATAGTTCGCCGGTCTTGGTCGTTCCGACTTATAGGGAAAGTCAGCGTGCAAAGGAAAGAAAGGTATGTGCAAGAGTTTATATAGCTTTAAAACTTAGAGACAACAAACAGACTGATAGACGGACATGCTTATATCAACTCAGAAGGTGACCCTGATCAAGAATATATAAATTTTATACGTTCAGCTCCTTCACTGCGTTTTTTAATTTTAAATGTTATTTTATATTCGATAGAAGATATAACTTCAAGTTAATTTATTTTTTTTTTTTTTTTAATACATAATTATAACGTGTCGGGCAATAATCGATAATCGTATGTAATATTGTATAATCATTTTTGTTTAACAATATCTTCACAATATTCTTGCTGAGAGTAGGACATTAGGGGGGGGGATATATTTGGGGATAGTGAAGTTCAAATCTTCTGCTTGGGGTTATTTACGCATACATAGCTATCGTACTAATTAAATCAGGAAAAATAATCAAGAATGTTTTCTTACTTTGCACTTACAAATACGCGATCGAAATTAAATTGACAAAACAAAAGTCAGTAAGCACTCTGCTGTTTGGTCGAAGGCCCACAACTTTCCTAACCATGGAATTTCATTTTTCACACATGCAATTTTGATGCCATAACGACCTGCGGCCATTTGGATAACTAACAGTACGCCCTCCTGGCGTTCAGCTTTCCGTTTAGTGCTGGATGTGTCCAAGGTGGGTGGGCGGGTCTAGTTGAGGGTGATGCCCGCAAAGGAGACCTCCAACGTTGAATCGTTGGAATCCATGCGACTGCGTATGTGTGCCAGTGTGTTTTTATAGTGGCTCTCGATCTGCTTGGTCTCCTCGCTTGGCTCCAGGTTGGGCAGCTCTTCGTTAACCTTGGCAATAAGCTGGTTAAGCATGGCCACCGTGATAAGCGAGTTTCCGCGCTCAAAGTAAAACAAATAATGGTTCAGCAACTCCACATACAACTGGACCTGCACTCCAGTGTCCAAGCACTGCGAGGCAATGCGAGCACCCTTCTTCAGGCAGTCCAGGGTTCTCTTCTCATCACGCATCTCCTCACCGTTTTGCTTGCCACTCCAGAAGAGAGCTGCACAGGCCACCACACCACGACACTGGTCCGGTTTTTTCAGCAACTTGGAGGCGGCCAGCGCGCAGTTCGTCCGCAGGGGCTCGGCATTCTCCTCTCCGAAGCATGACATCTGCTCGAAGGTGGACATAATCAGCGTTATGGCTGCCAGTTGGGCCTTCGAGTCGGAGATCTCGTCCTCGTACAACGAAAACGCCTGCGTCATAAACTCATAGGCCACTGTCTCGTGGTTCGTGTAGCCAATCTCGCCGATGACCAGAGCTCCCTGCAGATACAAGCGCAACGCCAGATCGGCCAGATCAGCCTTGGCCAAAGCACTGATGGTACTGTGGCAATACTGCACAATCTTTTGGCACTTTTTGTCCCAGTTTTCGTCCTGCTCAGAAATGGCCTTGTACTTGAACGCCAGCTGGTAGGCAGCAAAGACCAGGGGCGGTAAGACATGCTTCAGACGTGGGCCGCCACCGTTGCCAAGATGTTTGCGGGCAGTCTGCAGCATTTTGTACTGCATATCGGGCTCATCAGAACGCATAAGATGGATGAACCTTGCCACAACGCCCTGTTCCTCGGCAAACTCCTCTGCGTCTGCACTGTTGACCCCTGCGGCCGCTGGGTTGTCCTTGTTCGTATCATCGTCCTTGATAAGAGGTGTGATAATGGTCAGTAAGCTGTCCGCCTGGTCGGCCGTGGTTACAAGAGTCTCGTTGTCTAAGATGTTCATCACCAAATACAAGGCCAGAGATTTTCGGGAGGTGTAGTCGAACTTTTCCAGAAGGGGGCAGAAGTTGTTCAGTTGGATAATAGTTAGTGCGTTGTTGTAAAAGTCGATGCAGATCCGGAGCAGCCTGGACAACTCCTGATTCACGGACAACAGATGTGAAATGTTGTTCATGTTCATGCGCTGCAGGATTTGTGCGGTAGTGCCCAGCACTTTGTCCACATAATCCACACGATCAGGATACACTTTCTGAGCCAAGCTTAGCAAAGCAACCTGCAATGAAATAGTGTCTTCCAAGGGCATATCCGTGCGTGCCTGCACAATATTGGCCACCTGGACGCTAAAGACCTCGAACAGCTCAACCTCAGCGGGTATGATGGCATCAATTGCATTACCGCTGGTCTTGCCGCTCCGCTGATTATAGGCCGCTAGTCGTTCAATCAGTGATATAATAATGTTTTTGACATTCACTCCAGTTTCCAGTTGGGCACAAGACTTGAGGAAGGGGTCTAGTGTCTGGAGATGAAACTCATCGGGGAACACCTGAATGATACACTCCATAAGGTATTCCTGGGCAATAGCATCCCGATTCCTTTAAATTAAGGAATTTAAAACCCAATAAATTTAAATAAAATAAAAGATAATTCCTTAAATATTTTCAAGCATTATTTTTTTTTTTTATTTTTAAATTTTTTTTAATCGTTTTTTAATGGTTTTGAAAGTTCGTTTTCCGAACTAGCAAAACCTGATAGGTCGAATCCAATTCAGGAGAGATCTAAGCCTGGAAGACATCACCGCCCAAGATCCAGAAGTCGGTGCCAATGTAGGTGAAGGTAGAGGTGCAGCTGGTGACCTTGCCCTCGGTGGTGGTCTCAATGTACACGGAGGAGGGAACCTCGTAGTTGGTGCCTCCGATGTTGAAGGTGATCACAGGCAGGGACTTCACGGAGGAGCACTGGACGTAGTACTGGCCATCGACGAAGACGGCGCCAATGAGCTGGTTGATCTGGGCATAGGCAGCGGCGGGAGCGACCAGGAGGGTGGCAGAATCGGCGGAGGAGATGGCCTTGACGGAGCCAGACACAACGGTTCCATCGATGGAGATTTGGTTCACGTTCAGTTCCTTCAGCTCACTGTCTTCGTCGGAAGAGTCATCACCAAAGGCGGGCAGTTGGTAGACGGGAGAAGCATCCTTGTAGTTGACGACATCGCCCACCCAGTGCTTGAGTTCGTGCTTGATGACATGGATGGCGACCTTCTTGGCCACATGGCGGGCAATGCGCATCTTCCTGCCGGCCTGGGCAGCCAGGACCAAACCCAAGATGGTGAAAAGAACCAACCACTTCATGTTTATTGAGGTATGTTTTTTGCTTAGCCTGAAATTGGACTGAAGAAAATAGTTTGGCGCACCCTTATATACGGCTGGAGTTCAGTGCCAAAAGTGATCACCACGAAGTGATCCATTAAAAGTGCCGGACGGAGGTATCAGATGTGATCGATGTTCCTTATCAGTTTGCCACACGGCGCACGAAGGAGCCAGTTTTATGGAAAAGGTTTATGTAAATACTTTTAATTGATTTAGGTTTAAGATAAGATGTGCAATTATTAATGTCATTTAGGGGTCAAAGTAAATTTATAATTTTATTAATGAAGTGAAAGTTTGTAGTAAACAAAGCTATCACTCATTCGTGTGGGAAATTACTAACTTTTTATCTTATCAAGAACTTAAGGACTTAAGGTTCTTAATATCTATCTACTTTTAATATAAACTTGATAGGTTTAAAAATAATCTAATATGGTTGGTTCATGCAATTTATAAAATAAATTATCAAAAATATTCCTAATTATGGCCGTAATTATCATACGCACGTTGGCAAATCATTAAATCATTTGTTTATTGTTATTATTAATGCAAAAGGCAGAAAAAAAGAAATCAAAAGATAACAAACACCATATTTTGCAAACATTTAAGCCAATATTGAAAAAAATGTTATATCTTATCTTGAACTGAAAGCAATTTGAGTAAATTAACCAATTGAAAATGGATACCTTCCACTACCAAACTACCTCCTCCGAAATTTAATTTTATTTTATAAGAATAAATCTCACGCCCATTCAGTTATTGAAATGAAACATTTTAAAGTATTTATTTATCGTTTGTCGTTTAATTGCTTATTTTATATATATATTTATTGCATTTTGGTTACTTTTCGTTTAAGCCAGATTGCCGAAACCAACGCGGTTTTGACCAAAGTCAAACTCGGTGTAGAACTGACCCAGGAAAACGTCGCCCAGGATCCAGAAGTCGGTGCCAAGGTAGGTGAAGGTGGAGACACAGCTGTCGTATTCGCCCTCGTTGTAGGTCTGGATGTAGACCGAAGATGGAAGGTCGAAATTGGTGCCGCCGAAGTTGAAGGTGATCACCGGCAGAGTGTCCACGGTGGAGCAAGGCACGTACCACTCGCCCTGGATGTAGATGGCGCCAATCAGCTCATTTATCTTGGTGTACGCGTCGGCGGGGACAACAATCAGGGAGGTGCCAGTGTCGGCAATAGCCTGAACTGGTCCGGACACTACAGTGCCGTTCCAGGTGATCTGGTTGACGGCGAACTGCCAGTAGCCCTGCTTGGTGACGGGCACGTAGGTGAGATCACCGTCGACAAGGTTGTAATCGGTACCGCCCAGGGTCAACTGACCTCCTTCGTCGGAGGAGCCGTTTCTGGCCAGGTAGAAACCGAAAACTGGCTGGTCGATCAGCCCCTGCTCGTAGAGGTTGTAGAACGGAGGCACCACATAGTCGATGGCGATCTGCTGGAAGCCCATGCCCAGAATGCCATCGAACTCCACGCCAGTGAAGCTGTTGCCCGGCTCCGATATGGCTTCTCCGAAAGTCTGACCGGTAATGGCCAGGCCGTTGATGGTGACTGTGTCGGTGGCCAGATAGCCCTTGACACTGCCAGTTCCGTACTCGATAGTGAAGTTCTCGGCCACGGCAACAAAGGTGGATGAGGCACTGGAGTTGTACTGATTATGCTCCTGGCAGGCCACGTTGGTGGACAGACACTGGACCGAGGGAATCCACAGGTTGGCAGAGCCAGTATCGAACACCACATTGAAGTACTGGGGCGGCGTGCCGATACTAATCTCTCCATAGTAGTACATGTTCATCGAGTTGCCCAGCTCCTCGTTGGTGTAGTCAGAGTCCTGCTCTTCGTTGCTGTAGTCATAGCTGTCATCGTAGTTGAAGGCTTCACCCACCCAGTGGCGCAGTTCGTGCTTCAGGACGTGGATGGCCACCTTCTTGGCGATGTGACGGGCCACATGATGGCTCTTTTTGGGCTGTGTCTTGTGGATTTTGATGCGATGGATCTCGGCACTGACCACGGCCAAGACGACCAGCAGAACCAGCCACTTGAACATTTTGGTTAAAAACTTTTGGTTTTTTTTGGTAAAAAAGATTGGTCCCCTTTTGTGTCTGGGACTAGACTAAAGAACCCCATTTGGCGACAGCCTTTTATAAGATTGGCGTAAAGACCAGTTTGAATCATCAAAAAATCGATTAGGCATGCCAGACTAGATACCAACTTTGATCGATTGAGCTTATCGATCTTGCCAAAATATAAAAACTGTAAACAATAGAATGAGCTTTATGATTAAAAGTCTGCAAAAGTTACCATTGAAAATTCGAATGAAAATGTGGTAATCAATTGATAAGAATGATAAGTTTTTTCCAAACAAATGATTTTGATATTTTATTTTAATTTAATAGTTTAATAATAGTTTGTAAATAAGCCTATATACCAAATCCCTCTAATAAGAAAATACAATTAATTATGAAAGGTAGCTTTTAAGACTTAAGAGCAACTGGAGGTGGAATAGTTAGTCACCCTAGATCCTATAGCAATGCGTTTATACTCATAATCGAGTTGTATGTAAAAAGTGCTTAGGAATATATCTCCCAGCACCCAGGGACTGCAGCAATTGTCCTCGCTTCCAATATTAATGTCTTGAGCTCCTCCGGCCAAGCTGGTGAATCCAGACACGCAGGTCCCGCTGTAGTTGAGAATATAGTCGGAGGGCTTCAGAGTAAAGTCCTTCCTTCCAATATTGATGGTAATATCTGGCAGACTTGTGATCTTGTTGCAGTTAATAGTGTAAACTCCGTCGCGTTTGTCAGAGGACTTAATTCCCAGAATTTTGTTGATCTTCTTGAGGGCACATGCTGGCACCACAATCAGCGAAGTTCCGGCATCGATAATGGCCTCGAATTTGGAGCAGATCTCCTTGCTGCACCCCAAGCTGAAGCTGCCCACCGTGATCTGCCAGTACCCGACAACCGACAGGGGCACATAGGTCAGGCATCCACTGTAGAGAGTGGGATCCGAGCCTCCCAGTAGCACTTTTCCACCGTTGCTCGGATCCGAGGCATTTCGGGTGAGACTCAGCGATACAATTGGCTGATCGACGAGTCCTTGGGCGATCATATTATAAAACGGAGGAGTCACCCCTCCGATGGCAATCTGCTCCAGGCCCAGTCCAAGAATTCCATCAAAATGGGAGCGATTGAAGACACTTTCCGGCAACGTAACTATTTCGGCAAAGGTCTGATTCTTGACGGTGAGTCCTGCTATTTCTAAGGTATCCGTGGAAAGGAATCCCTTGAGGATAACGTCCTCGGTGACCCGTGTGGCATATTGTATTTGAAAGGATGTACCATTGGCTATGTAGGAACTGCATTCGCTGGAATTGTATTGATTGTGCTGCTGGCACACTGCCTCTTCGCATTTCGATGAGGGAACCCAGAGATTAGCAGATGCCGTATCGAAGAGTATTTTGAAGGACTGACAGCCTATCTGAATGTCGCCGTAGAACTCCGTATTATAAGAGTTTATCAGACTTTCTGTGCCCGCGGAACTAGTGCCCTCCGAAGAGGAAGTCAATTCCAATTTGCTTTCGATCACTAGTTGCTGGTTCTGCAGGCTGTTGAGTATTTTCGTGTGATTCGTTTCCCTGTTGATGCGGATTACCACTCGACGGGGTTTCTTTTTCGATTCCACATTGCTGGCTAGTAGACACAAGACCAGCACAAAGGTCAGTGCCACTCCGAAATTGCCAACCGACTGCATTGTTGGCGTCAGTTACTTTGGCTCTAAATGTCTCGCGAGGTCACGTATTTATACTCGTGGAAGAATTGAACTGGTCCAGAAATTCCAGAATTATCGGCCGAGTTTGAGGGGAATTTGGTGGCTTTGAATGGGTAACAGGATAAGATCGTCACGTGGCCGGAAATGGGCCATTTTTTTATAGTGTACTTAACATCAAGAGTAGGTGGAAATATTTAGAAAAGAAAGTACAGAGTACAGAAAAGTAACTTTTTACTTTCATTATTTAAATACTCTAAAGCCAACTGAAGGAAATTTATTTAAAATAAGTGAAGTATTAAAAAACACATTATTAATTAATATAAAGTCAAAATTAAAAAAATTCATATATACTATAAATTTAAAAAGAATAAAAAATCTTAAATAAAAATAGTTGAAAATAAAAGTATTATTAACAAGCGCCATCTACACAGCTAACGACGGCAGCTAGACATCATGTAAAATACCAAAATCATCAAGTAAGATACTGAATAGTGTGTAGAACTCCCACCAGGTGGCGGTCTATCTGGAATTAACCCCAAATACAAATTTAATTTCTGTTTTAATTTTACTTTTAAGTGTTCCGCTATTTCCAGAAAACTTTGAAGCATAACTTCTTTTAATTAATTTTATGCATTTCCTCCTAGGCATTGACACTCACACTTACAATTCATCAATAGAAAACGAAAAGTTTTCCAAGTGTTTAGGAAGAGATTTCCCGAATCCTTTTTTGTTGACTTTCAAGTTGACCCGAGCTGGTATTGGAATCCTTTTTCCCTTTGGCCAATAATGAATGCAAACGAAAGTGATTGCAAAAGTTTTTCAAGTCAACCGCCCGACCAAACCGACCACGCCTCATTTAGCCTCCGAAAATATGCCAAGTTTTATTTGCTAATTGCAGTGAAATAAAGCCAAAGTGTGAGCGGCCTATCCGCAGGACCTCCGCAGGCCAAGAAAAACTTCAATTCCAAATGGAGTTTCTTCGGTTAACCAAACTCCCTGGATTTCTATTTCAAGGGGAACACCCTCTTTTGGCGCGACAACGTTTACAAAAATCAGTGGAAGACAATCGGAAAGTAGTATTTTTATTAAGAACTGGGAGTACTCTTTAAGAAACAAACTAAATTTTTTAAAGTTTTTGGTTTTAACTAGCTTACTAGCTTTTTTATATATCAAAACACTCCGTTTATTAATTTCTAACGCTTATTTACTAAAAACATCCACCCCCAAGTAAGGGTATAAGGAAAAAATATCAAGCCCCGCCTGGAGTAAAAGTTGACTGCCGGCGTTTTTCCGCAAATTTCTTTGCAAGTTTTTCCGGGGAGTTGCTGTGTGGGTGGGTGAGTGTATGTGAAAGGATGTGTGGTGAGAGGTCGAAATGTTGTAATTGAATTTGCGTCAAGTTCTATTAAGTGGCGTAAACTTTTGGCCTCTGGAATTGAACTTGGCTCACCGCATGTGCATTTTTCATATGTTTATCGCACAGTGGCGTTGTATTTTATCGTACTTTCTTTCATTTCGATTCCGTTTGACATGTTTTAGGGACCACAAAAAAAAGTGAATCCAAAGGAAAGGAAAACCAAGATATGTCTGTGCTGTCAGTCACAGGGATCGCTTATATAGCCACTATATAGGCATGTACATATATATATGCGGTTCTCAATGAAGCATTAAATTGTTTTTGGCGCTTTACAGCCCACCAACAAAGGTTTTTCAGCCCACCACTCATCTCAGGCCCAACTAAATCACATGGAAATCAAGGCGAGTCCATCATCAGCATCGTTATAATCAACAAAACCCAACTGATTTTGTATGCAGGACCTCGTCCACTTCAGCCCGAAACCTTTTTGCAGGTTTAATTTAGCATATCAAATTTATGCATTTTATTTTGGCCAATGCATTAAATTGCTAATGTTTGCCATTTTGTAGGAAAAAAGTCATGGAGTGGGTTCAGTGGGTGAGAATGTGGTATCCTTGGCATCCTATTGGGGTCACAGCTGCTGCCACACTGCGTGTTTCGACATCAAATATTAAGATTTCGTACGACAGCTGGTGACATCTTCGTTTTTATGCCTCTTATGGGATTTTTTCAATCAATTTTATCGCTTGGCACCCTCTTGAAAAAATGATTTTTGGCCAGAAAAAAATTATTTGCCAAAAGTTATAGTTATATTATCCACTAGCCATTTAATTCCCTGTTCAATCAAAGGCTTACCCAATGGCGATTTCTGTAGTCAAGCAAACAATTTATCAACTTGTCAACATATTAAATGAGACTCGACTAAAGACATTAGCTTATGTGGGTCCTGGCCCCAAACACACTCCATCCTTCAATACGTCCCCTTCAACCCGTCAATTCAATGACGAATCTCCAATAATATGCAAACTGCCAATATTGCGTATACGTAGTGTTGTACTTCCTTTGTTTTGCTGGCTGGGATTTGTTTAGCAGTAAGCGGAAATAGTTGTAGGCTAGTGGAATGGTGGCTGGTATGGGGTGTGGAGCTCCGACTATGGCCTAAACCGGGGAGCATGTTGTGTTTGCTGTTGAAGTTTATATGCAGGATAAACTGTTCAACCAACTGACGTACACAACATGTCCAGATTTCAGACAGGAGACTGGGGGCGGACAGGCTCAGTCTGCCATAAAAGCAAATAACTGTCGTGTGTGTGTTTCAGTTAACTGAACTATGTCTGTGTTTGGTCGCACGCAAATACACACACTTTCCCGTTTATATACATATACATATAGATATACATATCTAATATGTTTGTCCATCAATTGTCCTGTCCAAACTGTTCCCGAAGCCCGAATCCAGTGCAAGTATGCTGAAATCCCAATGCCTGTCCTGGCACTCCGACCTCTACCCTCTGCGGTCGGAACAAGTCAACATTTCGGTTTCTGTTGCTGTTGCTGGCTAGTTAATAAATATTTTTTGTGCCACATCAACAAACAAAAGTAAATATGCCGTAAAAAAGACGTCATCACAATATATGGAAATATATTTCAAAATGATCTTTGTTTGGCAGTATCCTACTATATATAGGTTTCGCAGCTGTTGCATTTCTCTTGGCTTGTCTAAGGTATTTTCTTGAGTTTATTTGCTTGTTTGTGGCATTCTGCCTTGGCCACATTTTCAGAGCCGAGTTATGTTTATTGTTTTCATTATGAGAGGCCTCAGCATTGGTCAATACTGGGGATAAACAAACAGTGCAAGGTATGGAAATCCCAAATCAATTGGTAAGCAATGGCTTCTATTGGATGAAGCTAATTAGGTTTTGGTAACAAAAGTTGGCCAAACAAAAATACGTTTCAAGGTAATGACTAACTCTGACTTATTTAAAGATCTCTTCGTTTGGGTCACTTTATTGCTAGAAGTTGAACGCAATTGCCTTAAATGACTTGGGCCATTTGAGAAACCACGCCTCCTCGATAAAATAGGTCTGACTGAAAAACCCTCTAGAGTGAAATAACTCAGGCAATTCCGGCCCCAATCTTAAGCTTGTCCCCAAAATGGAAATGCCACAGGAAAATCCGGGAACACATGTTTGGCGGGGTGCATGGATTTGGGGGCTGAATAAGTGGAATAAACGTGGGACTGGAGCCATCTATTAAGGTTTGACATTAGCATGAAAAACGCATTTTTCTTCAAGAGCAAACAATGAAGAAAACTCGGGAGTAGAAAATGGCGGTGGGTAGGAAAAAAAAGGAACAAGTTAAAATAACGTTTTTTGGCAAACTTCTATTCTTCTAAAAGGTGACAAAGGCCTTTTCCGTTTCGATATCGTTACGACCCTGATTGAATCAAATTGTTTGAAATTATTTCTTTCCTTGTCCCAAAAATAAAAGTTATTTTTTTGGGTGACGAAAATTGTATACTTCTGACATATTTATGCAATTGATTTGTTAACATATACATAACGATTTGAAGGGTTTAAAAGTTTTTGCATGTGTTGTCAAAAAAGTTTGCCCCTGGCAGCTTAAAAGCATTTCAGACTTCATCAATTTCGTGCAGTTTGTTGACTTTCAAAAGTCAGTCGAGATTGATGAATGATTGTGTAAGAATGTGTGTATTTTATGGCAAATTTGAAAATAAATAAACACAAACATAAATTATTATGTCATAAAATTCTTCAAATGTATAGTTCAGTTCTCTTAGTTTCCTTCTAAGTGATAACAGCGCCATATGATTAGGCAGCAAAGTAAATAAAAATAAACATTTGATACTTATTATAAATAGAATTATAACAATTTTTTAGACTGAAAAACGAATTTAGAGATATCGTCGATTCAGTTGCCTCTTGAAACTCGCGCGCAGATTGTCGTTCGAGCTTTGCATAAAATGTTTAAATATTTTTTGATTTGGGGCCTTCTTGGATTTATTTCCACTGATGTTTTATGCATCAAGGAGGAATCTAGACTAAGCCGAGAGGAATTTTTAAAGCAATTGAATGATTATGACAAAGAAATCGCGATACAAGACGAAATATTACAAAAGTTAGATGAAGAAATGTCGGGTCTTTTCAAAAATGGGGAAGAAGACAAGAATAAGTTGAAAGCCCTACAAACGATAATCAATAGTTTGGAGTCCGATAAAAATGATATAATACGTGATATAAAAATAAGACAAGAAGAAGTTGATAGCTTCAAAAAAAAAATAGAGGAACAAGAAATTCAACGATTACAAGTGGAACAATCGTCGAATGAAAAAGAAACCTCTCAAGAGAAATTACTAAGCCAACTTGAAAACATTGAGTCGGTTAAAAAAAAAAAGCAAGAAGAGTTAAAAAAGATAGACCATGAATTAGAGGCCCGCAGAAATAAGATGGAACAAAATATATGGGAAGTAGAAAGGGATACGTGTGAAAAAATTCGAGTTGAAAATGAAGATTGCAAACTAAAATTGTTGAACAACGATTTGAAAGAAAAATACGGAAATCCCCTCCAAAATATAAGTAAATGGCAGCTGGATATAAAAAACCTTCTAACTACAATAAAAGACAGTCTAGAAACTGAATTTAAAGGTAACGGCATTCCGACGATGAAAAATGCGACGATATATCAAAATACAAATTTTGTAAATGGAACGGTATTTAAATGCCAAGCTAAGATTCATTCCAATAATTCTATTATTACAACTGCTTTGCAGTTGATTAAAAAACAGCTTAGTACAGTTCGGAATGAAAGTACTTCTAAAGGAAATTGGTCCATAAAAATAATACGGTATAGGCAAAATATTACAGACATCAGTAAAAGCGGACGTAAAATTGGAAAGATAAACTATACATTTAAAACTACTGATAACTAAAGCAGTTCCAAATTAAAAACGAATTTTATTGTTAAGTTGGAATTTAAGTACATGTAAAAAGAATTTCAAGAAAGTTACGTTTACCAAAAAAAAAAAATCGGATGTGACATATACCAGCTATCTCCGAATTCCACTCACCTTTGCCACTCCAATCTGTTATTGATCTTGCAACATAAAATTACACATTCGATTTATAATCCGTAAGATGGATTAAAGTAAGATTAAATTAAAGTTTTTTTTCGATTTTTATAAATATTTATTTATACTTCCCTCCAAGTTCTGTAAAAAAGTAAGTAACTTTATAAAAGGAGTGATTTTTGAAATAACCCACTTGTGTCATTTTCTAGCCCTTCAAATTGAATGCGTATAATAATCAACTTATTAGAATGTCGTCAGTTCAAAATTAAACTTTTAAAAAATTGTGAGTATGAATAATAAGCTATGAATTGTTTTATATTTTTTTCAGTTTTATTTGTAGCTATATATTATCAACAAAAAAACCATGTGCCAGAAGCAAACGCAGAGTAAATCTTTATTAATCCAACACAAGATATTCTGGGGTAAAGTCCTATAACCAAAAGTGTAAAATTAATAATAAAATTGTATTTTTTATTAAGTATTTTTAACTTTTTTACCTTGTTTTCTCCTTTTAAATAAGCCAATTTATGCACAATCTAATTGCCATTTTTTAAGTACAAAAGTAGCGAACGATTGGAAACTTTTTTTATTATGATTCCGTCATTAGGAATTATTTTAAAATATGTATTTTTTTATATAATAATGTTGAAAAATAATGTTTTTTCTCTTGAAATTTATGGCAATTAATTTTTTAATTGTATGTATGTGTGGGTTAATCGCGATTTCATGTTCTGGCTTTTGTTCTCCTTGATTCAAAAGTCAGCATGTCTGCCTGACATTTTTCTCGCTCAGCTTAAGTGAAATCGCTAGACAAGATCTAGTCCAATGGGTAAGGTCGTTTACATTGCTTCCATTTATCTACAAATCTCGAAAACTCTAATTGCGTGATAAACAAGTTTTTTGCGATACAATACGCAGTGTCAAGCGCGGAGATTAAAGTAACTGAAACCGAATCCATTGTTTATCCCCTCTGCAAGGGAGTAATAAAGTTTGGCGCTCAAATCTTTTGACAGAGTCCCACTTTATAAAATATTTTTTTTCAGAAAGAACGAAGACTCTCTCAATATTTATAACGTCAATCGTTGAACAAGTTTCAGTTGACTTTTTAACATCGTGCGATAATGTTGTCGAGCTTCGCTTAAAATGTTTAACAATTTTTTTATTTGTTGCCTTCTTGGACTTATTTTCACTGAAGTTTTGTGCTTCGAGGAAGAAACCAGACTTAGCCGAGAGGAATTCCTTAGGCAACTGAAAAGTTATGACCAATCAATTGCGAAACGCGATGAAGAATTAGAAAATTTAGATAAAGAAATATCGAATCTTCCCAATGATTGGGAACAACAAAAGAGCAAGTTGAAAAACCTCGAAATGCAAATTAACGATTTGGAGTCCGAAATCTATAATTTAAACCTTGATATTAAAATAAAACAAGACCAAATTGAAACCCTTATAGAAAAAATAGAGGAAAAAGAAATACAACGGCTTACAGTGGAACAATCAGAAAATCGAACAAGTATATCACGTGAGAAATTACTAAACCAACTTGAAAGCATTGATTCGGATATAAAAAAAAAGGACGAAGAGCTTCAAGAGTTCGATCTTGATATAAAGAATTTAGGGGACCTCGGAAATAAAAGTGAACATTCAAGTTTATGGGATATAGAAAGAGAGGAGTGTGAAAAAATCCGTGAAGAAAAAGACGATTGCCAACTAAAAATGATGAACTGGAAATCGAAAGGAAGAAACAGGAATCCACCCGAAATTCTGAGTAAATGGCACCTGGATATTAAAAACCTTCTTACTTCGATAAATAACAGATTAAAAAATCAATCTCAACATCAAAATGTGAAGGAAAACAAAAATACAAATTCGAAAAACGAAACTTACGAGGATGCACTACTTAAATGCCAAGCTGAGATCACTCGGGCCGATAATACTTTTATTAGAGCTACTTTAGATATTATGGAAAAGGAGATTTATCTTAGGGAGAAAGTTCAGAATGAAAGTGCCTTCATGAGAAAGTGGTCTAGAAATATATCCCGGTTCAGGAAGAATATTACAGTTTCAACTGAAAACTTAACCAATAAATTAGTTGTTCGCAAGTTGAACCGTGAACTCAAAAATGTAGCTACAGCCTTAGAGTATGAAGCAATTCAAAACTCAAACCAAATTTTAGTATTGAACTGGGACTTACAGAAATGTAACAATAGTTTCAACAAAGATATGGAAGATTTCAAAAAGGGATTCGGCAGCGACACATACCAGCTTTCCCAAAATTCCTCTTATATACCCCACTGTCAAAAAAGGGATTCGTCCTTTTTCATAGGCCTTGACAATATTCACAGGATAACGACTAATGGGAACTACAGTCTTTACATTGAACTTAAAACAACAAGTGGCATTAAATATTCAATTTATAACAACTTCAAGATCCGTAGATTCGAAAGTCGCTATCAAATAATATCACTAGGACGAATTCTGGGAACGGCTGGCGATCTCATGAAAAATTTAAAGGGCCGAAAATTTTCTACTTTGCTGGCAGGTCCAACTAACGAAGAAATAAAATGTGCGCAACGATTTAAAATTGGTTGGTGGTACCCTCAGAATTGTATGAAAAAGTAAGTATGTTTATATTGGGAGTGAGTTTTAAGAGAACACATTTAAAATATTTTCTAGCCCTGAAAATAATATTGTAAGCAAATTATATGCGCACAATACTCAACATGTCACGATGGCGTTGGTGAACAATACATAACATTTTGTGAGTCTTTTGTGATAATAATTTGTATTTCATAATTTTTTTGATTGTTGTTTCTTTTTTATTTTAAGATTTAGAATGTATAAAAAAAACATGTGCCCACCCACCGCCCAACACATTTAAATCTTAACACCGAACATAAGAAATGAAAAAAAAATTCTTATCAGGAGAAGGTTCTGAGTAATGCCATGCCTCGGCTCGACATAAAGTTGAGGCCAGCAAAAGTCTTTGGGCCCATTGGCAAAAGTTGACATATGCAAAAATAAAGAAAAAGTGATGGCTAAAAACGTATATACAAATTATCAGAATTTTTTATCTAAACGGCAACCCCGAAGGAAAGTAGGGAACTTGATGGTGGAATGAAAAGTTTTGATTTATTTTTAAGCGCAAAGTTTTTGGCCTGTCACAAATATTTTTGACAAGGGTTTTTCACCAGAGAGATTTCCCCAAGAAACCTGGCGGTTATGAATGAAATCGAAGTTAAATGTTTGATTCAGATTTCTGAGGATTAAAGCAAATAGAGATTGGACTGGGATGGATGGAATATTTTCTTCGTTTAACTTTTGCTTTTGACTGGTGTCTGGGATTAAGAAAGCTTAAGTCCTATTAGCGGACTTATGGGACTAAAGAAGGCCTTTTATTGTTTAAAAGTGACACAGGATATGTTGATTTTAAGTCTGGTAGCTCAGTCTAAAAGTCTATTTGCTAACTAATAAAATTTTATTTCAAAAATTAACTTTCTTTTGTCTGGCTCCTTACCTTTTCTGTCTTTTCCGTTTTGGAAAGAAAATTTAAGCACAATTTAATTTGCCATTTGTTAATGACAAAGCCAGCTAAAAACTAACAGAAACAGCAGCCATGGCTAAGTAAAAAAAATAACAAACTAAAAGCATTTTACACACTTGCTAAAAAAAAACTTAAGGAAGGGGAAAGGAAAAACGAGTGTCTGCAGTGTCACTTGAAGTGTTGCAGTCGCCACTCTGACAACGAAAATAAAAATTTGCTGGCACTTTTTTTTTTATTATTTTGTATTTTGTTTGCAGAAACTCAGGGAGCCCACAAGACTGTCGGACAATAAACACATGTTTCAGTTTGTAATACGCGGGGCTGTAAAGTTGGCGAGTCCCTTCCAGCATCTACACTCTCCCCTCTTGGATACCTTTTGGCAATGCAAAAAAAAAACCATTAAAACATTTTTATACTCTTTTTAATCGTATATAAGTTTTAATATTTCCATTTTTTTAATTCAAATTCTGAGTAATGACTGATTATTCTTATCAATTTTATTTCAGAAATTCAAAATATGTTTCTTTTGAACTGCTTATCAGTAATTTCATAGAATTTTTCATTTTTCAAATTTAAAAAATTATTTTTTGGTAAAACCCAATTTCTTGTGTTAAGGGTAATGCCAAAAGAAGCAAGATTTAATGCGAGGGTAGCCGAAAAGTATCTTCACAGTTCGGTTTGTTTGTCTGTTTGTTATTTTTGCGAGTGTTTTTTGTTGTTGTTTATATGTGTGCGAACACATGCCCTTTTTATTTTATGTTTCGAGTGTGTGTGCGAAAGTTTTGCAGCTTCCCCCGGCTCCTGCCCCTTTTGTTTTCCTTCTTTTTTCCAGGAGGGGATTACATCTGACAATGGGGAACATGTGGTACTCATAGGGCTCCTGAGTGCCTCCCTCCTTCATCGAGGATAATGGCAATAGGTAAGCCGTGTGAAATTGAACTGTGTCAGTGTCACAATGGAAATCGATTTCTCGATTGTGTTTGCCGCGAATGTTTTTGGATTTAGGTGCTATTTCAGGGATTAGGGATATAGAATAAAAAAAAACTGTATCTGTATAGTGGACTCAAAAGTCAGGCAGGCCGAGACCTGAGCAATGCACATGCCGAGTATTTTTAGTGGGGACTGTAAGTAGTTTGGTCTGTGCCTTCAATGTGTCTGCATTTCGCCCAGTGTCTGTGGGCCATAAACTCTGCTGGCTAATTATGGCCACTAATGAGCTTGAAATGGCACTTACCAGAAACAGCCACAGAAACAACACTAACATCCGAGAGTGTATGCGTATTTAGATATTTGAATGCACCATAAAGGCCAAAAACAAACAAAGGGGAGAAAATCGTCGCATAAATACACTTTATATCCCAATCCAATCCAACCCGAAAAGGGGGAGTTGCATTATTTATGAGCGACGGCAAGTGTGAAAATGTAAAGCACTAATTCAAATTAAAGTGGCCAAATCCAAAATGCAACAATTGCAAATCGGGCTGGATTAGTGACAGGTTTATGGGAAATGCATTAAAATTTCATAAAAATTATAAATGGAAAAATAACAGACATATTCTTATACGCAGTAAGTATCCTTCTCATTAAGTCGTCGGTTTCTGTCCTACTGGCCATCATTCTTACTCTATAGACTCCTCTGTTATTGCTGGTTATTAAAATATAACCCACCAGAGATCGAAAACTCCGCCTCTGTCCCCGGTCTCTGGTCTCTGTCTGCATTGTAAATTTTAATTATTTCCTACAAATGATGATTAAATTGGCCGCAGGCAACCAGCAGCCCGATATTAAATCAATAAATACAAAAATGTCTGCATGTGGGAATCCACTCCTTGCGTCCTGCCGAGACCCGGCCACGTTTAAATGGCAATATGTAAGGACGGCAGAGACAGTGATGACAGTTTACCGGTTTACAGTTCATTATATTGCATAAATTGACTTTATATCGGGCCGCACTAGGCACAATATTAACAAACAACAGCCAACGAGTATGAAAATGAAATGGCAGCAATTTACTGCCAAAAATGAAATGTGCAACAAAAAAAAGGTAAACACGATGCCGAAAGCTCGAAATGAACAAAAAGTCAACAGGTAAAGCGGATTAAAAATACTACTATAGGAAAAAGACAGGACTAGTTGCTGCTGGAGGAGACGATAAATGAATCCATAAAATATGTATTTATTTTAAATTGTATGTTTACATTCGCCCATGATTGCTTGGGATTTGTTTATTTATTTCGCCTCCGAAAAAATAATGATAATAAATATGGATTTATTTGGAAAATCCCAGTCAATGTTGAAATCACGAATAACCCTTTGCTTAAATCTTGTTTAAATATTGGCTCCCAAAGCCAATAAATCCGATAAATCCCTTCATCCATCTCTTAGCATTAAACCAATAAAAAAAGAAGCCCCAACAAAACCCCGTCTTTCAACACCGAAGTATGAACAATTGGATGTACTTAGCATAGAATAACAATTTAACAAGTATTACCGGACCAGCACATAAATGGCTACTTGAAGGACCTCCCTTCGTCCTTGGCAACGGGAAATCTGAGCTGCAGTCGTTGAGGCTTTTGTTCAGGTGACGAAATGCGTCTCAAAACTACGTGAGTTGCCTGCCAAAAGCCATCACTGAGACGTGAAGGTTAGAAAAAATGAAACCCCCAAAAAAACGAAAATCCGAAAATCTAAAAAGTACACAGGGGGTGGCACATTAAGGGCCATCCCGGCTGGGGGAAGGTGTCATTTTGGGGCCAGAAAGCCAGACAACAATGCCCAGGCGGCACAAGGTAAATGCAATCAATACGCTCAGACGGCACATAGCAGGTATTATGTATTATACATTATATATTATGTATAATGCATGAGGTGCCCTTTCTGGCTCTGCAGCGAGGGCTGGAGTACCGAGAGAGTGCCGTGAAAAATCAACGCCAGGCGTAATCTATTAAATTATCCTAATTTCATCACGCACCAAATCCCTTTAGCCATGAGCCTTCAACCTTCATCCTTCGTTCTGTGTCCTTCGTTGGCGTTTCAGCTACCCCCTCGCCCGTCTGATTCCCCTGGAAAACAATAAAAATTTGCATAATATCGGTATAATATTTTAGCATTATATGCGCCCCACGAAAGGTGCAGAAGTGTCGAGTATTATGGCAAGAATTTTCCACTTTTTTTGGGCAATATATGCATGTGACTGTCTGGTAACATATGTTTCCATCATTCCCATTTATTTTTTTTAGAATTTTTTTTTTTGGCAAGTAACTGCACTAAGCGAATTTATCTTACCCATTTGGACGTTCTCCGTTCTTTGCAGCTCGTTTGAAAAATCCTCACTAATTACTTGTCTAATTACTGGGATTTTTTCCCGCCAGGCCAAGTAGCTGCAATTTGTTTCGCCAAAATCTCATTTTAAAAATAGCCAAGTCAGCGCAGAAAGGGCCAAAAAGAACGGAATGCTAAAATGCCAAGCTGAAATGTTAATGTAGATGAATACATGCGGAAAGCCGAGAGCGAAAACTTTGAAGTAGATTAATGAAATGATGATGAAAGGTAGGCGATTTCAAGCCCTACACTTAATTAGAATAGTTTTCTCAGACTTTTAATATAGTATTGAAATGTTTTATAATCAGAACTATCTTAAGATTAAACATAATCTCCACAAATAAATCTACAAAAATAAATGGCAGAGCTGAAACGATATTTGTCTTGGCGAAGGACTTGGCTCACACTCAAATAGCCGGCCATAATTTATCATAACTAACTCCGGAGGCGAAGCTCATTTGTCAGGACCAGCCAAGTACAATGAACTCCAAATGGCAAATAGAATCGCCAAAAATATGTGAATATTCTCCAAGGCAAATACATAAATAAAAAGGCTAGTATGTGTTGCTGTTTGTGGTTGAGCTTTGATGATCCAATTGGCCTGGACGGGACAGATTCAAGCGTAAAATGAAAGGAAATTGAAATGCGGATAAATTGAATTGAGAACTGCCTTCAGGGCGGACAGCTGAATTCGTGGTCTATTTCGGTGTCCTTTTGCTTCGTTTAACGCGCCCCCAAGTATGCAACAACTTTCGCCGGCAAGTGGCACTCAATGAGTGCAATCAAATATTCAAGGCGGTGGTGGCCAACTTCTCGACTTGCCACGCCTTGATGCATAATTAAAATCCATTAAATGAATTTCTTACTCTCTTTCTTTCCAAGAAAAAAAGTCTCTTTAGCTTTAGTTGTGAACTTTTCATTAATGAATCAAAATGAAAAAAGTTTCGCGGCTCAAGTTATTTCCATTTACCATTTCAGCTGCGTTTGAATACTGCTACCATTTCCTTGGCCCATTAATTTCCCATTTCGACATTTACACAATTGCCGGTCCAGCGTTTGGCCAGCAATGCAAATTTCATTTTGGCCATCATGAATGCCAAAGTGCAAAATTCAATCAATTTGAGCCATTTACCTAACCGTCATCGAGAGCTCGTCCAGAGTCCGATTTTGAATCCGAGTGTGTGATTGAGAGTGGGCGGGAATTGTGTTTCTGACACCGAACCCCAAAACCATTCAAAAGTGCTCGCATGGATATTTGTGTGTCTGTCAGGTAAATGATGATTGGCAAAGAGTTTTTCCCAATTAATATACACCAAGCCATTGGCTTTTGATTTGGCCAAAAATATTTTATGAGAAATTTCCTATC